CTTATCTGAACCTCCTTATATTATAAAGTAGTATCTTTCCTTAAGTACTATAGCTTAGTATCTTTTAGTAACGCCTTTAAGATAATATTAATATAGAAATCACAGACTATAGCGATATTATTAAGTAATAAGTCTTAAGTATTCAGATTGTTCAGCTTAGCTAATAAGTTCTTAAATACTTACTTTCCCTTGCTAATAACTAGAATTTATTATATACTAGCTTCTATGTAGTTATTATTAGTAGATCGCTTAAAGGAGCCTGGAACTAGCTTACTCTTATAGTTTACTAGGTACTAAGCGCTATAGTTATTTACTAAGGTACTCTCTAATAGTATATAAGAGATATTAATAAAGTCCGCGGTATAGATTCTAAGTATCTCTTTAAGGTCTAAGAGCTTTAAATTAATAGTAGCTATATTAATATTTCCGGGGTACTTCCTTTTAGTATACTAAGATAATAAGTCTTAGTCTTTACTAGACTTCTTTCTAGTGATTTATATAACTGGGATAATAGTCTAACCTTCCTTCGAGATCTCTTAGCGTAGTTTTATATACTTAGGTATTTAAGCTACTTCACGAATCCTCTTAATTTACTTATTATTTAGATGGAATCTTATACTATTAGCTTAAAAGCTATCGTGAGTGAACTAGAGCTTTTAGTACTTAATTAAAGAGTATTAATATCTAATTCCGTAAAGGTAGTTAATCTTCTTATCTCCTTAATTTAAATAGGAGCGATTCCGAGAGCTTTCGGAATAATCTTGCGAGCTTCTTATATTAGAATAACTACTTAGTATTAGTATAGTATAGAAACTATTAGCTCCCTTACCTCTATTCCGGTAGTACTCTTCTATATTCACTATAAACGCTAGACTATACTCCTCTAGTATTATACTATATTATTATCCTAAAGTGTTATCTCTTATAATATTAGCGAGTGCTTAAGTAGCTTAAGTCTCTAACTAAACTAATACTATATTTAAGAAAGCTCGTATACTACGTACTTCTTATATATCAGGAATATTATACGTTCTCGTAAGATAGAAGTTCTTTTACTATAGCTTATACTATGTACAAGGTTTAATTCACAACTTCTTATCTTATTATATTAGTAAGCTAAGTATATCAGTGTAGTCTGAAATAATAGAAGTTAGTACCGCTATATCTAAAAGTACTATATCACGCTTAATAGACCTGACTAGCGCTTATAGTCCTGCGGTACCCTTAGCTGTATTATTATTAATTATATTAGTTAGAATAGACTAGCTAATAGTACTATTTACTTAGTTAAAGAGGTTCTGAATATAGTTATTAAGCGCTATCTATTTAGCTAGCTTATTCAAGTACTCTCTTATTTAAGCTTCTTAGAGTACTTTAATATCTTTAAACTTAGCTTCTAAGGGCTTACTTATAGACACTAGCGGTTCTATTATACTTTCTCTTTCCTTAGTAGTAGCAGCGTTCTATTTCGCTAGTAAATCTAGGTCAGCTTATATTAATAATATTATCTACTTACTAAGGCGACTATTTATCTTCTCTTATATAAAATTATTAATATTAAGGAGATTCAGTTATTACTTAATAATATTTCTAATATCGTTAGTATTAAGGTTAATAAATCTCTAGATTCCTTTAAGTTTAGTATAGTACTAGAAAGTTATCTACTACTAAGGCTACTACTTTCTCTAATCGAGAGTATCGCCCTTATATTTAATTAACTCGTCTTAAAAGTATATTAATATATCAGAGAGGCTTTCTATAGAACTAATAGTATCGAGAGTATTTCAGGAAGTTCAGGGAGGTATTTAAAGGAGTTCTTTAAGTAGTAATATAAGTATCTCTTAATACTACCTATAACTCTACCTATACTACGTAGTATACTCGTATAGTAGCTTAAACAAGCGAATATAGCTCTTAACTATCGTGTACTATAGGGAGGAGCTTTATATAGTATAAAAGTCTTAATTTATTAAGGTATTCTAGAGCTCCTTTATAAGGGGAAGCTCCAGGAGTTCTAGTTATATAAGTAGCCTCTAGTTAGCTAGAGCGCCTTAGGGAGTGCCTCAGGTACGCCAGGTGCACGATAAATAGTTTCTTATTATTATTCCCTTTTCCTTAGTATATATATATATTCTAAAGTAGTATTAGCTCTTTTTCTTAAGTACTCTTTCGTAATTTCAGTTATTAATCTTAATAGCTATTTTAATAAGTTCTTATAAACTAGTAAGCGTGTCCGATCTTACTATCTTATCTTTTACTCTGTCCTTTAACCCCTTATAGTACTATACTCGAAGGGTATTATTATTCTAGCTAGTTTAATTAGCGAACTACTAGAAAGTAGTAGTATACGTAGTTACTAACCTGACTTACTTTAGGTTCTAGATATTCCGCTTAATAGTACAGTTCTAATTAATATTACTGAAAATATAGTTAATCTTATATTCGAAACCTTTAAAGGTTATAAAGATCCTTTAGGATTCCTTAGTTATTACTATAGAGACTCTTCTATCCTTAGTTCAGTTTTAAATATAATCCGAGAGAAAGATCTTAATCTAATTAAAAGTAGATTCTTAAAGAAAGAATAAAGCTTAAAGGACTTTATTAGTATCTGTAGTAAACTAATAACTATTAAAGCTTATATAGAGCTTAACTTACGTAAGGTATACTCTAAGTTTAGATCAGTCTCTACTATAGAGATCTAGAGTAGCGATCTTAGGTATATTCTTTATATCGAAGACCTTAGTAGGAGCCGGGTTATTATTCGATAATAATCCTTTAATAGAGAATATATTATCTTCGTAAGTCAGTACTTCTAATAAGAGGGTACTTAAAGTATAATAGTCCGGTATTTACTTATTATAAATATAGAAAGATATAGTTAATCTTTAATAATTAAGAGGTATGTGTCTTATATAGATAGGAAGATAGTTACTAAGTATTAGAATACTATTTGAAGTTAAGTATAAAGCTTCTATCTAATAGTAGATATACTAGTCTTATATAGAACCCTTGTTCCTATAGATCCTTTTAGTATAGATCCGTAGATCCCTAGATCCTTTCCTTTACTATAGGATCCGGGGATCTAGAGATTTATCACATGATATTAGTCGCTAGAACCCGTGTCCTTTAACTATAATACCTTAAGTTATATAATATACGTAGCTACTATAGTACTATAAAATCCTAGGGGAGGAGTTCTCCTAGGAGCCCTTACCTCCTAGAAGACTTCTTCTAGGAGCCGGTGTCTCTCTAAGCCTATAGTCTCCTAGCTCCTCCTGCCTAAGAGTCCTTAGGCTCCTAGGTGGTCCGTGATAGTAAGAGCCTTATAATATAGTTCTAAAGTATTTCCTCCCTTAAGATAAACTTTATCTTAAAGAAATCATCTTTTATATTAATAAAAGTAAGACTCTCTTAAACTACTTTACTTTTATTAGTATAAATAGCTTCTTAGAGAAGCTTAGTATTATTTAATTTAATAATATCTCTATACTTAAAAAAGAAGAGCTTAGAGATTAAGTTAATAACTATTTTAAAAGCTTTTTTCTTTTTCTTAGTATAAGTATTCTACTAATTAATACTATTTAGTATACTAACTATAGTAAGAATATAATAAAAAACTCTAGCTCTAGCTAATTCTTATTTAGTCTTAAGCTTTTATTTAAAGAAGTTATTAAACTCTAGTAGAGTTTTACCTTTTAAAGCTTTAGTAATAATAGGAATTAGTGCTTTTAATTAGGATAATATTATAGCGTAGTAGTAGATATACTAAGAGTTAATAAAATAGAGATCTTAATAAAAATAAAGTTTTAAGGTCTTTTATAATCGATTCGAATTACTACTATATTAGAATTATAGTTATATAAGGAGCTACTATAGAGAGAGAGAATCTCCTATATAAAGGGGTAGCGTACTTAGTAGTACGGCCTATAGTACTAAGTCTACGCCTACAATCCCTATATTTCTAACAGTACTAGCGTTCCCGGAGCTGAGCTTCAGCTCAACGCTGTGGCTGCAGGGGTCAATGCACGTGGCTTGGGACTATGGCAATTCTTTTACATCGGGACGGATGCTTGTGTGCTCTGCTTTGATGATTTGCATGGCTTTTGGAGGGGGTGGAGTTTAGTTTCCGTTTCTGTGTTGAACTGCCGTGACAAAGCGGCAGATTTTTGATCTGTGATGTCAGTTTTTTGTGCTTATTTTGGATTGGGTTGATTGTTGTGTGACCTTCGCAGGGGGATAAGAAGGGGACTTGTTTGATGTTCAGGTTCAGGGGTTTCGTGGAGTGGATTGTGTTCTGGAAGCTTTATCGAAGTCTGGGGAAGGAAGGCTTTGGTACAGGTCATATGGATAATACCTTGTTAGTGGATTCTGGTGTAGACATGATAAATATTGAGTATGTGCTTGCAGGTGACATTCTGCAAGATATAATATGAATATGAAATCTCGCTCTTTCAATTTGATGGACAGTCTTGAACATACTGCAAAGAACGAGTAAACCGAGGTCTCCCTGGCTATGTGTATTTTCATACCAGAACTCACATACTGAACAAATGAATTTTTGTAAACCCCCTAGTATATAGAAGCGAACCGTCCTCTCCCTCTTTCAAAGCCTCCGATTTTGTCCATCCCTCCGAGGTCAAAGAATTACAAATTGGCTGCCTGCTTAAGGCATCACCAAGCCCTAGAAAGAAGGCAAAGAATTACCAGGTGGAGATATCATACCGAACATACAGAGACTCACACAATACCGATACAATAGGTCCAGGCGCTCAACCATAATGAAACATTACAAAATAAAGAGCGATAGTGCTTGCTCGTTCCGAGCCGGGTATCTCGATCTTTTCTCTCGCTCGCTCTCTCCCTCTCTGTCCGTCTCAAATTCTCTCCTCTCCGAATCGATCATCGTAGTCGTGAGCCATGCCAGCCTTTGGTGACCGTTCCAGCATCCAGCCATTGATCGCGTAGCAGTATCCAACCAATACCTATTCACCCTCCACCTCCTACTTGATATTCTTGAACATATCCTCCCCGCCCAAACTACCCTCATCATTATCCCCAATCTTCGCCTTCAATTGATTCAACTCTGGTAGTTTCGGCGGAGGAGGTCCTTTCTTGACGGGCGGCGCAGGAGCAGGTTTCTTATCTTCATATATGATACTCGTCCTTTTGCTTCCATTCGAGCTCCCCAAGCGCCTGAACCAACTCCCACTCTTTTTCTTCGCCAGGCTGGGCCTCTGACTCGCAAAGCTCATGGCGCTCTCCGGCCGCACCGCTCCGCCCGCCAGATCCTCCTGCGACGCATTGGTATTTGTGCCGTTGGTATAGTTTGTATTGAGGGACTTCCGCGACAGGAACCTGCGTATGCTGCCTTGCCTCGTGGACGATGCTGGGCTCATAGGAGGCTCGTCGATGGTATTCGGTCGACCGCGACCGTCGTACGCTGCGCCATTTCCATTGTTGTTCGTGGGTGTCGCGGATTGGCTACCGTTCGTTTTCGTCGCTGAATCCTCCGATGCTGCAGCGCCTGCGTCTTTCGCTACGGATGCAGGTACAGATTCTTCGACTGGGGAATCTGGTGGTGGAGGAATGCCGGTGCCGTCCGTGAGGGAGTAGTTTATGGGTGTCAGCTGCGGAAGCTCGAATCGCCCTATTGAAGGCTTGCCGTTGGTGGCCGGCATAGTTGTGAAAGCAGTAAGGGATTCTTTTTCTTAGATTGACAATCAAGGCGGTGGAATGCCAGCGCCCCGAGGTGAGGAAGCTCAGGTCCGTCGGTTGGAAGAACTTCTGCAACGTGAAGGAAGACCGGAAGAACTTTGAGAGAGGAAGTGTTCGATTTGGGTTTCCAGAAAGCTTGGCTCGTGCTCGACGTGGTTATTGCCTTTCCGGGGTTATTCGTAAATTGCGAGTGAGATGAGAGGAGGGAAGGGTACGCAGCAGAGGCCCGAATCACCTAGTTGGAAGGGTGTGTTTTGCTTTTGCTGGTGGGTACTTTCGTTGTTATCTTTGACTCGAAGGTGATTATTGAATTGTAGCAGAGCAGGGTAGGGCAGAAAGAAGTAGTAGATCAAGAAGAAATGTCTAGATCAAGTTTCCATGAGTCTCAGGAAGAATTGGCCACAAAAGATCGCATACGAGCTGTCTGCGCCGGGGATTTGTTCTTGGATCCCGCAGTCAATTCGTTTCGTTTGGTCTTTGCTTCTCTGGTCCATTCACAATCGAGTAAGGGATCCCCACATCCACCAGCTCTGCTTGGCGACAGCCAATCACGCCTCTTTCCAACAGCGGAGCACCCAGATGACCAAACGGAAAGAGGGGCTCAGGGGTCAAAGCGACGGATATCAGATAAAGTCGTGTTTGATGTTCATGGCTTTATTTCAATTACAACGACCTTCTATCATTGGAGTTCGCTATATGATTCCAAATTATACCAGGAAAGTGTGTTGTAGATATCTCTTCTGATGATGATGCTGTGTTCCAACCTCGGATGTCAAGAAAGGGGTAAAGTTAGCATCACGCGTAGATCGAATAGGGGTCATCCCAGATGGAAGCAACAGGAGGGGTTACAGAAGGGTTCAATATGGCAATTATGTCCGATTATTATACCTGTCAAGAAGAAAGGTTAATTTAACTTTCGACTATACACGCTAACCCAATCAAGTCTCTGATTCTAGAAAGGACTCACTGGTGATCGCCAAAGTCTGTACTTAGATGGTAGTAGGTGAACTTCAGGCATGCATGAATGAGTCACTTTACGGTAACTTTATAGAAAGTAGTTATATCTTCATTCAGCATTATGTTTTTTCAGTTAGAAAACAAACCACCATCTCGAATCTGTTAATCCCACTTTAAGACAACAGACTTTGACTTTCCCCAAGGAGTCCCTTGTACCAGTTTTCCTAGACAGCAAACAAGTCGCTCACAATGGCAACTCTGCCCCGCCAGATCGAATCAGTTAGTACTGCTGAGTTGTACAACCGTTGGGCAAAGGTGGGTTTACAATCAAGTCATCTTATGGTTTGTTTCTTCATCCGAAATGCTTCTACTCCATTGTCGAAGAAGGCGTTTCACTGTCTCTTCATGTGTTCGTAAAACTGCTTGAATGTTAACATAGTTTGGGATCCTTTTGATATCATATGAATAGATATCCTATTCATCTAATCTATGCTTTGAACCCCCACTGTACACATTTCTCACATCATCGAGATCTTACCCATGCAACTGCTTAACCGAGTCAATATCCCTCTTCCAAAGACTCGCTCATACATAGCTCTACAGGTCTACGACACAGACAATAACATCCTCCAAGCCATAGACGACCTCATGATCGCATCTCTCCTCACACTCGGTCTCCAAACCGCTCACGCACAACTCCCGTCTCCTTCCCAAGCCCTGACTATAACCGAACTCGGCTGCGGTACAGGAGTAAGTAAACAAACATCATTGCCTTTTCAATGCTATGAAATTGACACTCTGTACAGCTTAATACATCCAAACTCCTCCTCCCACCGTTCACGCCCTCCTCTCCCGAACTAGGTCAGGTTCATATCCACACAACCAATGCCCTAGACCTAAGTCCCGCCATGCTATCCATCGCTCGAACCCGCTGCTCCTCGATCCTCTCCTCCCAATCCACCACCTTTCCTAGCCCCAAATCAAACCTCACATTCCACCCCTTCAACGCCCTCTCCCCTCCCCCTCCTCCATCCCCTCTCTCTCCAGCACAGCAGACCTCCTCCTCAGCACCCTCGTGCTCGAACACCTCCCCCTCCCAACATTCTTCCACACCGTCAAAACCCTTCTCAAACCCCACGGTGGCGTGCTAGTTCTAACCAACATGCACGCTGAGATGGGACGGCGTAGTCAAGCGGGGTTTATAAGTAGTGTGGTAGAAGGCGAGGGAGGAGGGAGGGAGGAGGTGAAAGTGCAAGGAGAGAGTTTTGTGTATGAGGTTGGGGAGGTGGTTGAGGAGGGGAGAAAGTGGGGTGGGAGGGTTGTGGGGGAGGTGAGGGAGAGGGAGGTTAGGGAGGGGGATTTGGAGGGGAGAGAGGGAGAGGGAAAAGGAGTGGTGGATAGGGGGAGGGGGGTGAAGTGGATTGGGTGTAAGGTGTGGTTTGGGTTTGTGATGAAGTTTGAGTGAGTGTGTGGGTGAGCGTGGGATGTAAGTTGACAACTTGGTGGTAGGATGATAGGGTGGAGTAGAGTGAGGTGAGGTTGATCAGGCGAAGTAGAAAGACTAGGAATGTTCGCTTAAAGTACTTTTGGAGTATATTTGGTAGATATCTAAACGGAGGTTTTCTTCGCTGATGTATGAGACAAGGAACTTGAAGATCTGTGATGTACAATCTATAATTACATGAGCGGGTATCTACAAATTGTAATATTACACTGAAGTGGCTGACGTGGCGGCAGATCAGGGACAGTCGATTCAGGTAGAAGGACTAGAGATTTGGTCCTGAATTTGGCTTCGTCAAAATCTCCATACTAGGCATGCTTGATGCATATTCCACGGTTGGATGAAATCGGAAAGCGTGGTTCCGCCCCACCTACAGAATTGTCGCTGCGGATTGTACAGCGATAGCGGCGAAGATTTTGACGTTCAGTCGTAATATCCCTTTTCACCAGCTTTGTCATCCCTCGTCGCAGGCTCCTGACCTTCACGATTCTGACTCCTCTCTTCCTTTGGGTCCGCAGGTCTCTGCTCTTCCATTCCCTTCTCTTGGCTTTTCTCCTTCTTCGAGTCCCAGGTATCGAAGGACGTATCAAGATCTGCCTTGGCTGCTTCAGAAGTTATAGGTTTCTTGGACGACATCGAGTTTTCCCGGGAGCTGAAAGTAACATGAAATTCCACCTCGTTTGTCTTGTCCAGATCCGGCTTCCCACTATGCGTGATATCCGACGACTTTTGCGTGTCAATTGATTGAGGTTTAAGGGTTTCCCATGTCTTCAACGCATCCTCAAATATCTCATCGGCTCGTTTCGCTTCGGCCTCCACTGCCTCCGGTACCATGGCTTTCGCATCCTTCTTTTGCCGCTGTTTCGCTTTCCAATTTTCTACCCTCAACCGTGTTTTCCCTCCCGTTGGAAGCTCCACAGACATTACTTTTCTGACTTTCGGTCGGACTTGATGTTTTCTTCTTTCCCAGTGGTGGAACTTGATGAGCGGTTTCTTTGCTGGCGCTGTAGCAGTAGTAGCTTGGATAAGCTGCTCTAGCCTTTTGGCGGCGCCGAGGACTCGATCGTCGTCAGAATACTGACCGATCATCTGAATCGCAGTAAAATTGGGCCTTCCCGCTATTTTATACTCATCCATAATTGGAAATGGTATGCTAATGGCAGGAAGACCTGCCAAACTTGCGGGAACCGTAAAGACATCGTTCATATAGGTGTTGACAGGGCTTTCCTCCATCACTGCCTTTTGTGTCGGCGGGAGCGTAGGAGCAGTAGGGCAAACGATAAAATCTACCTGAGCCGGTCCATGTTTGTCATCAAGCTTGATAGATTCGTCCAGATTGCTCAGATCGAACTGTTCCGCTGGTCGTAGTGGATTCGAGATAGCAAATACCTGATCGAAGTCTCGCTGAACCAATCTACGGACTTTCTGAGCCTTGATAAAGTAATTGTCGATCGCTTCCGAGCTGAGTGTATACGCGCCAAGCAGAATGCGTCTCTTTACCTCATCACCAAACCCTGCTCCCCGGGTATTGGAATACAAAACATCTCCTTCTCCATCGTTTGCGCCCGATCGACTTCCGTATCTCACTCCATCATACTTTGACAAATTTGAAGCTGCTTCCGCTGGCGCCAAAACATAGTATGCTGAAAGCGCATGTTTGGTGTTCGGCAGAGAAACCGGCACAATTGTTGCGCCGTTGTCTTGGAAGAGCTGCAACGCCCTCTGCCATGCTTCTCGTATGGCGGGATCTAGTTCCGCGATATTGTACTCTAGAGGTACGCCGATTTTTTGGTATGGAAAGGCGGCCTGGCTCTTACTCGTATCGACTTCGCCGGCTCGGACATGTCTGTGATATGTCTCGTTCACATCCATCACTCGCTTTTCCTCCATCCGCGTGCGAGAAGCTTCCGTGATCGAAGTGGGATCTTTCGGGTCAAATCGGTTGATTAAACGAAAGGCATTTCTCGTCAACTTCACATCAGACGCAAGCAACCCCACAGTATCCAAAGAATTGGCATATGGAATCACACCCCATCGAGAGACCATTCCGTATGATGGCTTGAAGCCCACAATTCCCGTATACGCCGCAGGGAGCCGTACTGAGCCTCCAGTGTCTGTTCCCAGGGCAGCTAAGCACTGGTCCGTTGCTACTGCTACTGCGCTTCCACCTGAGCTTCCACCAACAGAGTGATCATGGAGAGGGCTCTTGTTCTGGACCGCAGAAAAGAACGACTTAGTCGAGTGAGAGCCCATGCCAAACTCGTCCATATTAGTCTTCCCTATAATGGCCACACTTTGCCTCCCACTCTGTAACCTGCGAACCACCTCGGCAGGGAAAGGACTTTTGTGTCGTTTGAGGATGGCTGATGCGCATGTTGTTCGGGAGCCTTGAGTAGTGATGTTATCTTTCACAGCGACAAGAACTGGCTTGCCTAAATGGAATATGTTAGACCTTCATTTCCGCAGAGTACGGAAAACATCCAAAGAATTTCCTACCTATCCAGGCTTTCGGCAGCGGCACCGGTAGGAATCGACCACATGTTGTAATAAATACATTGAGAGCGGGACGCTCAGCTTTCGCAGCGAGCGGGGGCGTGTACACTTTCCGGATGATCTTCATCTGGCCCCATGAGAAGATACGTGTGTATGCCCGGGCTGCCGCGCGTTGTCATCAGTCCAAGATAATGCTGTTTGGAAACTGACGAGAAATCGACATTGCTCAAATGTAGCTTGACGGATAAGCTTTAATCCGTCTAGAGTAACGACAAGGATCAACGTGGTCCGTGCTATCTTATCAGAGACGTCGTAGTGCATGATCAGGCTTCAGCCTCACCTGCAGAACCCAGCCACGTAAACCACACTCAGCAAGTCCATGTGCCTGTTTCTCCTGTTGTTTTGTTTACTAGGGTCTCGGTTTGGGACGACAAGATATTTCTCAGACACTTCTTCCAGGAGCAGCCTTCTGTGAGACTTGCCTCTTCCACAGCAGTCCCAACATCAACAAAGATGATGAAACACTTGTTGACATGGACCTCTGTCCTGGGCTCACTTGCTGCTGCTGAGCAGCCGTCGGCTCCAAAGCCCGTGGCAGCACCCATGAGGGACTTGCCATGGGGCCAGTTAAACTTCTTGCAAACCACCGATACTCATGGCTGGCATGCAGGGCACCTTCAAGAGTAGGTTTCAGGCAACCACCAAATTCCCATCTAACACAAATTAGACCACAATACTCAGCCGACTGGGGCGACTATATCTCTTTCGCGGACCGGATGCGTAGGAAGGCAGACGATATGGGAGTTGATGTTCTTCTTATCGATACAGGCGATCGGATAGAAGGAAACGGACTCTACGATGCTTCAGACCCGAAGGGAGAATATACCTACGATATCTTCAAAGAACAGACTATCGATGTGCTGTCTACAGGAAATCACGAATTATACCAGGCAGATGCTGCTCAGAGAGAGTACGAGAAGACCGTGCCAAACTTCAAGGGGAATTATTTGGCATCAAATTTGGATTATATAAACCCGAAGACCGGACAGGCAATTCCAATGGCACAACGTTTTCGCAAGTTCACCACCAAGAACCAAGGTATAAGAGTTCTTGCCTTTGGGTTCTTGTTTGATTTTACTGGAAATGCAAACAATACTGTCGTACAGCCGGTGGAAAAGACGATCGAAGAGAAATGGTTTCAAGATGCTATTAGAGAGGATGTGGATTTGTTCTTGGTTGCAGGTCACGTCACTCCTCGTGGACCAGAATACAAGGCGATTTATAAGGCGATCAGAAGCCAAAAATGGGATACACCTATCCAATTCTTCGGGGGTCACAGTCATATTCGAGACTTCACAAAATACGATTCCAAGGCATATGGCTTACAGAGTGGAAGGTATATGGAGACCATCGGGTGGCTCTCTATTGATGGAATTAAGGGGAAGGGGAAGAACAAGAACCCCAAGGAAGTTGAGAAAGAAGCCAGCTACAATGTGCAGCGAAGATACATCGACAACAATCTGTACGGCTACTATTACCACACCGGCTTAAACGAGTCAACTTTCCCAACCGAGCACGGCAAAAATGTATCGGGCTTCATCCACGAAGCCAGAAAATCGTTGAAGCTAGATTACAACTATGGCTGCGCACCAAAAGACCTCTGGCTCAACAGAGCTCCATATCCCAGCAATGATAGTCTTCTCACCTGGCTAGAGAACGAAGTCATGCCCGACATCGTTGTCAGCAAAGAGCGAAAAGGTGTCCCCACCCTGGCTATCACCAACAGCGGCGCCATGAGATTCGATATTTTCAAAGGAAGTTTCTCTCGCGATACAACATACATCATCTCCCCATTCGTCAGCAAACTCAACTACATCAAAGACGTCCCCTACAAATCAGCAAAGGGTCTTCTCAAACTCCTCAACAACAATGGGCCTATCTTTTCCACTTCTGGTCTCCATACCTCACAGTTAGCTCCGCCTGAACAGTTGTCAATCCTCACCGATGTCATCGCTCCTACCCATTCAGCACAGGATGTCTACACTTCCGACTCCGCTCAAGCTCCACTTCTCTCCTCCACCTCACCTGATCTCATTCCCGGCTACACAACGAAAGACGATGGCGGCGGCGACGGAGACGATACTCTCCACGCGCCTATATCCTTCTATCAAGTCCCCAACTGCATCCAGAGCCCGATTTCATTCCCCGCATCAGGCGACCCTGAAAAGGTGGATGTCGTGTTTGTTGATTTCATCCAGCCGTGGGTTCTGCTGGCGTTGCAGTTTTCTGGTGAGGGGTATACGAGTGATGATGTGGAGGTTTATAGTGACGAGACGCTGACGGATATGATGGCTGGATGGATTAAGAAGAATTGGGGGCAGGATTGTTAGGGGGCTGTATATTTGTAGTTGTAGTTGTGCTCTGGGTTTGGGTGGAGGGATTAGATTGACATGGGAACAGATGCATTGGCGTTGGTCATGGTTGATGAATTGGTTGATACCTCCTGCATAAGACAGATGCGGCTTACATTACGTTCTCGCTAAATTCGAGCTACTCTTTTGCATGTTTAGACTTTGATATTTTATTTTGTTCTTGAGATTCGGACAGACTTTCAAATGTCGTATAATCATCACAGCAAGTGCACCTCCGTACTCTAGAAACTCTTACTTTGTAGTAAGGCAAATGCATGCATCCATCATCACCCACCTATCCCTTCCTCCTCTTCCCATTTGCTCTAATTTTCTCCCCTTTCCCCCTCTATGCAATAGGTGCAAACCCAAACCTCGGCACACTAGCATCAAACACGCCCAAATACGCATTAAAGAGAACATCCCCATAAACATTCTGGGTCCCACGCCCAGCACTCTGCAAGCTCCCAAAACAACTCGATCCCCCCGCACTTCCAAAGCTCATCAAACTGCCAGGAATAGTAGCGTACGCCGTGCTGCCGATGCGGACGCTAAAGCTGGGCAGGGTGGCGCTGCAGGGGAAGATGTACCCGCCTTGAGAGGAGGAGTACTGGGCTCCGGGTACGGATGCGTAGTAGGTGTCGACGGCGGTATCGCCGGTGAGGAGGAGGGTGGTTCCTGTGTCGGCGATGGCGGTGAAGCCTGATTGGGGGTGGACGGTGGAACCGACCTTGAAGGATGTGGAGGGGAATTCCCAGAAGCCGCCCGAGGAATCTACGGTGGCGTATTCTGGAGGTGGAGGTTAGTTCGGTTGTTGATGAATAATAAATTTGAAACTGGAAGAGAGGGAGAGGGCTTACGGACTGTGCCGCTGTGCTTGGATGCGTCGATGTAGCCAAAGTCGAAGGAACCGCTGGCTTGGCGGGGAAGATGGGCAACGAAGAGAGGGGCTTTCAAGGACCTTTTGGCGTTATCGAAGAAGGTCTTTTGTTGGACAGGGGAGACTGTTGATCATGTCAGCGAGGTGCAGGGTAGAAGATTTTCTGACATTGAGAACGCGAAATGTCATGACAATTCAAGGACATATGAATTATCTGGATGAGCTGGAGCATGCCAGGGCAGCCAAAACATCCAAATGTCCGGATAGTTCCTAGGACAGTCAAATTTCCTAGCGTTTTGAACGAGTTTGGGAACGTCTAGGTTCATTATGCTTGGGAACATAAATGCTCAGACATAGGCGGAACGAAATGAGAGACCTACCAGTATTGAGACTATTGAATGCAAGTCCAACAAGTCCATCAGCAGTATATGACACAAAAGCGGACGAAACCTGCTTGGCCAATTGGATAGCCTGGCCAGTAACAGTAGTTCCACCGATCTTGACAGTATCGGTGCCCACGTTTCCGCTCGCGCCAGAACCATCAGCGTAGGTAATGTCCCAAGTATACCCTGGCAGTTCCTTGTAAGTGCTGCTCTGTGACGAGGTATAGATGTGATGTCCAGTTTTGGAACTTGCTGCCAATTGGGACGAGAACACCCATCTAGAGAAACGTCAGAAGAGTGGAAGCTGGTGGGAGATGAAACTCACAGTTCAGCACTGCCAGTGTCTAAGTCCAGGTCCAAACGTTGACCCCCGACGGAGGTTGTCACGAGGTACTGTACGCCATCAGCAGGAAAAGCAGTGGCTGATCCATCCTGACGCTTCTGCAAAGCTGCTAGGAACTCCGCTGGCATCTCCTTTGTTGGAGTTAAGTTGTGCTTGGCGTAGGCTTTGAGCATGGCAGCTGTGCCATTACGGTGGAAGTTGGCATTGTATACAGCTGGTGCAGAGAAAGCTTTGCTTCCCACAACATTGACGCCTGGAGCTGGTGCCGGAGCTGCTGAGGCTCCAAGAGCAAGGACCAGAATTGAGAGAGTAGGGTAGAGCATCTTGGATTCTGGGGCTGACAAGCAAGGAGGGAGGACTGAAAGAAAGAATGACGGTGGCCGGGATGAGGGGTTGAGGTAACAGAGGGGGAACTTGTGACCTTTATATCCTCACACTCGCATGGCGGCTCCGAAAGCCCGAGTGATAGTACCATGATGGCTCAAGCCCAGGCGATGAGATTGAGGAGCAAATCATCAATCAAGACTTCTAATCTGCCCGCCGTGCATGGATCGACTTGATCGCATGGCAGCTGTCATTGGCAGGGTTCTTTTGATATTTACCAGCTCCGGGGATAAACGAGTTTGGAGTTTGAACTTTTTATCCAGAGAAAGTAGGTAAGGTTAGACAGCTGGTGTGAAAGCGAGGTAGCAGTTCAACTGAAGTGCACCGGATGGCCCCTCCTTGAAACACCGCTTCCAACTCAAGTAAGATGAGGTTGACTGCCGGATTGCCACCGAATACCGATAATACAGACAAAGCTAAGGAGTGTTTAAGCTTCTATCATATCCCGCAGAGCCGGAGGCTAGCCTACGATAGGAAGGTGGAAGTAGATGAATCTATTCCGGAGGGGGTTCAGGCGAGGCTGTTCAAGCCCCCTACGCTGCTGGCAAGAAGCGTGTTTGAAGCCACGGAAGTGTTTGCGTGGAGGTATTGCCATGTACCTCATCTTGATGTGGAAGCTGGCTCGAGGCACAAGGTTGGGGCTGTATTACTTTAGTCCGAGGTAAAAAGATCAATTCATCCCGCGAATTGATTGCATTGCAATACAGGGCGATGCAGTCCTGGCCGAGGCAAAGATAGGACAACAAGCATCTACCAAGCACAGATAAGCTTTACGATGCGTGTGGGGATGAAACATTTTCACGAATGAGATGGTACTTATAGGAGGAGACGGGAAGACAGGTTTCGCGCATCGCTGCTTAGCGCAGAGAGAAGGAGGGCGTTGTTGGAGCTGTGGTACAAAGAAAAGTTGCAGTGGGCGTAACAGGCATGTTGCCCTGTGATAGGGTCCTACAGTATCTACCCTGGCGTGTAATTGTCAGTTCGGTAGAGGCTGATCATGATCGACAACGGCTTCTAATCTGACGCCGCGGCGCTCTCTGATTTATTACCCTGCCAATGAAGGAGCTTGCAGAAGGACCAATAACCACCATTTCGCGCATTGAGCGCTAATGAAGGGGGCAATAGTAAAGGCCCTCCAGACATAACGTGCATCCAACCAGATATCAGATGTCTACTAGAAGATGTCTCATACAACAGAAACAAAGGCCACGAGTCGGCTGATATGCGATACTGTTTATCACTCGGGTACTTGCAGCAAGGTAGAAGCGAAACAGCCTGTCAAGTGTGTTATAGATGCCGTTTGCCATCTCGCAAAGGGAGCGTGTCAAGATCCTGATCTGAGGTACGAACTGGGCGAGCCCGTACTACAGCCTCGGCTCCCTCTCATTTCTTGTACCGTGAAAAAACCGCCCACGGGTATGATTTGACTCGCAAAACGCGGCTTCTTGGCCGGACCAGGAAGGCATCAAGTATTAGGTATCGGAGTTCATTGCCATGGGACAACTTAGGAAGGAAGTTGGGCAAGGCAGATCGGCAGCTTTTGCTACAGCTCCAGTATTTGGTTGATTTCAAGCGGTGTCTCCAGTTCACAAAGAACCTCGAGTTTGAGTTCGCAGGTGCCTTGATAAGAACACTTGGCGAATCCAGAAAAGGAAGCAGGATACTTACAACTGTACTAACGAGGTGGCTATACCTTGAAAGCTTAAGTTCGCAAGTGACTTGATAAGAACGCTTGACAAATCTAGAAAAAGAAGCAGGCTACTTACAGCTCTATGACTGACAAGGTAGCAGCTATGTCTTGAAAGCTTGAGTTCGCAAGTGACTTGATAAGAACTCTTAACGAATCTAGAAAAGGAAGCAGGCTACTTACAACTGTATAACTGACGAGGTGGCTGCATCTCGAAAGATTGAATTTTGCTGGGGGCTTGGATGTGGAGGCAGGATTTCAAATTCATAACTGACAGTAATTACTGTTGTAGAACAGAGTTTTAGGACAGAGCATGAGTCGAGCAGATATCTCAGCGGAAGAGGAAGGAGACTTCAGGAAGTATGATCACTGGCGGCCCAAGAGGCAGATTTCTCGGACTTCAGAGACAGAGGGGTGGATACCACATGCAAGCGGAACTACCCCAAGAGAAGTACTATGACCCAATATCAGACAGGGTCGTCCTTTGGACTATCGTCTAAGGGATGAGTCAACAAGACGAAAGATCATGTCGACAAGGTCTTCCACGGATTCTTTACTGTCTTCTATCGACAGGCCGCTGGCCATTCATGCCGGGGAGCCAATTTCGTACAGATAATCGAATTCCACGGTTCATGGCTGGTCCTGTCGCCTTTATACACAACCATAACTCCCAGCAATGCCACTGCCATCCTAATCAAACAAGCATCCTCGTGTCTTTATGTTACAGCCTCATTTCGGCTCTCAATTTCTGTCTCGCCCCTGTGATACTATCGTTCGTCCGATAAGTCAACTAGCCTCTGCTCTTGGTGTTGAGAATAAGAGCTACAATAAGTCTGCTTCTGTAAGTACCGAGCCATTTGTTGGAATAGACGTGCACTGACCCATAGAGACCTAGAACTTCCCCAAAAATAAGGATCAATACCATTCCAACAAATATCCTCGACTGCTGCATATATGATCGTACTCCCATATCTCCAACGATTCCGATCGCATATCCGGCTGCCAGTCCGGTAAGGCCGACCGAAAGACCGCATGCAAGGTGCATGAATCCACTGCCACCGTTGTTAGCCCTATCCATCGATGAACCTCTATCATGATGTCCTACTTGAACAAGCTATAATTTTGATCTGGTGGTGGTCCCATGTCTCCTGCAATCAAAACTGCAATAACTAACGAATAAACTGCGATGATACCGGACATGACGACGGGAATCAGTGACTGCGAAATTAATAGTATTAGCGAATGCGCCCAAGAGAATCAATGACCGCAGAGCGATTCTGGCTGCGTAGAGTAAACAAACCTTCATGATCAAGTCTGGCCGGAACGTTCCAACACCAGCAATTCCAATTCCCGACTTCGCTGTTCCATATGCTGCTCCGATACCTAAAAGAAGTATTAACACTGCTCCATCGGCGATTGGTTTGCGTCTGTCTTACATCCAAAAGTCATTGCGAAGCAGATGCCAGCCTGTTGAAGCAGTCTGTCAGTACAACATATCCTGCATCTTCGAGTGGGAATTGCTCACCATTCCGAAGAACGGGGCGAACTTCGTGCTATAGTTTGGATCTTCCATGTTGATAGTCAGGTCTCTGCCGTGCAGAGTGAGATTGTTGAGGGGTGAGGGCGTTCAGTGACGTTGAAGAGATCGAAGATAAGCTATGCTCAATATCAAGTCTCCAAGCTTCACAGCTCCAACGCTAGGCTATCTTGGGCGACCACGTGACGTTTGACTCCTGATCCAACACTCTAAAGTTGAAGTCACAGCCGACTGGTTACGAATATGAGGGTATACAAACACTGAATCACATCCAGCAATTGGTGAAGAATACTGGGCAACTCGCTGCTCAGTAAGGTTGATTTTGCCGCAATTGACGGCGCTCCTTGAATTCGTGTTTACCTTATCTTTCCGGCTTCTGCCAACCCGAAGAAGCCACTAGCGCTGAAGCACGACCTTTGAACCTTTTGGGAGCGCGAGAACACCAGAATCGAATATCCAGTAACTCAGGACTCACCACCACCCAGTGACCTGTTCTGTCTCGCAGAACATCAATGCATCCCGCGCCCTTGCACCCATCGATCCGCGACTAGCATCCAGAGACGTTGAGGTTGCAGAACTTCCTTGAAAGCCGCCTTCCGGTCTCTTTCAACAGTTCCAGGCCTAGATCCAACAGAGCGTATTTTGACGATCTCACGGACAGCTTTGGTCGACTTGCGACGGGGCCCCGTCGGCGTCGACAAAACGATATCAGACCTGATCTGACTTCGAAATTTGAGGCCGGGGTGGTTGCCCTCGGCGTTGTGGAGTGGTTGTGCTGTACCTCAACAGTGACTGTACCAACAACGACTCCTGGCATCGTATTCAAGAGGCGAGATGGCAGACTATCCACAGGGCAGAGGAGGACCTCGTCCAAATCAATATGGACATGCTTCGAATCATGAACGAGAGGCAGCCTTCTCCAACATCTTCGGCGCTGCCCCTCCCCCCGGCCGATCCCATACGATGACTTCCTCTACATCCCCTCCTCCTTCAGCACCGCCAATGAACCAAGTTCGCACACAGACGATGAGCTCACAGGCTTCAGGATCATATGGTGGAATGTTTCGGCCGCCCCCTCCACGCCAGCAGGACGGCGGACACCCTTCACCATCCGGATACATGCCTAATGGCGGAGGTATGCAGAATGGTTACCATCCAAGTCCAAGGCAGCCCCCTCCAGGCCAAGTCCAGTCACAGCCGCAGCCTCAGTATCTCCCCCAACAGTTGCGGCCAGATCGCAGACCATATCCCTCGCCAAACCGAGTCGATCCTCGCGGTGCTCCCCCGCAGCAAGCCCAGTATGCTCAAAGAAATCCGGCACCAAGGTACTATCCTGGCAATGCTCCAGGTCCAGCTATGAATTCAGATCCATACCGATCACAGTCAATGGCAAGCGTATCAAGACCGCAAATGTACCCGCATCCGCCCAGCAACTTCCAGCAGGCACCAGCAAATGCGTTTAGACAGGCTCCGTATCAGGCCCACGCCTCTAGGACAACCGCACAAGGGCGCATAGTGCCGGAGAGACACGACGAGCGAGCAATGTCCATGACAAGTTATCCACAAGATCGCGATCAGCATCAGACCATGAGCGGACGGATTATTCCCAACAGGAGGACCTCTCAATCTGGGCAAGAAAGTCAACAAGCAAATGGCTACCCGATCCCAGGCCCAAGAAGTCCTGCAACTCAGACTCGGACCACAAGCATGGCTTCAACCACAGTTGGGGACATGAGCAGGACAATGTCAATGGCCTCTACAATTGCTCCCACAGAAAGGGCAGATACATTGACGCATCGACCATCAGTCACCAAGTCCGTTAATAGTGCTACTGAGAAGCGCCAAAAATCACCACTTGTATATCCTGCATTGTTGTCGAGAGTCGGAGAGTGCTTCAGAGATAAAATCACTGTTGGAGATCGGACGAAGAACGACCTGACCTATAAGAATGCCTTCAGTGGAGCCGAGGCTGTTGATGTGATTTCCTACATCATCAAAACCACCGATAGGAATCTTGCATTGCTTCTAGGTAGAGCTCTGGATGCACAAAAATTCTTCCACGATGTGACTTATGATCATCGGTTACGAGATTCGGCAACAGAGATGTACCAATTCCGAGAGACTATGATGGATGAGCCCCACGAGGCTCCAGATGTCAATGGCGTCTTTGTTTTGCTGACTGAGTGCTACTCCCCGACTTGTACCAGGGATCAACTGTGCTACTCGATAGCCTGTCCCAGAAGACTTGAGCAGCAGTCCAGACTGAACCTCAAACCACAACCCGGTCTTCGACGAGAGAAATCTGAGGCAAGTCTCCATGACGATAATGATGCGCCCGATGAGCAAAAGCTCTGGATCAACACAGTCTCGCAAGAGGTCGCAGACAGCGTTAGCGAGCGCGAAAAGAAGCGACAGGAAGTCATTTCTGAAATAATGTACACTGAACGAGATTTCGTCAAGGATCTGGAGTACTTGCGCGATTTTTGGATCATCCCACTACGGTCTTCAAACCCAGCGGCACCATCTCCCATCCCGGAGTCAAGAAAAGATCGCATCGTACGGACAATCTTCACGAATATTGTTGACTCTCCTAGCATCCATGCTGTGAGCTCGAAATTTGCAGAATCTCTTACTGAAAGGCAACGCAAGCAGCCGGTCGTTCAATGTGTCGGAGATATATTCCTCCAATATGTGCCACAGTTTGAACCATTTATCATGTACGGATCCAACCAACTTGCTGCCAAGTTTGAATTTGAGAACGAACGATCTCTGAACCCCTACTTTTCCAAATTCGTGGATGAAACGGAACGCCGAAAGGAGTCCAGGAAATTGGAACTCAACGGTTATTTGACCAAACCCACTACCAGACTGGCAAGGTATCCACTTTTGTTGGACAACGTACTTAAATATACCGAGCCTGATAGCCAAGACTTGCAAGACATTCCCAAGGCCATGAAGATGATTAGGGATCTGTTAACAAGGGTGAACGCGGAATCAGGAAAGGCAGAGAATCGTTTCAACCTCAAGCGACTCCATGAGCAACTTCGCTTCCGACCGAACGAGCGGGTTGATCTTAAGCTCACCGATCCCGGGCGAGAACTTGTTTACAAAGGCGCACTAAAGAAAACTCCCACGGATCCCACCGCTGATATCCAAGCTTATCTCTTCGATCATGCCATGCTTCTAGTTCGTATCAAGATGGTGGGCAAGAAAGAAGAAGTGAAGGTCTATCGACGGCCAATTCCATTGGAACTTCTTTCGATTCGAGAAATGGAGGAGATCAATCCGAAATTCGGTGTCGTAAAAAGACCGTCGTCAAGTTTGATACCTGGGGCCAAGACATCAACGAATGATGCATCTAAGAAAGAAGGTTTCCCAATCACGTTCAGGCATCTGGGCAAAGGTGGCTACGAGTTGACCCTGTTCGCAGGTACTCAAGGTTCTAGAAACAAGTGGATGGAGCACATCGGAGATCAACAAGCCATCTTGAGGAAACGTGGAGACTTCTACAACAGATCAATTCTGTCCAATAACTTCTTTACGGCTATCAACAGAGTCAATTGTGTGGCTCCATTCGGTTCGTACCTCACAAATTTCATTCATTCGATCCTCCATTTTTTTCTTGGTTTACTAACATGCTGCAGATGGCGGGCGCAAACTCATATACGGAACCGACTCTGGAATATATGTCTCGGATCGCAGAGCAAAGGATTCTGCTGCCAAACCCGTGCGAGTCATTGAAGCCACGAATGTTACGCAAATCGATGTCCTCGAGGAGTATCAATTACTTCTGGTGCTATCGCAGAAGTCCTTACTGTCCTATCCGCTTTCTGCTTTGAACCCGACCGAGTCACCTCTCAATAAGAGGCCGAAAAAGATTCAGAGTCATTGTAACTTCTTCAGGACTGGTATATGTCTCGGTCGGCATCTTGTCTGCTGCGTGAAATCTTCAGCTCTGTCAACGACTATCAAGGTTTTCGAACCCAATGATGCTATGTCCAAAGGAAAAAAGCAGAAGGGTTTTAAAATGTTCAATAGTGGGCAGGACGAATTGAAGGCGTTCAAGGAGTTTTACATTCCTACAGAATCGTCTTCTATCCACTTTCTCAAGTCGAAATTGTGTGTGGCATGTGCACGTGGATTCGAGGTCGTCTCATTGGAAACGTTGGAGACTCAATCGCTTCTTGATCAGGCCGATACTTCTTTGGATTTCGTCGCACGTAAGGAGAATGTGCGGCCAATTCACATCGAGCGTCTCAACGGCGAGTTCCTTCTCAACTATTCAGAGTTCTCGTTCTTCGTCAACAGAAACGGTTGGCGAGCAAGACCTGATTGGAGAATTGATTGGGAAGGTCAGCCACAGAGTTTTGCGCTTTCATATCCTTGGATACTGGCCTTTGAGCCAAACTTCATCGAGATCAGGAACATCGATACAAACGCAGTACATATCGTACCACACAAGTATATCCGTATGCTACACACAAGCACACGAGAGGTGAGTTCTCAAAATCGACATGACCTTGAAGACAAACTGACAGTCGCAGATCATCTATGCGTACGAAGACGAGAGGGGCGAAGATATCGTGGCCGCTATTGATTTCTGGCCTGCAGGGCGCAAACCAGAGGCGCAGGCTCTTCCGGCGCCAACGGAGCACCGCGAAGGTACGACTTCGTCTCGGCACTGATCGAGACGCGAGAATGAAGTCTAATCAGACACCACACTTCTTCCCAATGGATTCTCGTAGAACTGCATATAATACCTCAGCCTCCTTGCAGTTCTTCTACAGTTCCGTTTTTCTCTTTGGTGGTGTGTGCTGGCCACGCTACTTCTTCTAATCGGCTTTCACTGCCGATGGGGTTGCGGGGATTTCTGATTGGGGTTGGGTTAGATGGGCTACGAATCGATCAATAGATCGATTGAGCACTTGTGCACTTACTTGATTGATTGATTGATTGACTCGTTCATTCGGTGAATATGTGCATGTGAAATGGTATTGAATGGAAGAGAGCGAAGTCTTGCATGGTGCATGCACAAACCAATGGGATTTGTTGTGTTGTGGCACCTACAGCGATCGACGAGGCATGGCGTATTTGATGGTTTGAAGGGGCAGCACAGCGTACTATTTTTCTGTACATTGCCTGTAGTCTTATGAATAGACCGTGTAACTTTCGCATGCCCAATGTCTTCTGCTTCTGGCCCGTGGTTTCGACTTTTCGAATAGCGGGCGAGTACTGTCTGGAAGTATATAGGACTTTTTGTTGTTTTGGTCACATTTCCACTTTCTGGAATTCGGAGTTCCCTCCTCCAGATCGCTAAGTCTCGTCACCAGTCGCAGCATCCAAACCTTGATATCCAAGAAACACTAAATCACCCTCGCGGAATTGTTCTAGCTCACCGTCACCTGCGAAAAGGCCGATTGTCAATGCCGGTTGTTGAGGTTCTTGAGCCTCTGTGCTGAGTTGGCTGCGCATGAAGTCACAGTACAAGGCTGTCATCCGAATGGTCTTGTTTCTTATGAGACTTTCCAATGTATCTGTGCCAAAACCATATCCTTCAATAATACCTTATTTTGATGCAGCACCTATTCCTTTGGTCCAGAAGGGGGAGGCGCTTGCCATCGGTACTGGCATCGGAGCATTTCCTGGCACTTTGTAAGTTCAAAGTCTTTGAGAGAAAGTCAAACTTAAATTACGTGTCGAATACTAATATACTTTTCCCCCCACTCTCTGTGTACAGTTTACGAGAGGAGGGTTGTATTGCAGCCTCCCAACCGCTTCGTCATGAAGGCTGTTTCTATCAAGTCACGCTGTGCAATACAAGTAAAGATCATCAAGCAAGACCAGGATTCGGCAAAAGAGACACATCACGATCCACTTCCCATTATTGGATCCATGGCCCACTCCCGAATGTTTTGATTTCAGACTCTTTTCCCAGCCCAAACCTCCAACCGAAACGTCCCATGTCCTCTGAAATGCTGAAGTTTCATATCTTGGCATGGACGCATCTCGACCGTCCCCATACAAGAAACACTCTCGCTGCGAAACCTCAACAGCCAGGGATCTTTCATGCTCTCCAGCCGACGAGATCGCCTTCCGCATGAGAGTGGGCCGATTTTCCTCTGTACTGGTGGGTACGGGATCCAGGCAAGTGGGATCGGGATCGTTTGGATCGGACGCTTCGTGTAACAGTTCGCGCCTGACGCTCGGCCCGTTCTCCACCATCCTTGACTTTGGGAAAACAACCATCGTCGCGGCTCTGGAGAATTTTGACGTTTGTGTGTGGTAAAATCCGTGTTATTTTTATTTCGGGTTTCCCGGTTGGGAAGTTCGTTCCAGTGGTGTCAGATGCATTGATGTGGGTAGAGCTGATGCACGACATCGATCTGAGGACCTCTTAGACTGAGCTGAGAAGGTTTGATGGGCAGGTCGTGCAGCTGAGAATGCATGATTGTAGTTATAGATGAATGATTGGCGCAATGGCGACAGGTACTGGTACCCGGTGTCCTTACATTAGGTTTTTATGGAGAACACTTTGACGTTCTGGAGGTACTTATCTGAGAGTGAAGTCCTCTTCCAACCTCCAAGAATTCAAAGATCGACACTTCAGTTGTAGTCCATCAAACACGCCCACCTGTTCAAAGTCGCTACAAAGAAACGTTCATCATGACTTGCTACTGCGCAAACTACTACGTATGCAGTGTAAATCATGTTTTGATATGAACTCGCTTCTGATCGCTTGTCTAGGGCTCAATAAACTGCCACAACACCGTAAGGAAGTTCGGAGATAGATGCGCTCTTTGCCAAGTAAGTTGTCATTGAAACATGAACAAAACAAGCTTAACTAAAGCTTCAAGTACAGTCGAACCATGCCAATACAGCTGGATCAGAACAGAACGGACTACCGCAAGCGAACCAGCAATGGGTTGAGAATGTCCGAAGAGAGCAATTGCGAAGAGAAGAAGAGAAGGCTCGAAGAGAAAGAGTGACTATGACTACCTCTGGCAGGGTACGTTAGAGAAGATCGCCTGGTAGATTTGAATTTTAGCGAGTGGGAGGCATTTGTCAACTTTTGCGGCGTTTTGGAACGGCATACGGATAGATGGGTATAAGTACCATCAATAGTTACTTCCTGGCTGGGCCACGGGGAGACGTACAAATCGTAACATACAAACATACAACCTAACATCAGTCGCTAATCCACAGTCCTTCTTGTCCTTTGTATCCCGAACGCCATTCCCATGTCATTATGGGTCCTTAACCAGCCAAATCGCTCTCCCATCTAAGTCGAATTACCACATCCTCCTCCGATATCCTTTGAACGTTTCCCCTTGACCCTCGGCCACAATCTGTTCTTTGATCTTCTTCCTCCTCTCAGCACGACTCATTGGCTTCTCCTTCGGTTTCGACTTGATCTTTGGTTTCTCTTGTGGAGATTGTTTGTTCGGGTTCTCAACTATTGGCTTCTGAGCACCTTTCGCCTGCTGTGCTTGCTCCTCTAGTTTCTTCCGTCTAGCAGCTTTCTGCCATCTCGTCGCTCCAACCATATCATCGTTCTCTGTATCTGGCGCCTCTTCTGTACGCGTCCTTTCGCTCTCACTGACTTCCACCACTTGCTCTGTGACATCTTGCTCCACCGGCCTCGTTTCTATCTGCACCATATCGACCAGATATCCGTCCTCATTGAGAGTTGGCAGAAATAAATCTGGCGCGGTCTTCGATCTCTGTAGTTGCGGTTTTATCGCCGCACGCAAGTCGCGAACTGTTTGTTGTTGTAATACATATCCGCTCAGGAAGAGTGCTGTTGTGAAGAAGAAAACTGGTTGGGTTTCAGCAGATGATTCACAGTTAAGGAATGGAGGGGAAGATCGAACCGATTGCCGATGAAATAGCGACTGAGACTTGGGCGGATGTTAGGAGGACCATACTGCGTTGAATATTTCGGAAATAGGGATTTGCGCATGAGAAATTCTATAGATTGTAGGTCTGTTATTGTGTATTCTGCGAATTGGATGTGATCTGGATCTGCAAGCTTCAATTCGCATGTGCATTTGGTGATGGTGATGTCAATAAACTCCCGGTTGCACAGGGCAACAATCGCGATAAACAATTCCATGAAGGTGCTCACCGCCTTCGGCAGAACAACTAGAAGCTCCATCAAATGCATCCAAATTCTTGCGACGACAATACCAAACCCGAATTGCGCAACTCATACTCCGGCAGCTCAGGTCACCGGATAGGATAATCTATACCCATTCCCAATTGAGGATACCCGTATTTGATAGCGACAAACATGGCGAATCACCGCGCAGACGAAAAGCGCTTCCTCGACGAGCGCGGCTCCTCAGGACCCCTCGCCCCAAATGGCCTCAATCCAGCGACGATCATGGAGAAGCCAGTCCGGGAGCGTATCATCGACTGCTATTTCTGGAAAGACCAATGTTTCGCAGTCAACGAAGCCGATATCGTCACGCGCGTAGTCGATCACGTCAACTTCATCGGCGGTACATACGGAGATGCGCAACGGCCTTCACCATTTCTCTGCCTCGCTTTCAAACTTCTACAGTTAGGGCCCTCGGACGATATACTGAAGGAATATCTGGAATATGGAGGAGAGAAGTTCAAGTACTTGAGAGCGCTGGCGTTGTTTTATATTCGAATGACGAGGCAGGCGAAAGATGTGTATGCGCTGCTGGAACCACATTTGAGTGATTATCGCAAGTTGAGGAGGAAGGGCAGGACGGGAACAAGTCTGACGTATATGGATGTTTTTGTGGACGATCTGCTGGTGAAGGATCGAGTGTGTGGTACGACGCTGTGGAAGATGCCGAAGAGAGAGATACTCGAGGACTTGGATTTACTTGAACCGAGAGTCAGCGCGCTTGGGGATATTGAAGATCTGCTGGAGAGTGATCCTGAGGAAGTAGAAGGCGAAGAGAGGAGGCAAAGCGGTAGTGAAAGGAGTAGGAGTAGGAGTCGCAGTCGCAGTCGGAGTCGGAGTAGGAGAGGAAGTCCTGGCTCTGAATTTGGAGAAGTCACACCTGACGCGATGGATGTCGATGGTAGTGAGAAGGATGCTGCGAATGGGGATCGGTCGTGATCGCTGGAGGTTGCAGTGTGTGGAATTGGGGTATATAAGACAGGGTAGCCAATGGATATACCATATGATGCATATTGCAATACAAATCTGGCTCTCCCATTTCAATGTGAAGATCAGTCGTAGTTCGAGGATCGTTCTACCCCAATATTACTTGTCAATCAAAGGTTATGAGTTGTGATCATGGTTATGAGCCAGTCATAATAATAGCTAGAATCGCGATAAGTCCGACTTTTGGCTTGAGAAACTGGAACGCTGGCAGCCTGCGCCTCGGAAAGCAAAATCTATTCCCTGAATGTGTTTCGTGCAGGACTCAACACTAAGGCAGTGGGGAAGTAACTCCAGCAGAGACTTGGATGTTCTCTGTGATATGCGTCGGGGTTTGCCACTTGAAGTTGCGTGGCGACCATAAGTGTGGCAATGTTCGCTTGGTTTGTTGACATTCGCTGCTGTGGCACATGAGGAGGACATGCAACAACTCGGACAGTCCTGTTCGACATAGATTAATACGTAGTTCATTATCCTGTATTGAATATCCTGCTTTCTTTGGGGGGCCTGGAACAAATTTACAATCTCGCCACCTTTGATTCCCCCGAGAGAGTCTTTGGGCGACAGCCGAGATTTTCTCGCCTGCCAGTGGACACTCCGGACAGTGGGATATATCTAGAAGCTATGTGACTAGCAATCACATCTTGTAAAGTCAGTGGAGAACTTTGGGCTATATCGTTGGGACTGAGGGCTACAATGTGAGGAACATGGGCAGTAAAACTCTTGATCCAATATGAAGAAGGCCAATTCATGAGAAGAGTTTCCAAGGAAGTTTCCAGACTTGGATCTGCCCGGGAATTCATGTCTGTCCTGAAGTTAAAATGTTTTGGCAGGGAAAACTCGCTACCCTACGGGATGTGAAGAAAAAGGTGGCCGTAGATTGTAAACTGTAAACAAACAAACAAGTGAGCGCTCGTTCACACCATCCTACCATCAGCAGAACAACTTGACGGTCTTTTGTCCGTTTTCAACTCTATTTCATAACACCCTTTAACTTGTACTAAGTCATAGAATCTCTATAAAACTCTTTTATATTTAATGTATGATTTTTCTAGCCTCGCTTACATTAACAGTAGAAATTACTAAAATACCAGCGTGAGTATAGAATGCTATTACTGAGGATAAAAAATACATCAATACCTAGATCTATCTAATACTATTAGCAGAGCGAGATCACCCTTAGAATTTGTGACCCTGTCTATAAGTGAGACTGTTTTTACGGCAGGCAAACTAGTCAAATCGCTCACCTCCGGGATTTTCGGCTGCCGAGCAACCCGACGTGTTGTACACATTGATCATGTCACTTAGATAATAGTCCGTTATCACCAATCTATGCAGCGACGCAGACCACTCGTCCCTATTTCACTACACCACCCAAGCACCACATCTGCGCCAACTCGGAAAAAGCAACATCTAACTGGTCCCCACTCTCAAGTTGTCCATTTCCGAAACACCGCTGTATTTGCTGAGAGGGTATGTCTCGCATGATACGTATGCAAGAACACGACACGGGCGTCTCTACTTCAAAAGCAAGCAAATAAACTCAAATATGTCATATAAGCTTGTTTCCTCCCATCTGTATTCACCGAGCCTCTTACTCGCATTTGCAACCAAGCTCCATATGATTCATACATCTTCAATACGAAATTGTCGCAGATACCAAGGTACGGATTAAAGGAGAATATGTGGAATGAGGCTACTCGGCGAACGACTGTAACGTGAGGCTGCAACACGGCTGCGGATGGACGCGGCTTATGCTCCTCAAATGAGGCTGCTGCAAAATCAGAGAAGAATTGTCATTTGACGTTGTACGAGAAACAGCTGACTGACTCGATCAGAAGAACATGCAGACATCTTGGCCGGTCGAGCGGTATCTTGGGCCGCGCAGAAAGATATACTGAGATAAGCTGGGTTATCGGGACTCAAGGACGATGACGACCCACGTGCTGCCTCCCATCATGCAGCACGGTCTCCACACAGGAGAACAGGGCGATAAGGCTGTCGGACCTGTTTTGTTGAATCATTACTACGACATCGCGAAAGGAAGCCCAAGATCTCGTGGCGGTGTACGTTCGCGGAAGTCTGGTATTTCGTTGACTTTGAGAGGAAAAGGGGAAGGATTGCATTTGCTCTTCTGTTGCGCCGGCTGAATGTCGGCAATCGATGACAAGCGAGGAAAACATGACGACCGTCCACTCCAAGGCAAGGCTGAGGCTCAAAATATCTGCAACGACGCCCAACCAACGACACACGTATCGCATCTCTTTCGAAAGCTCTCGGAGAAGAGCGAAGCATCTGTGCATTAGTCGGTGTCTATACTCGCAGATGGGAGCTTTGGATCGCGGATGACGCGCGGAATCGCGCTGTCCGCCCAAGACATCTGGTGGGTTGACTCTTGGGATGGCAGCCTGGCGTAGGGCGTCCAAGGCGACAACTACTAGCCCGAATAGTGCTTGACGGATCTCTTGTCCTAGAGAAGAGAGCAGACTCTGATGGCTGAGCTTGTAGCGGTGAGTTTGAGCCCGCCGACCATATCAGTTGGGCATGTGAGCGTGAAACGCCGTCGGTGAGGTTGGGAGCAGACGCTAAACGGTACGATTGCCTCTGGGCAGCAATATTCACGCAATCGCTGCGCCATGGGAGAGAATTCTCAAATGATACAGAGATTGAGTGATGGCGGAGAACAGAGAGTAGGGTGGAATACATTCTGATCCTATCACATACCTGTTGAAACCTGCTCCTTGGGTCTGGGCATGAGGCTCTCGTTCCTAAATGTCTCAGTTGGATCCACGGATCCTATTGGAAATCTGGAGTGGCTGGGGTCGCAAGGATGTCTTGCCAGGGTAGTGAGGAGGGCTGCTAGGCTTTGCCAATCGCCTTTCAGCTAGGGCACACTTGACCGGGGCGAATTTCTGGGTAGGGTCTATCTCGCAACCCTCACGGCCTTGTTGAGGGGGAGGGAATTGACTCTGAATGGCTTCATCCCTTGCTATGGCGTCAATCAAGCTCCTGGGAAGGTCGATGGCGGCCGCATATGTCAAGTTTCGAGTCCTTCTAGAAAGCTTTGAAACCATCAACGTTGGTTGCACAGCAAGGCAATCTATGTCCTCAGGCTTGAATGTTAAATCAACAACACAGATCAACGACATCAAAGATCTGAAGCCAAATAGTCACAAAGTCGCGGCAGAAGAAATTCGGTGCTGTTGTGTGAAGGTGGTTTTCATTTGTGACCTGCACAGTGGCCAAAAGCCCTCCTTCGGATTTCCAAACGAAAATAGTCTATCTAGAATAACAAAGGCAATCTCCTCTCCTGTAACGAACGTTCCACCATCGTACTGTCAAGAAACAACTTGAGAGGACAATAAACTGAATATGCCCAGTGGGGCTCCTGTGCCATGAGTCTACCAGTACTCCGCGCGCTATGCCCGATTCCACTTCCAAACACGACCAAAGAAAGAATTATTGAACCGAATGCCATCAGAGGCAGGAAAGGTGTTCGCAAACGAACCCACAGTACTCTCAACTGGCGGGATCGCAGCGTGAGACTGCTGGCGGCGCTGGCGGTTGAGAGGTGGGATGTGGCTACCATTCTGTCAGTGCCAAGAATAATTATATTTTTTGTTGCAAGTCTTACGTCTATGAAACCCTGATCTTAACTTGCTCCAAAGGGCAGTCTGAGCAGCGGTAAACACCACATTCTGTGCAGGCGGGGGTTCTGTCAACAGACATTGCTGCAGATCTCCCACAGTTGCAGCACGACCATAACCATTCGTAGATGTATTTCGCCATTGTGGCAGGTGAGGGATGTATCGAAATTGAGGATTCAAGATGTGACTTTGGGTTGTGACTTGTGAGCGGTACGCGGTTGTCAATTGGAACCTGAGACTGGAGCGAAGATGATGTGGAAGATACCTCGAAATTAACAGCAGATCTAGAAGATATATACAATTTCCGTGTTGTAGATCTATGTTTTGTCGCCCTGAGAAAAGCCCTGCGTAGATATTAGCCAGATGGCGAGCTGCCTCTTCGCCCTTTCCATTTGAGCCTTCGAATGACTGATGGAGACATGAGAACGCCTGACGATGGCAATGCCGCTATCCAGTAGATACCATCCGCCTTGCAAAAACATGGCACAGCACGAGATCCATCTCCTCAGATAGAGTCACTACTGGGCACAGAAGCTGGAGTTGGACGAGGTAGTCGGGAGGCTTAGGAGTCATGTCGACGATAGATGGCAAGCGGTAGCCAGATGAGGAGATCCGAGAATGAACGGAGCCGGTGAGGGTATGGGTGGCACAAACAGCGGTGGTTTTTCAAAAGTGTGCCCTCCTCGTTTGATAGCGACTTGGAAGGGCAGAATGAAGTGGAGACGCTGGCGAGGCGGATATGTCCGAGAGAAAGGAGGTAGTCGTTTCTGGGCCAGAGTTCCTCACTCTTGTCGGTAAGAGCCGATATCGAGAAACCGAGTCCAAAGTTCAGGGCGAGAACAGGTTGCAATGACGACGAAAGCATGACATATTCGTATGAGATGATATCGGGCAAGCAGGTCTCGAGGTTGCCGCGTAGCTTCAAAGTTTCCTGGAGAGCCGAGGCTAAAACGTACTCGCCCTAGAATCGACAGCCTTGTCAAATTCTGCTCCACCCCCTAGTATTACTCACTCCATGCAGAGAATATGAAGATTAAGATAGTTTGGAGCTAAAATGAAATGAAAAATACATGATATGATGAAAAAGAGACAATGGCTAAATACAGTAAGACGCCCCGGCAACTGAGCCGGAAGCAAAACTGCCACAGGCCTATCGGCAGGTAGAACGCGCGAAATAGAAGGCACAGCCTCCAGGGCGACAGCACAGCCGCTGACAAGGCTACACGAGATCTGTTCACACGGGATTCAGGTTGATGGCCGAACAACCCCAAGGACGGTGATGGAGCTGCTGAGTACCCAAGTTCGTCCAGATCACGAGATCGCCAAGCCGAACAACCTGGACGGAAAAGAACGAGTCGAAACAGAAGAAATGTAGAACACCTCTTATTAGATGTTTGTCACATTGAAGAGCGGCCTATAGTCAGTGTACCGAATGTACTCAGTGCCAGTGTGAAACGGACAAATCAGCACCTTCGCCTATAGCACATGACATTGAATGGAAGTATTGATTGTAGAAGTTGATGTAACACATCGTGGAAGTATTCAAACTTGTCCCTCAGGTTAGCCACTGTATAAAAATGGCATCAGCAAACATCACGATCCCTTAGGAGAATGTTTATTCTTACCTTGTATCATGTCTTTGAAGTTTCAACCGGGAAATCAGTGCACCGGTCGTGATAGCACTCCAAGCAATGTAGAACGTGATTGAAGTTGTTAGAGCCAGACTGGCATTTACAACAAAGCCACGCGACTCGTTTGATTCTTGGACCACATGAGCAACAAGTTCGAGCTTCTGACCAGATCATTGATTTTGCGGTTTGTTTGTGATCGGGTTTATCAGACGAGTCGCCTTCATTGTCTTCCATGATCGGCTCGAGTCTGTGAGGTCTGTTCATGGTGCGTATATTCGTCCGGTTGTGTATTGACTCGATCGCCAGGTTCGATTGTCGAACTGACATCTCGACGACGGTAGCAGTTGACACAATACTCGTCAAAGAGGAACGAATGCGGACTAGAACATGTCAGACGTTCCTAGAGTTGGATCAGAGAGATGAAACAATATCTACCCGTGTCTACACCACCCACAGTACCAATTTTGAGGATCTGGCATACAAATGTGAGGAGTGAGGCTACTTATGTGGTGCGTCCGAGTTGGGGATAGAGATTCGGAAGGTAAGTCTGATTCTTTAGAAATTCCGAACGAGACTGCCAGACATCTCAAGTCTTATATTTCAAGACACAGTGAGCGATGCCTCACGGACGGGCGTTCAAAGGGCAGGACGAGGTTCGAGAGCCTCCCAAAGGCGAATTCAATTGGCAGAAGATCATTTTCAGGTCTTGATGAAGCACGCACCGTCGGTGACGCTCTAGCAAACAAGACTGAGATGCGAGAGTGTCGCCGTGACATGGTCATGGCCGTGTGAGTTATTGCATTCGTTCCCAGGTCTGGTTGAAAAGGGTGTAAAGGTGAACCGAGACTGTCTTTTGGGCACCCGTTAAAGGACTGTCAGAGGTGCTGCCCGGTGGCTCGAGACCCCCCCTAAAATCGCCGGATGTAGCAATTTCAGCCCTGGCATCTTCCTACAGGAAGCCACATAACCGTCTTGCCAGAGATGTGCGATTGGCCAGCTCGGATCCTGAAGAGTGTTTCTGGCTCCTGCAGGCCGAATTCTCTCCGCGTCATGCAAGGTACATTGTCATGGGTGAAGCAAATAAATCCATTTGCGTTGCTCATCGGAGAGGCCTTCAAAGAAAGTGGGCGATGGAAGAAAAGATCAAAATGCTGTCATAGCCGAGCACTAGGCTGCTAAATCCTGTTGCCATGAAGACTGAGGAAGAAACCATTCATCGCGTGACCGGGAAATAGAGAAAGATTTCAATCAAACACCAAGAGGGCGATGGAAAATGCACACTCCTAGGAAACTGCCCCATGTCTCTCTGGAGCCTGCTGAAGCTAGACCTTCACAGCCACAGGCAAAGTGCAAAGGGTGCGCAGAAATCATCCCCAGGCGACACTTCTCGCTCTCTTCGCGGCAGTAAATGTGTCCATTACCCTCTACACCCTACCAAGCTATACATGCAAAAAGGAGTAGCAAATCTTTTCACCACCATCATAAGTTGACGAGTGGGTTGCAAATAATCCACTACGTGATGGGCTGCCGTGTACCAGAACTTTCCTTCATTTCTATGAACCGGGCGTGTGGATGGAATTGCAAGACCTCTCAGAAGGAAGAGGGCGAGACTTAGACTTTTGTCGCTCAAGGAACTTTCGATAGGACTCCACTAGGCTCAGCTGAGAAGTGTCTTTCACCCAGATATGCCGGAGAAGGTAGTGGAAAGCCCGGCTGTCCGGATCCAGAGAGGACTCAAGATCAACACATTATCGAGGAACACTGAGCAGAGAGAAGCCGAAAGCTGGCCTTAAGTCCGACAGAGCCACCGGAAAGATATGATGATATGACCTTTCCCATAGCCGTCCACTTGTATAAAGACCACTGCTTGTAAGCCCTGGCGTCTGGGTGGTGATCTCAAAGGATGTTCCGAACTCCAGAAAACTTGCTTTCCCCGTGCCAACGAAGGACAATAGGGTAGCCAATTCAACGAGAACCCAAGCAAGGGAGACGGTGGACAGGGGTCGATTTGGGAATATGAGAGGATTAGATGGGAATATCGAGAGGAGGTTGGGAGGAGGCGAGGCAGAGACCACCTCAACAAGGCTGTGATGACTAATGTGCGCTAAGCTGCCCAGCCTCATCTCTGGACAGCCTCACTTGCTCGAACCTCAGCGGCTGTCTACAACACAACAGGTCTCTGCTATTGATACAGCTTACGGATACACATATTAGATATGCTAAGCAGAGTTCATCCCACCACTAGTTGATGCATTATCATCACTTACCCGATCGGAACATTGGCTGTGTTGGGAATGTTATTGCCACGCGATACTTCGAGACGTGAACCACTATGGCATTTCAGGTGAAGGACCCTGCCAAAGCGCAGCGAATGAACATTGCGACCAATCTCTGGGTGGCTCGAATAATACCATTGATACTTGCAGGAGTCGTTGGATACGCCACGTACGTGCTGGTGGTCGTTCTGTGTAGTAAGTCCTAGGTCGTACTCTGACATGCGTACCCTGCTGACACAGACCACAGTTAACTATCTCCTCGTTAAGCATGAAAACAAATCGGCGGCTATAATAATTCTTGTCATATATTTTTTGTTGTTCATGCTCATGGCAGCCTCCTTTTTTCGCCTTGTCTATATAACCACTTTTGACCCTCCGCTCGTCCCATTGGGGCCCAGTGCCATTCAAAAACGCAAAACAAGCAGTAGAAGTGGAGGGGAAAAGAAGCTACGCGGTGGAATTGGTGGGGGCGAATACGATACCAGGGATAGCTCAGGAGACACTTCGAGGAATGTGGATAATCCCCAGCATGATCCAGACTCACCAGGATTGGAACTGTTCTACACGAAAGACGTGTTTGTATGTGAGCTAGACGGAAAACCAAAATGGTGTTCATATTGTATGAATGTAAGGAAATTCTGGCTCAACTGTTGAAAACGCATTGGAGTCACTATTGTCGTCCGGATGAATATTGACTTTAACGTTTGTAGTGGAAGCCAGACCGCGCGCATCATTGCAGCACCAGTGGGAGGTGCATCAAGAAAATGGACCACTTCTGCCCATGGGTAGGAGGCCCTGTTGGCGAGAATAATATGAAGTTCTTTATTCAATTCAACGCCTATACTGCAATTTACTGTTTGCACTTGCTGGTGGTGATGGCGATCTACGTTGCAAAACAGCGATCATCAAAGGTAAGAGACTAGAATTGCCCGCCCTTGCACTATCGCAATCCATGGAGAGCTGACTGTTGAACTCTCAGGTCGAAAGGGTCAGCGCTGAAATGGTTGTGATATTAGGACTGTAAGCCTCAGAAGCCCTGACCTGTAGACAACCAGCTAACACCACGCAGCGCTTGCTTTTTCTTCTCATTCACAGCTGGTATGGCTGGATCGTCCATTCACCTTGCTATGTGGAACTTGACGCAGGTCGAAGATCTCGGAATCAAAACTAGAATTCACACACTGGCCGTCATCAAGCCCTCGTACGATAGGCTACTCCAAATTAATCCGAGGCTTGCATCGCAACCGATATATGCCGAGATCACATACCCCCTAGGTGCCGGTACTCCACCTCCTCCAGGTCGTTCCCATGGATCTGGTATTCCGAGTATCAAGGCGAACTCGCACTTAGGACAATGGCGTTCTAGCCCAGTTGCTCCAAGGCTCGACTCAGCTTTCCAGCCTCCAAAAACATTGGGCTCCTCAGATCCTCCCACAGCTATAGATTCGTCTAATGCACCAGCAGATTTTCCCATGGTACCTTCTGCACAGCAAAACACCGCTTCCCAAGCGGAGGCTGTTGTGGGAACATCAATGGTTTCATCAGGTTCTCCTCCCGGCACCGAAGCTACAAGTAATAAGGAGAACCTCTCGGAGAGAGATCTCAAGGCTACGAGGACATTCGGCATATTAAGCATGCCAGACGTTGGGCAAAATCCTTGGGATTTGGGCAGTGCCTTATTGAATATGAAAAGTGTTATGGGAGATAGTATACTTGACTGGTTCTTGCCATTTCGGAGGAGCCCATGTTGCAATCATGAAAGCACGGAAAGTCATTATGCCATCGGTCCTTACGTGGAAAATGCCCGAAAGTACGCAGGCTTTGTTGAGGACCCTGCGAATCAAAATACCAGCCAGAATGCTCCTATGAGAAGACGCAAACATAGACGTCGTAGGTCTCGGTCCGGAAAAGAACAGGCCAGTCTCGGACCAAATGGCGACGTTGAGATGGACAAGCTCAAGGAAGAGACACCACAGAGTGGTGCCGAGAGCGGAACCACTGGTAATGGGGAAGGGCGATCATGATTATACGAAGGATTATTTCTGAACTTTCTTTGTACAAAGTATTGGCGTATTTAGTAAATGCTGGTTTGCATGGTTGAGGGTAGGCGCTTGTATACACATGATCGGCTGGGTCTCTGCATATCACGATGACGAGGACCAATAGAGTAACAAGGAGGACATTGGGTGTATGAGTATAACAATATAATCTCACGAAGCTGCCTTTCTGACAGGCATAGCACTGCCATCAAATCCCAAGGTCTGGTAACGCTGGGAAGTGTCGAAATACCGACCTTGTTGACTTTTCCATGTATCTTGGATGCGTTTATCATTCAAAAACCAAGTGGGTCAATCAAATGAGACGCAGAAAATAAGCAAATTTAGGAAGGTCCGTGCATCCTGTGGATGTTTCGGAAGTTTTGTGAAAGATGCTAATAGGACATCGGACTCCATGAGCAAGATGAAGGTACAGCTGGGTGCTGGTTCCCTTGACGGCTGGTTACATAATCTAGCCGACAGTGATTGTGCTTTGACACAGCAGCCAACCTTAAAAAACCTCCTCCTTGACGTGGAACTACTGTATGACCATGATATTGAGACTTCCAGGGACAAGTTTTTTCTGAGAATATCTCGATTATAATAGCAGGTCCTATTGCTGGAGAATATGGGAAAGTTGATTTACAGACCGCCTGAACCGTAACTTACCTCACAGCAACACCCTGGTGACCATGCTATTGAAGAGTCGGCTTCCTGTTTTTCTTCTCGAAAGCTGAAAATCAATAGCTTAGGTTTGCTGCCCGTGATTATAGGTAAGCCTAATTTGCCCTTCCTCCTCGTAACTTTCTCCACTCAGTCCATGACCCAGCTGATCAAGAGCCAGTGGGTAGGCTACATGAACTGGCGGGGACATCTTAGCAAACCATGCATAATTGATCCCTGACAATAATTCAACTGACCGAGTGGAGGGCAAGGATGTGTGTTCTTGCCACATCCGGGTCAGGGAAGGCTGATTGGCAAGCAGCTCTTCTAGAATCCTGCTGTGCCACCACGGGTCTACAACTCAATGAGAGCCGCATGGACGACATGCGAGTGAAGATGAGGACTTAGGGGACTCTCCAAACTACTTCAGCTTTGGAAAAGTTCGTCATATGTAATCACATTTGGCTGTGAACATGAAGGTTGCAAAAGGCTCCCAATACTTTGTCGTGTCAGCTTACGGCCATGGCAGTGACGGACTATCCCTCTCTTCCAGTGTCAGATACGCCCGAAATCTTACTACCACCAAGCACGAGTCACGGTTCCTCTCATCGTCTTGACAAGAGTACCACGTCAAGAGACACAGAGAACTTCTGTTCCCAACAACCATTGCCTGCATAGGCAGCAACAAAACACACTTTGATCGTGGGCATGGACGTGCGGGAAGTGTGATAGTGGCTGCGTGTGTAGGCACCTTCCAGATTTGGCAATGGTCTTCGTCGACATGCAAGTCAAGATGAGGTGTGGCAGAATATTACGCAGAATACATACGACTGCGCTTGGGCTGAAGAATGAGGCTTGCGGCTTCCTGCTCATCGAATATATGGCTACAGTCCGGTTCCCTATTCGCTCATCTCGTCACGTTCAAACGTTGATTCATAGAGTAGACTTGTGTCAAGCGAAAAGATGTTCATAATTCATGGTGCAAGAAGAGAAGTAAAGCAACGAGATCTAAACGACAACCAACATGACAGCTAGCCAAGGAAAAGAAGGAAATCCATGCAGCCAACACCCAAGGGAGAACGCCTACAGCAAAAGGGTATCTTGACAAGAATCAGAGACAAGTCTAAGTCGTGCCGCCATACGCCACCTCGCCTAACGCCTTCCAGCCGACGCCAATATTGAAAGCAGAACAACACCGCCAACAATACCACAGAGGAGGTCTACCCCACCTACCTGAATCAGAACACGACCAAGAAGGACAGGAAAAATGAAAACAACCCCACCCTGACAGCAGACAAAAGGGGAAAAAACTGAAAGGTCGAAACACGAACTGTTGTCTGCCGAAGCGAGGATACCGAGGACGAGGTCGCTAAATGAGCATCGATTCGGACTGTCTTGAGCTTTCAGACCAGGACTGAACGAAATCACCGAGAGTTGTTCGGTAACAAGCGAAAAATGGGAGAGAGCGACAAGGAGCTGAGGAAGTCGACGATGCTGGAAGAGAAAATATGAATCGAAAATGTAAAGAGAGTCGAAGATCGAAAAGTTGCTGTGCTGAATGAATGAACATGAATCGAGAATGGTGTTGTCGCAGGACCTGGGTCACCCGAGTTGTCGACACCATCTGAATATGGTATTTCCTCTACCTCGACACTTGAGATCAATGGCCACCGCTGTCCACTGAGATAATCCTCAAGTTTCTGCAACGCCATCAGAGATTGCTGCAGTAGTAACACTTGGCATGGTTACAAGCGGTGCAATCGTCTCCGTACCAGTCAGAATTGGTTTCGTTGGAGCACCGGCAGCATACCCACCACCCCCTCATGCTAGGCGGGCGACCATATTCATAGCCGGGAGTAGGTAAGCTTCCTACGTGACTAGCACAGTTGCGTTGGGAGTGACTGCGATGAGAGTAGCCATCGACGGCGTAACCATGATGAGCATGTTCGTGGTACCCAGTAGCTGGTGCATGGAAGTGAGAGTGACCATTGCTTGGTCCTTCGAAGTTGATCCCGAAGTGGTCTTTGACTGGGGTCAATGGAGGTGAGGTCGTTTTGCACTCGTCACATCTTGTGTGACTACAGTCTGGGCAAGTTGTCTGGTCTTTCTCTGGGTTCACTTCGCGTCCACCATCGCATTTGCAGCACTTCCACCAAGTTGAGGTGTCTGGCGTGCCGGTACGAGCATACGGAGTGGCAGTACTATCTTTGGTTAGAAGATGGACTGGAAAGGACCCGTGGACGTGAACTTACTTGTCATACAATTGAGATGGATCAAAAGAGTATTCGCCATAGTTGGTGGAATCCATTTCTGAGGTGTTGAGACTGGTCGGGTTGCAAAGGCAGGAGCTGGAGGAAGACTTTCAAGAAATGAGAAGAGATGTCGAGTATCTAAAACAAGTGTGCTGTGATCCTGAGAGGTTCTGTTATCGCCTTAATGTTCTTCTTTTCTTTGCTGTGTTGTTACTGTCCTGTTTGGCCTTTGAAGGTGGCGTCTTTACATTCCTATATAGTCAGATAAGAGCTTGGGCATCATGCTCGCACGCCTCCATGAGGCTTTGGAAAAGTATGCGCAAAGCATGTAAACATATCATGTCGGGCCAGGTGCCCACGATTCTGCTTCCGCAAGACTTCTTCGATGTTTTGTCCAGGGTCTATAGTCGAACTCTGCGCCGATAAAGGAGAGACTTGATCGTCCGGAGAACAACGAGGAAGTATCGTGTGAGCTTCTAAGTGGTTATGTGAGTCGAGCATAGCCTGCTTTGCGGTGAGAAATCCCATCGGAGGCGACTGCAATACTATCAAGGAAGGCGTTGAACTTTGTGGGCGATTGTAACGGACCATCTGTGCGGTGCCAGATCAAACCAGCTTCTCGTTACAGATCGCTACAGCCTCAAGGTTTTCGTCATCGCTGAAATAGCTCAACACAGTATCGTTGGATCTTTGGATGCAGGAAGACAGTAAAGTATGAGCAATACCATCATGACCCTGTCCTGGCCTCAAGGTCATGCGTTGAGGGATCGCAGAACCCCATGACTCCTCCATGGGAAGCGCTCCGATGAACGGCTTGGTGTTTGAGTTTCATCGTGCTTGCTCCAGTCTTGAGCTCGCGGGGGGCGGCGAAGTGGTTTGCATCTCCTATGGGCAAGGCGACGATCGTGAATGCCAGTAGGATAAGCTTATTTCCAATTTCAATGAAGACTACCCGAGCATGCAATATATCATGTGGCAACAGCTTCGCTACTGCGGAGTAGGCGCAGTCAACAATACCACTGATGCAATGAGTAGCGTTGGGCGCCCGGTTGAGGTGGTTGTCGGTATAATGCCGAAGGCTGGAGACGGCTAAGTGTACCGATGATAACATTCCGCGGCAGCGCTGGTACGAAGAAGGTCACCGCGGCAATGCTTCAAGGACCCATATAATCGGTGAGCCTTGTAACAGGTTCCAGTTGAACATCAAGCGCTGTGGTTTTGAAGGCGAGGCGAGAGGGGAGCCGATGTCGCGGATCAATTCATCACAATTGACCTGTCCAATGTCAGCAAATCCAAACCCACGTACAAAGGAACTGTCGACCAAGCCACGATGCAAGCCTCATATATCGGATGGGCAAGTGTTCTTGCGGAAGGTTCTTCGTGGGTCCGTTGTTGGCGCACGGCGTCAGCGATCGAGCACGAGTGACGCGACGTTCTGATACTGATCTATTGCGACCCATTGCTGTGCTTGATCGACATCATTCTGTATAGGCTTCATGTCAGATGATACATGGCTTCTTCTGATACATGTTAGCAAGTAATGTGGAAACATACGAGAGATGGTTCACAGCCTTGCTTGCAGTGGTTATCGCTCCAAGGAATCGCCCTGTTGACGGCAACGCCGAGTGCATATCTAGTTCCAAGTGCCAGGATCTGATCCATTGTTCAAGGTTCTGTACCTCAACAGTGACTAGACGGCGGTCACAGTAGCAAGGTTTGCTTGTTATTGACATATCGATGTTATTGGCGTCGTCACTTCCCGTTGACTCTACAAGTGGGGGCGTCTGACGCAGCTGTTGCTCTGTTCGTCGCCTCGTCGAATAGCTAAGCCCACCAAATGGAAGAAGCTTGAAGGCAGAGAAACGTGACATATAGACCTCGAGGACGACAGGTCGACGCCTTTGCGTAGGCTGTGTGGTTATTGGGGTAATCCATTCAGTCCAACGAAGTTTGAAGGCGCACAAACTTCGCGCATGTACTTCTTGGGGAACAGCATCTATAAGATTTTAGGACCAATGGTACGAGGTCAAATATGGCCACTCATCACCCGTAATTCTTGTAGTTACAGAGCCTCAAGTCTTGCTGAGGGTGTAGTGTAACCCTGGCAGCTTCCTGAAGGGACCACTTGCATGTAGTGTGATAATGGTTGCATAACGGACGGGATGGACGGCAATTCTTGGGAATTCCAACACTGCTCGTCTATCATACATTGCGATTGGAAAGCTACCTCGAAAAAGTACAGCAACCGTCAAACTAGTGGATTCACTTCGCTTTTTCATCCCTCCCTCTCTTTCCGTAGTACTCGGTCCTGTAGAGATTCAACACTTGATCTGATCCCAAAGTAACTTCACACAGAAACATACATCTTCTTTCCGCGATCCGCTTCGGTTGCCTTTCCTTCGAGCCGATCAAGGGCCTCCTCAATAAGGCCTATATGCCCACGAAGTGTTCCCTCGAGTTCGTCCTGTCAAAAATGATCGCCGTCAGGATGTCTCGTCCGAAGCGCGTATATGACGAATCCGGAAGACCTCTGCATGAGTGAGGACGCCACCATATTGATCCGTCCCAGATGAGAAGGATCTTCAGCGGGCTTTGAACGAGCCACATGCACTTGCTCATGTTGATGACATGGATGCAGAAAAGAGGGGTTGCGTATGAAGAATCGGCATTACAAATCCTGAGATAAGTATTGGAATAAAGGAAAATCAAGGAATACTGTGAATTCATACCATTCTTGCCTCGTGGTCTTCAGATAATTCTATCATATGTGATCTGAGGATATATGTTCCTCCCCCTACTCCAAAAAGAGTGGCAATATTGATAGCGGAAAGAATAGCGGGGTTCCGGAAGAGGGAGAGAAAAGACATCTCGGGGATAGAAAGTGGGAACTGATGAAAAATAACGAACGGAATAATACAAATAATTCGTGGGAAACCATTAGAGAACTTTCTACATAGCTTTTTATAATGTGTTGTTGAGATGGTAGTTGACCTGCATGACATCACGATTATGGGAGGACATACACGCGACCCGCTGAAGCCCAAACGCGGCTCGCGTCTCCCAAATATTCCAGAAGTTCATCCTCCTCCTCCTTCACCACAATGCAATGCGACTAAAACTTTCCCCCGAGAACAACGAATCTCGGTATGAAGAACATTCCGAGACTTCACAAGCCTATGGGGCTTTGAGCCAGCCAAGCCGCACATACCTTCGATCCAACTCATTGCGGATTGAATAGACCTGCTCCTCGTCCGCGATCTTCTTCCGGTGTCTCAAGCTTCCCAGCACTGGGAAACGTACCTGATCATCGCCAGACGATGTCTTCTTCGCAGCCTTTCCAGGCTTCTTCTCCACTGTCTGCGGGCGAACCGCGCAGGAAGAAGTCGAAGTTCACGTATCGGCAATTGTCACAACTCGCAGTATCGGCTACCACTTGCCCTTTGAGAGTCATTGCGCATGTGGACTTAGATGCATTCTACGCGCAATGTGAGATGGTGAGATTGGGCGTCAAGGAATATCAGCCGCTTGCTGTGCAACAGTGGTAAGTTCTTGGTTTCGGACAACGTCCTGCGGATCCTTAAATGAAGAGTGAACCTTCACTAACCGGAGATTTGTCACAGGCAAGGCCTCATAGCTATCAATTATCCTGCTCGTGCTTTCAAGCTCGCTCGTCACGTATCTCCCACGGAAGCCAAAAAGCTCTGCCCGGATATTATCCTCCAACATGTGGCGACTTGGAGAGAAGGAGACGAGAAATGGGCCTACCATGACGATGCCGCCAGCAATATTGCTACGCACAAAGTCTCGCTGGACCCATATCGATTGGAGTCTCGCAAGATCCTCAAATGTATCAAGGACACATTGCCGGAAAGCCTACAAAAGGTCGAGAAGGCCAGTATAGATGAAGTGTTCATGGACCTATCAGCACAGATTCACACGGAGCTGCTGGAGAGATATGAGGAGCTCCGAGGCCCTGCTCCTTACGACGACCCTCTGGAGTTTTTGCCTCTGCCGCCAACGACTGTGTAAGTTTGCTTCTTTTACTTGAGTCAGGTCAGCTCCCAAGATTGCTGTTCCACGCGACGCGGGTGAGACTGAACCTGACCGACAGGCTTCATCCTGGTACTCTCCTGTCGAGACTACATTTTCGGGTAAACCTCACTCCAGACGATATCCATCAAGGATTGCCATGAGATGTCAGGTTTGATCAGACACCGTTGAATTCAGCAAGCTCAAAATCTTGTCCAAAGGGCATGGACCAGGGCAGCGTGCTAACGTAGATCACTATTTAGGCTCGACTGGCAAGCCGACGCTCTGGTTGACTTGGATGTCAACGAGACCGAGGAAGACGACCCTGACTGGGATGATGTAGCCATGCTGATAGGCTCTGAAATCGTCCGGAAAGTTCGCGCTGCGGTCCGAAACAATCTGAAGTATACTTGTTCTGCTGGGGTCGCGCAGAATAAGATGTTGGCGAAGTTGGGCTCGGCTCATAGAAAGCCCAATCAGCAGACCGTTATTCGAAATCGCGCTATTCAGCAGTTTTTGTCCGACTTTAAGTTTACCAAAATTCGTAAGGATTTCAATTTTCGAGTCGTTTGGCTTATGTTTTTCCACTTGGAGCATTTTCTGACGAGGTGAGCACAGGTGGTCTGGGTGGTAAATTAGGAGACAGTATGACAGAGGTATTCAATACAGACACATTGCGAGATCTCCTACCTGTTCCAATAGAACAGCTGAAGCAAAAACTTGGCGACGACACAGGCACATGGGTTCATGAAATTATTCGCGGCAAAGACTCTAGCGAAGTACGATTTTGTTCCTTCGGCTGACCAGGCTATTCTGGTCAGGGCTGGGGTTCGATGCAGTTACTGACTCGGTTGCTAGGTCAACTCTCGAACCCAAATCAAGTCTATGCTCTCCGCAAAATCCTTTCGGCCAAGTATAAACACACCAGAACAAGCTAACAGGTGGCTGCGGATTTTCGCTGCTGACATATACTCGAGGCTGGTGGAAGAGGGCGTCCTGGAGAATAAGCGTAGGCCAAAAACTATCAATTTACATCATCGTCAAGGTGGCCAGACCAAAAGCCGACAGGGTCCCATTCCTTCTGGAAAGAAGATAGATGAAGTCGCCATATTCGAGCTTGCCAAAAATATGTTAGGTCAAATCATATTGGAAGGCAGAGTCTGGCCCTGTGCAAATCTGAGTCTCAGCGTCGGTGGTTTCGAAGATGGCATATCAGGAAACATGGGCATTGGAGCATTTTTGGTGAAAGGTGATGAAGCTAAAGCGTTGCAAGCAGATGTGAGAGAATCGAGTGTGGGTGACAGTGGATCGGAAAGGCCTGACAAAAGGCGGCGCACCGATACATCGTCGGGTATCAAAAGATTCTTCGCCAAAACGGATAGCACTGGCGAACATGATGATGATTTCGGCTCCCATAACGTGGCTGGCCTCATCCCTTCGGCCGATGCAGAGGAGGCAGACCAGAGGGCAGCAACCTCGCTGCCTGCTCATCAGGAGGCAACCAAAGCGTATGACAAAAGTCCCTTTTCCACCAGCACATCGGCCCTTCACCAACAACATGTCACAGATTACCTGTGTAATCGTTGTGAAGAGGCATTTGTCACTGCCGATGATCTACAAAATCACCAGGACTGGCATTTTGCAAAAGATCTCCACGATGAAGATCGAGGACGGCCTGGTCAGCCCTCGAAGCTCTCGACGGCAGCGGCCAGTAAGAAGCAATCAGGGAATGTGAGTAAAAAGAAGGCGGGTCGTGGGAGACCAGAGAAAGGGCAAAGCAAGTTGGCTTTCGGATGATAGGGCTACCAGGTTCCCTCGACTTATACTCACCGCACTTTCCTCCTATCGTGAGGTGCCACAAGGTCGGTTCGGCCATGTCGCCTCTCAAAGACGGGAATCGACCCGGATCAGCAGCTAGGGAGCAACTACGGCGATTTTCTTCAAATTATCAACGCTTGAGTTTGTACCCGGCACCAAGTGCCTGTCGAGCCTTGCACTTTTTCAGAACAGAACCTCATAAATCGGCTCCAATCCTGCAGCTATTCAAGTGATATTGATGCAAAGAATGCGGGCTGAGCACAAGGCATTCATGGACCCGATCTGCATGTCCAGGGTCTATCGACCGGGGAGACGCACTCGTTACATGCGATATATTCGAGTAGCATACCCTCCCTGGATATGCATATCTGACTCCACGCGTTGATACGTTTTCTGGGTCAGATCGGATGAGATGTACACCATTTGCAGATCCAAGAGTCTCATACAGCGAAAATCGCGAGCCGAGTGCGTTGTTATTGCCACTGAGGAACGCTGCTTTGAAAACTGATGCGAAGGCAGCAACACTGCATCCCTTCCATGTCAGATCCTCGTCTTCCTTCAAGCTGCTCGTCTATCACAAGCTCATAATTTGAATACAGAGCGCCAAAATCGATATCATAGATTGGCGAATAGACAAGGCGTGACGTGGGCACGAAATTCAACAGGCAATTTTTGCAGCCGCATCAGTATTTCGTGACCATACGTCTGTTTTTCATCAGGCTGCCAGGTTTTGTCTTGCCGAATAGGTCAGCGAATCATGGTGTGGACCTGTGACGAGTTGGGCATGATTAGGCTGGGATGCGTGCCTACCCAACCTTCGGCAGCCACATTTTTGTGACCTCCCACGTCTTTTCTGGCTGCTTTGCCATCGCCAAACGCCCTCCGAGACCCGCAAAATAATTGAGGGCAAGCGGCGGCACCAGCTTCAGACGAAGTTTATACAGTTACATAGTTTGAAATTATATGAAAATGAAGCAAAAGCAAGCCTATTGTCTCTCCTTCAGGTCGGGAAAAGGGCAAACTTACGGTCCCGAATTTCAGCCCTGCCTGCAATACAAGAGATCTCTTTCCTTCTGGTTTAAAGATTGCCCACGTCGTGCAGGACGCAGGCAGGTAAGGAGGACGAACGCAGGACAGTAGTGGCGGTCAGAAGTCCAGCACCAAACAATTACTGAGGACAATGCATCCAGGATCCGCATGAGTGCAGAGTGCAGATAGATAGTAGGAGTCTGTTCCTTTTGATGAAGCAGATATTCAATTATGAGGAGTAGTGATGAGCATGGCGCGCGGGCAGTGGACCTGACAGCTCTGGTTGGGATCTGGACTTGAGGGATTGCCCTTTAGGGCCAGCCTGCCTGAGGTATGCCTGGTACTGGGAACGTGCTAGGACCTGGATTTGATGTTGGGAGCTCAAGGTCTGATAGTTCGTGTGAAGATCCAGTTTTCATATATGTTCCCCTTCCATAAGTACCGAACTGTCTTCCACGACTTTCAACATTTCGCTTGAGAAATTTCTCTGCTCGTCAGCCTCCAAATCCCACCACACATAACCTACACACTGTACTGTTTCGTACCGGCTGTACCGCTGCTGTCGCACCACCCGCAGCCAAAAAAAAAAAGGCATCCTCCAAGCAGCGCGATCACCGGCGTCTTTCCACGATCTCGGAATCATTAGCTGCTGTGCTACTGTCAGTGCTAGCCCAAGCACGGTGCTCCTTGCGGTGTTCAATTCATGGTGATAGCTTCACAGCTAGCAGCCCAGACGCACGTTTAGTAGACGAGACGCTTCCTGTGAAGTTTTGAAAACTTGATGGGCAGGAGGCTGGAAGCCGTGTCTGCACACTTGAACGGACCGTGCGTAAAAGCAGCGACCACAGAGCGCCACGCGTGACAGTAAAAGCAGCAACACCCAGGCCCCTTTTGGCCCAGTGCACAGGCGAAGGTTTGCCGCTGCTTCTTGGATCCCTCCACCACGACAACCCACCACCACCACCACCACCACTACCACTCCTTGCCTGCACTCCTCTCTGCCATTCAGCAGCCTCCTCAACGCATCCTCTGACACGGCCACATCACGTCGCATCACAGCAGAGCGAAGCACCCCCGTCCTCAGCTGCGAGTCGCCCGCGCATTTCCCTGTGGACTCACCGTTCCGGATCATTGGCCTAGAACCATCAACCCACTCAGGACCGCCAGGGCCAGACCGACCAGACCACAGGAAGAACGTCGCAGGATCTATTTCTTTCGAGGCTCCCCCGCCCCCTCCATCATTCCGGCTCTTCCACCTTGGATTTCCATTCCAGGCTTTTCTTCATCTCTCACTCCCCCCAGATCTTTGTACCACCACACTATCCTGTCCCCAAGGCTGCCGTGGTTTACGTGATTTGCACTCGCCCATCCATCCTTCCTACTTCTTGGCCGTCCTTCCTTTCTCCTTCCCACTCTTCCATCGACCTCTTCAATCATGTCGGGCAGAGACAACAGAGAACGCGATAGACGCGCAGCACCGTCATCAGCTTCGGCTCGTACGAATGAGTATTTCGTTCCCAAAGATGGCATCGACAGAGAGGTCATCACGGCCGACATCTGCCGTTATCTAGGGAACGATGCTCTCGTACGGCCGGGCACCTACGAGGTACATCTCTGCAGACACACCTCAGTTCATCCATCCATACTAATGACTCTCTAGAACCCGGCTACTCGACAGGTCCAGACGGGCTACTTTATCACCGCTTACCGGAACCTCACGACCGTAATATCGCACCCTCGTGTCACACAAGATCCTCACTAATGTTGTCAACAATAGGCTATGATCGCAGATCTGAAAGCAGATTCTGACAGATGGGAAGCCGAGCGGAGAGCTACCGCTTCAAGAGGCCAACCTTCAAATGGTATCTCCATGCGAGACTCGGACGGTAATGCTCGAAAATCTAACACACCTATAGTGGGGTACCGTGATTCCACCACACATCAGTCCAGGCAATACTATGGTCCCACGGAGCAAGTGCCAGGAGCAAATCCAGGGTATTCTTCTGCTCCAACACCAGCAGTACAGGGAGTATATGACAGTGGTCCCCAGTATCAACAGCAGTCCTATGGCCAGCCGGCTGGTGGAGGATATGCCCAGCCTGTATATGCCGTTCCGGATAATAATTATTACGCTGGAGCAGATTTGGTAGCTGACCAGCGTTCGCGTGTGCCTGTTGGTCCGTCTGGAGCCAATGTCCCACGGAGCAATCAATATGCCCCAAGTCCATCATATCAGCAACAGCCTGATCCCAGGAGTAATTATTATTCTAGCCAACCTGGGCCAGCAGCCGCTCAAGCCCAGCAGCAATACGCCACACAGCCGAACGATCCCTACTATGGTCGTGGGCAGGGTGCGTACACTCACCTGCCAATTTCTTAGTGCTTTGTTCGAAAAGATTGGTATCTAACTTTTTAGTCCTTCCCGTTTCAGGCCCCTCGTATGATCCTCAGGACTCGTATGATAGAGGCCAACAATACGCGGACACATACAACAGTCAACCTCCCTTGGCTTCGTCGTCCAATATCCAGGCCACTTCCAATACGTCGTCCAGGCGTGAGCGTGAAAGGGCCCCAGAAGTCCGTGACAGACATCATCGTAGCGGTCGCCATTAGGATCTCCGTTTCCGTTTGACTTTACCTATGTCTATGCGTTCCGCATCACAAGGACTGGCTATCGAATTGCATTGTTGGCGTTTTTCATTTGCTTCTTTCCCCGGAATTCCTTGATCTTGCCTGGACTATTGCCGGACACTTACCCAGTCATGGAACCCAGACCATTTTAGAGAGCGTTTCACAGTGTTTTATCAGCCTTTGTTGAACCGCAAGATTGCATCTTATTTCAGAGAATCCAGATTCAGGGGGTCTTCGTACCAAATTGGATTCCACATCGTGGTCCTTACACTCTCACCTCAGGATTTGGATCGATCATCGGTTACGTACAACCCTTTTACATGAGCGGACGAGATGGCCATATGGATGCAGTGGTAGCTGCCTTTGATGCCTTTACGAACCGGACCATGGGAGAACGAAGGATATGAATATTCACGGTTTCTGCTGTCAACTGCATTAGTGATTGCATTGTACAGGCCATTGGGGGCGCTCCATGGCTTTGATTTTTCTGTTAGTCTCTTGGATACCCTCAAAATCTGCTGCCTGGATCGTTTGCTTCGCTGGACTACCGCCTGGATTTATCTTCTACATTTTCCTACTTTTGTGGTGGGTACTTTTGAGTTCGATAGAGCGCGGTTGCATCCGGCCAGGCAGCAGGACGACGAGGAGTTTGTATATACTCCACACAAGGCGCTGGCCCATCTCAACTGGAAGATATCTATCCATCAGTTTCACTTTTCCCGTTCGGATTTCCACTGGATGTCGATTGACCGTGGACAGTACTGACTTGAGTCACTCATCACAGACAGTTACAGTGGAGGTCTTCAGCTGGACCATGGATTCGGAACCGATATGGATTTTCCCTAGGGCAGTCGGATGGCACCTCTTTGGAACCCTACGGAGTCACCTCAGGACCTGGTCGTCTACTTCAACACTTATACTTACTGCACCTTGGCTAGGCAGCCAACCTAGAACCAGGTCAACCCCTATTACAAAACAGGCTGATCAGCCGAAAAAGAAAGAATTGAATTATGAAGGTATGAATCCATGTCACGGAGCATTCAGGAGCAGAGTGCCAATCTCTGCTCTTCCATCAATCAGAGGTTCACAAGCAATACCATATATTTCACGGCCATTTTAGCTTGACATCAATTTGTGGATCTTCTTCGTCATTATATCCCGTGGAGCACAGATATCCGTCAACCATGTCGTGAGGCCAACAGGCATGGTCGCAATACCTTTTCTCTTTCTGCTTTCACCCAAAGGACTATCTCCATGGATTGTGCGTTCCAGCACTCACCGGGTCTTTCCTCTGGTGGATCTCTTCACACGCCTCAGCTACCGCTCACCCTTGAGCCATGATGCACGTACAGGATCTCTCATTCTTCTCCCGAACTATCCTTTTCTGATGCGTGCGCTGCTTGGGCTAGGAGCTAACTTCTGAGTAGACTAGGCGTTTGAAAAGTGTAGGATTCTGGCTTTGGTGTCTGGGATGTTGTTTTTGGTGATAGGGGAAAGAGCTTTTCTTGGCAAGCGAATAGTTTTTGATGGACATTTGCAAAGTCGACATTGAGCAGCCGAATAATCAAGGAGTTGGTGGCAGCACTTGTACCTGTTACTGTTACTGTTACTGGCGCTGGAGAAAATGAGCAGGTGTTGGACTTGCCATAGCGTTTAATGTGTATTTGATTTGAAGCGAAATATGGCTCTACTTGAATTTTAAAGAAATTTCACCCTCTCACACACTCTCTCTGTCTCTCTGCTCTTGACAAGTTCCACTTCAGTACTACAGGACCGGTACCGCTCCACCTTATTCAAAGCCAAGGAGCTCGCCACGAGATACAGGTATTCCCGAAAGTCAGCCTCTTCTTCCACGTGTTTTTCAGTGATGCTCGTCAACCAATGGCACGGAACGGTAACGGTATCTTGGGCTTGGACGGGCTTGGAGGGCTTGGTAGCTTGGTAGCTTGGCAGACGGACGAGGCGGCGGGAGGGGAGGACTGGAAGGGAAGGAGGAAGAGGGAGTGGTGGTGATTTGGGTAGTACAGTACAGGAGATCTCCGAGTATGTGGTAGGATCTGCCCGTCTGGTTTGGTCTGGTGGTTGGATCGTTGGGTGCTGGATGATGGAAGGGGAGGGAGAGATGGGGAGATGGGGAGATGGGGAGATGGGGAGTGGGGGTTGGGTATTGGGGATTGGTATGGATGAGAGAATGAGTGAGAGAATGAGTGAGAGGGAAGAGTGAGATTATTCTCATAGTGAGTGAGCAATTTGTTGTACCTGTGATTTACCTGAATACACAAATACGTAAACAGCACCCGCTCCACGGCATAGATAGAAAACATCACATCTCAGCCTCGCATTAACCATCAACCACACATCCTCCTCACCTCATGCCCATCTGATTGGCCCCCATCAAACCAACCACGCCTGCACCACCGGCGAAGTGCGGGGGACAAGCTGAGCTCACAGCTGCCAGTTCTCATCTTCATATCTATGGGGACATTAACGATTGAATAGGCAGGTGGCATACACGTGCGATAGGGAATCCCTCTTGAGTCTTGGCGACCTGTATGCCAAGAGCGGAGGGACCGAGTCCCTTGTTGATATGGGAGTCGTGGTGCTGGGTTTGAGGGGTGTGATTGGTTGGTCTCGAGGGAGGAGAGGTTTGTGCCTTGGGATGAGGGGACGGAGATGGATGCTTGGCGGAGGCGCCAAGAGGGTGAGTGACGGGGGTGGAGGGAGAGATAGCTGGATGGGGTGGGAAGGCTGAGGAATGTTTTTGTGGGAGGGAGGGGATATATATTCTGGGACGCGCTGTTTTGTCTTTTGGGGGGTTTGACTTGAATGTTGGTTTGGCTTTTTGGTGAAGTTAGTTGGTTAAAGTCAAGGCAATAATTGTAAGAATGAAGTTCTCGACATCGTCTAAGTCGGCGGTTGTTGCGTCGGCATTGTTGGTTGGTGCTGTTTCTGCGGCTGCGCAGGTACAAGAGGATTCGTTGCATAGTAAGAGGGGGTTGGGGAAGAGGTTTATTGATTCTGAGGGGAATTATAATATCTGTGAGTTTGCTTCCAATTTTTCTCCTTACTTGATCGGGAGGGTCACTTGAGAAATGAGTGCTGATGGATCAATTGACAGCTTTCTATCACATCAACGACGTACATGCTCACTTGGATGAGTTCCGCGCTTCGGGAACAGATTGCACGAATAAGACTTTGGGATGTTTTGGTGGGTATGCGAGAGTCAAGACTGTGATTGAGGAGTCGAGAAAGGGACATAATGATAGCTTGTTCTTGAATGTTGGCGATGAGTTCCAGGTTCGTCTTCCATTTCAAGCCCCTTCTAACGTGACAGCGACTAAATTCTTGACCTTCCTCAGGGCACACTCTTCTACTCCTACTACGGAGGCGAGAAAATCGCCGAAACGCTCAACCAAATGGGCTTCGACGGCATGACCCTCGGCAACCACGAATTCGACGGCGGACCAGACAAGCTCGGTGCATTCCTCGAGAACCTCACTTTCCCAATCATCTCCGCCAATATCCAATCCAACAATAGTATCTTGAATGCCACTATCAAACCTTTCCATATCTATCCTCAGTATGAGCTTGCGGTTATTGGTGTCACGACGGAGGATACGCCGAGTATTTCGAGCTCGGGACCCGGGACGACTTTCTCGAATGCGATTGAGGCTGTGCAGAGGACGATTGATTTGATTAAGAGCACGACGAATATTACGAGGATTGCGGCGATTACGCATATCGGATAGTATGTGGCCCTCTCATCCCTCACGCTGTCTTTCCTACCTATTCTGTTTGGAGGGCTGCTCGCTTCGGGGGTCTAAGCGATTGAAAAGCAGCAACGTAAACAACATGTGTTGGGGTGGTTTGCTGACTGGAATACAGCGAGGAGGATCAGAAGCTTGCTGAGGCTACTACTGGTCTCCAGCTTATTATGGGAGGTCATTCTCATACGCCGCTGGGTAACTTTACTGGTGCTGCTGGAGCGTATCCTACGATCAAGACCAACAAGGACGGTGATGAGGTGTTTATTGTTACTGCGTAAGTCATCATGGATATCTTGTCGAAATAGCTCATAGACCATATGCTGACATTTGGGAAACAGTTACCGTTAGTACCATCATTCTTGAGACTCTGTCGAGAGGAATTAAGCTGACTGAGAACAGGATGGGGAGAATACCTCGGATACATCGACGTAACCTACGACCCCTCTGGCAAAATCCTCGCCTACCACGGCGCACCCATCCACCTCACCAACGCCACCGAACAAGACCCTGAGCTCCAAGCACAAATCCAATCATGGCGCGGTCCATTCGAAGCCTTCGCCGCCGAAGAAGTTGGCGTCTCGAACGTCGAACTCGACCAATCGACCTGCCGCCGCAGCGAATGTCTCCTCGGCCAATTCATGGCAGACGCCATGCTCTCCTACCGCCTCAACCAATCAAACACCGCTGACTTCGCGCTCATCAACTCTGGTGGAGTTCGCGCCACTATCGACGCAGGACCCATCACTCGTGGAGAAGTGCTAACTTCTTTCCCGTTCGGGAATGCGATTGTGGAGATCGAGATTGGTGGTGATGAGTTGTGGAAGACGCTGGAGGGGGTGTACACTGGTATTAATCAGTATAATAATAAGAGTGTGACGAGTATCATTCAGGTTAGTGATGGGATTGAGATCACATATAATTCGGAGGCGAATAATGGGAGTAAGTTGGTGAGTTTGAATGTTGGGGGAGAGGCGTTGGATAGGGAGGAGACGTATAATGTTGTTACGTTGGACTTTTTGGCCGGTGGTACGTTCCCCCTTGATTCTTTTACCCCTCAATTCACCCCTCTCTTTACTCCCTCCTGAGTAGGGGCTGGTGTTCCGGCCGGGACATGCACTTAAAACACACTACGATTAGGATCCTGTATTGACGTGTAGAAATTAGGCGGAGACAACATCTTCCAGAAGAAAACCACCTTCAGCATCCTCGACACCCAAGACGAAGTCCTCACCGGCTATATCGAGTCTCAATCACCCGTCAACATCACGCTCGCGTCACGCATCATGAATGCCAACGGTACTGTCACCGCTCAACCCACTGGCACGGGATCGCCATCTTCGCCTACAGGATCGGCTGCTCCCACTGAGACACCGTCGAGTGGGCGGTTGAGCAGAGAGATGGTCTCGGGTGTGATTGCTGTTGCGGCGCTGGTTGTTGGTGTTGTGGGCGCGGGGTTGTTTTAGAGGGTTGATTTGGTGTTGATACAGTAAAGATTTTGTTAATTTGACTTGTATCAATGATTGGAATGATTATGGCGAGGCTTTGATTGATTAGATATGTAGAAAGGAAATTTAATTCTTTGGATACCCATTTCGCTCAGCTGGTTGGCAAGCTAGTGCACTCATTAACGAGATTATTATTTGTTGACTTTTTGGCGAGGAAGGGACGAGTGAGCGCCGGGGCTGTCAGATAAAGAAGGTACAGAACGATAGTCATACTTGGAGCTCTGAGTCCTGTTTCCAAATTTCTATTCCCACAGCTTTCAACTGGCGAACGTCTAGTCCACATCATTCATTCATTAAAATATATATAATGGGCTTGGAAGACCTTGCAAGGCATATTTATCCAATGACGCATAGCTTCTTTCGCACTCCAGGAGGAGGCCATGAGCACCGAATTCCGCCCATCGTCCCAACAGAAAACCAGAATACCAAGAAAAAAGATGGAAAGGAGAACAATAGACCACACTGGGCCCCCGATACGGATAAAATTCTTCCCAATACGAGCTTCGACTTCTGTACTGCTTTCTTTGACGTTCAGTCTACAGACTCAACGCAGACTCTGGCGGAGAAATATGGAGAAGTCAGAGAATACCTAGGAGGTGGCGGTTGGGGAGAGGTACGGCTTGCTCACAAATCGATTAACGAAGACATATCTGCTACGAAGCCTTCTCACCATTCCAATACCCTTCCTTCAGATCCTAAGCTCTTACGAGCTGCTCGTAATCCTGGCAAAGAGAGTATCGCGGCGGCGAATACTTCTTGGGGCTCGGCATACAAGGCTTTGACCAAAGCTCTCCAAGTTTTCGGTCGTGAAGTGAAGTCTGATACGGCTGTCATGGACAAGACGCGCCAGCAACACAAATCTTCCGCCAAAGCTGCCGAAACCCTACGTTTGAATCTCAAAGCGAAATCAGAAACGCTTGTCGCAATCAAGATATTCCGACCTACCGTGCCGCTCTCCAAAATGAGTGAGGGGTTCCAAGTAAAGCATCACTTGTACCGACCAGATCAGGAGTACCTCGACATGGCTCGACTCAACAAGTTTGAGAAGAAAATGAGCAAAGAGTACTTTTGGAGTTGGGACTTGGATCACCCAAATGTCGTAAAGGCCTTAGACTTGATGCGCGATGATAAAGGTCGCCTGTGTATAGCGCTAGAGCTCTGTGGAGCCGGCTGCTTCTTGGACTCTGCCCGTATGGGAGACATCGACAGGCAGCCCCTCGAGAGAGAAGAAGCGGATTGTTTCTTTATGCAGTTCATGCGTGGCTTGAGCTACTTGCACAGTCGTAATATCACTCATTACGATTTGAAGCTGAATAATCTCATATTAACGGTAAATGGATGTGTCAAGATTGCCGACTTCGGACACTGCCTGAACTGGGCAACGATGATGAGGCTTCCTCGCGGACATCGAATAAGACCTGAAAGTCCACAAATGCTACCCCCGCAGTGTTTTAACGACAGAAGAGAGCTGTTCGATCCACGAACTTTGGATATTTGGGCAGCTGGGATGATCTATATCTTGTAGGTTCATGTGAGGTCTCAGACTCTTCTCTCTCCGAGAAACTTGCCAACCCCGTATCGCATCTTGTTTATCCCCCAGAGATTTTGACAAACCAGTGCTGATGTATTCCCCATCAACACAGAATGCGGACCGGAAAATTGTGCTGGGACAAAGCACATGTGAGCAACAAGGATTACGCCAGATATCTTCAGTGCAGAGGAAAACAGACCTTTGAGCTGTTCAACCAGCTTGGAAGCGTAGGTCCTCCTTTCTTTTGATGCAAGCCCTCTCAAACATGTTGACTGTCAAGTCACTGACAGTTCTACGGGGCAAAGAAAAGCTGTGCTGAAGTTCTCTACCGGATTTTCCGTCCAAAAGCCAACCAGCGTGTCATGACTAACGGGATCCTGAACTCGGCGTGGGCGAGGGAGACTCATGTTTGCTCGGCGGGGAAGCTGGGTTTGTAATTTGGTGTTTAGTGCTTGCTGCATGCCGAGGATTTCGGTGGCTAGAAACCTTGTCTTGCCTTGGGATGATAGGGATCTCGGAAGAAGAGAAATTTGGAAGGAGTTGACTTGGGTAAATCGCACATTGCCTTGCTGTGCACTTGCAGCAAAGTCTGATATGAGAATATAGCTTTGGCTCTTGGCAAAAGAACTTTTCTCTTGAGGTCGAATGTTAATTTGTGCACGAGGAGAAATTGATTGTTCGGGTATTTTAGTCTAAAAATTATTGGTTGTTGACATCTAAGCGAGCCTCCGTTTTGCCTGCCCACTGCCAGGGCTCATCTCGGCGAGATGCGGGAACGTTGTATCATGACTGAGATACTTGGGGAGTTGTAACAGGGCTGGATTCAGAGATAGCTTCTTGTGAGGTTAATTATCTGTGTCGCATGTCTTTGAGTTAACTTTTTGAATCCCTTGACAATAGAAGGAACACGAAAGTGAGATGATGAATCTGATAACATCGAAATTGCACATTGTAGAATGTACATCTGTAGAAGTTGTGAGGTTGAAGCTCTCCCCTTAAAGAATATTTCTCGTGCTTCAACTCTATCCATAAAATTGCTGGTCGCCTAGAATCCACAAGGAGCTCAGTTCCTGGCGCCAGAGGCTCATCATCGATGACGAGCTTTGGATGGGCTACTCGAATGTCATCGTGCAAGCTGATCAGTCATGGGTTAATTGTGTTGTCAAAAGGCAAGGAGCGAGAGTAACAAGATAAGCATCGGCAGATTTCTAAGGTGCAACATGCTGTGGATTCTGTATTTATGCAGGAGATGTTTTGAAGAGGCATTTCTCAGGGGTTCTCGCTTGAGGAGCACGGACAGCATGCCGAACCAGGTGCATTTAACCGAGCCAAACGCATGCTCAGTGCTTTCCCCGACCTGGCTCCTGGTACCGCATGCTACTCTACTCCCCTTTTTCAGTGCTTTAAAACCGGATTCTCTCCACAATAAGGAATGAGCATCACGCTATGGTATCAAGCAGATTAAGCAACGTGCCGCATTGCTCGGCGGTACATAGCTTGGGAGGAAGGTGGCTAAGCTTTAATACAGGGGGAGTATGCGAATCTGGAGGCAATCACCGAACGATGTTCCAACCGTTGGTTGGAAAATGTCTAAGTATGAAGCGAAAGGATCCAGAGCCAATTGTCCAGCGGCTCGATGCTCTCGCAATTGACATTTTGTTGGAAACACTGTATGAATTGACTTGGCACTTACTACGAAGATCGGACTTTCTTGTTCTTTTCACTTCACCCTCGGATCAGAGACAAGTTCAACTCCCTCACTAGTCTCTGTACGCTGCGCACGCGCTTTGATATTCTGACTTTCAGAAGGCACGCCATCAGTCGCTCGACTGAATTGCACTTGTTAATTGAAAAATAGAAAGTTTATTTCGATGGCAGTGTGGCAGTCATGAGGCTCTCCTCATATCTGACGCGTTCGTCCTTCAGGACAACATCCCTTACCATCTTTGTTCCATTTTTCTTTGCATATACCGCGAATGCGGCGGGAATATCCATTTGTCCACCAGCCAACTGGACCGAGTCCAGCCTAAGCGACCTCCGCCCGGATTATTCTGTTCCTCTGCCTCCATCATCAGGAGACTCGACAGTGATGATGACTATCATATCCAAGCTGGGGAACTCAACTGCCCCTACACAGGCGTCACTGGAATTGAGGTAGACCAAAACACGTGTAAGAAGCTCGCAACCGAAGACGATATCACGGTCGAGAGGTTTCTCTTTCTAAATCCTGAAATCGATCCGGACTGTGGAAACATTCAGTCACGAACAGAATACTGCACTGAAGGATGTGAGTATCAATACACTATTTCTTTCGGCTAGCAACTGACCAGTGGATCCTTGATGGTCAGTTATCGAGCCATTGAGAGCTTGGGATGGCCTCTGTGGTCCGAAGCACAACAATGCAACGTGCGTCGGCATGGATTATGGTCAGTGTTGCAATTCGGAGACCTGGAAATGTGGGGACTCAGAGTAAGTAACTCTTCAGCGGATGGGATGTCTCATTCCCATGTCAGGATGATACTACAGTTACATTATTCACTGACTTGATTTCGTACATCTCAGGGAAGATTGCGCTCGAGGCACTTGCTATGAGGGCACATGTGCTGGTGACAGAGTATATAGCACAGATGGCACCTGTGGGCCTAAATTCGGAAGCCGTCTCTGCGCCGGGAAATGGGGTGATTGTTGCAATCTGAATGGGAATTGCGGTACTGGTGCTTCTTTCTGCGGTGAAGATGTCTGTTAATGGGGGAACTGCCAAAGACCAGTCAGGAACGGCAGTGTGCTACCCTTCTTACTAGCAGGTAATACGACGGATGGTACCTGTGGCGGCCCGCAGTCTTTGACTTGCAATGAAGTGTATGGGAGTTGCTGCAACAAGGATGGAATATGCGGATCACTCCTGTCTGATTGTGGAACTGGATGGTACGTCTCAACTGCTTCATGTCAATCGCGGGCATTGATACCTTTACCATAAGCTATTCAGTGGCGGAAATAATACTAAACTGAGATTTAGTCAGCCAAATTGGGGTACGTGCATGAGCACAAGTTCAGTGTCAGTGGTATCTTCAACGTCCATTACCACTACCACTTCCAGCCCCACTTCCACATCATGCACTGGAATTGGGTTCGCAATGAGACCCCCATCTGGGTCCTTATGCGGCATCTCAGCGATCCCAGTTGCAAGAAAATAGGGCAGGAATATTGACCACCTACACGAGCGGGCCATCTGTCACGCACCCCAAAGCCTGCGCTGCAATATGCAGAAGGACAGCCAAATGTACCAACTTCTACTTCACGTTTAACACGACTTGTAACTTGATGTACGGACCCGTCTCACACCTCGCCAGCATCGACGGAATCAACGCGCACAATATTAATCTTCAGAAAAGCGGCATCACCGTCTACGATCTCTACACAATGTCATGTTTCACTTGCTCGACATCATGCTACAAAGCTGCTATCGCTACTCCCGCACCGGCTGGAAGTTTGTGCAATGTCCAGGCTAATGGGATAGCGTTGGCTGGGTCCGGCTCGCTGGCTTCGTACACGGCTGGCAGTCCTTATACTGTAAGTATTGAAGAGTGCGCAGCTGTCTGCATGCGTATTGAAACATGTACGAATGTGTTGTTTGTAGTTGGGAAGAACTGTGATTTGAAGTTCGGACCGCCGGCGTATGTTCTCAATCACAGTGGCGGTAATGCATTGTCGCTTTTTGATATGTCTTGTTTTACGTGTATTTACTAGCGAGATTTGTTTGGACTGTTTAGTGGTAACATAGCGTTAATTCGTATATTTACTACTTTGTGTCTCTGGAGCATACTTGATGGAGCCTGGGAGCTTTTGGATCATCAATCAACAATGCTGAAGCGAGGCGCTAAGCTTCCCTTTCCCCGCCTACCTACAGCCTGGAATTTCGTTGCACTCCTCGTTTATTTGTAGGCTGTCCATCCCATCCTGCCATCTCCGTCTCTACAAATAGTGTAAGTGTGTTCCATATGGCAATTGAGGGAAGAAATGATGGGAGTCACAGGACTGACTGAACTGGGTATCTAATCTATATCTACATTTAAAACTTGAAAACTTTTGAATTTTATAATTACCTTTACAGGTAATATCTCTCCTGTTGGAATTTGACAATGTAGCCTGGACGTAATGGAAAGTACTGTGCTGGGGAGCAATGGAGGAGCATACCTATAGGTACCTTAATACTCAAGGAAGCCAAGTGTCTTCCCACGTGGAGTAGCAGGCTTGAGTATCTTTCGATATGATACCGAAAATGCGGATGCCGAGACTTTTAAATAGAACATAACTTTCTCGTATCAAAAACAATTCATAGAAAGTCTAATATTCCGAATTTCCAACTCGTACTCTCTTTTGAACCTCTTATGTTAGTCCGCGTTCCGTTCGTCCCTGCTATAGGTACCTACCTACCTACCTACCTACCTACCTAGATTCAATGCAATCCAATCCAATCCAATCCAGAAAAAATCATCATAGTTCTCATGTGAAGCGAGGTGGATGAATACCTACTTACTTTAATCAATTCTACGCGTCCGGTTCCGCGGACGCACAGCTGTGCGTTCCGTACCGTACCCTGGACATGTTACCTGCCTTACCTAAATTAAGAAAAAGCTTCGCTCACGTAGTCGTCGTCGTCGTCGCATGTCGTACAATGCAGTAAGCGAACGCAAGCATGCTTCATCCTGGGAGAGAGAGGAGAAATGCCGAAAAAGCTAGATACCGTTATAGTACGAGTCTAGAACTTCTGCCGAGTGTGAGTGCCGGGTTGACGATTTGAAGTCTTACCTAGATTGGGACTACGAGTAGATCACGCAGTTTTGGGTTTTTTTTTTTTTTTTTTTTTTTTTTCTTTGGCTTTGGTTGGGTTTGAGTTTAAAAGGTACGAATGTAAAAGAAGGTGGTGTTGTGGATAGGCAGGACGATGACGATGACGGGTACTGTGGAGTGGAGTGGGTTACGTGGCTACCTACCTTTAGATGGAATCGATTAAAAGGGCATGAGGCCACAAGGCACACACACATGTCGCACCAAAACCTACCAATGCTGCTTTTGCGATCGTACCTCACTGACTTAGAGAAATCGATAGTCGCTTGCGTGGGTACATAAAATTAGATTTCTTAAGTAACGAAATCACAACTTCTGAGATATCTGAAAATTGCATTAAAACTGCGTATCTTAGCTATGAATTATTGTTCCTAGAAACAATTAATATAATCGCGTTAAAGCTGATGATTCTATATATGATTTCATACCTCTAGGTAGGAATTCTCGCTTGTTAAAGTGGCATGTGTACCTGATACAAGGGCTTATTTGTGTGTTAGTGTGCCTTGTGGCCTCATGCCTCTTTAATCGATTCCCTTTAGATAGGCTATGGGGAAGCAAGCACATGCAAGAGGTGGGTGGTGACTGTTTAATCTTTAGTGTTTAGCAGGTATGTTTTGGTGCTCCGATGCACTTCCAGGCCTTTTCAAACGCCGAAGTGATGATGTTCACGATAATTGCAAATATCCACTGTTCCGCATAAGTAGGCCTGCATAGTATGCATATGGTGATGGCATGGTGCGCTGCGCTGCTGCATGTGATTGTGGGTAGGTAGTGGCAATGGTATGTTCGGTGTAAATGGACGCATGAGTACAAGACACGTTGGAACTTCCCCCAGATAATTTACTTACGGGAAGCCAAATGAATCACTTGTGCGGAACGTCCTATACGCAGCGTACTGCATCCAGCCCCGCATCTACCCAGACCGGCAGTCAAATAGCGGAGGGATTGAATTCTTAATTTTCCTTGACGTGAAGCAGAGCTTGCGAATCCCTCGACAGTAGTCCGTCTTTTAACCGACACGTGCAGTGCCTGAGCGACGAAGCTTTCGTCTGAACATCTGAGTCCGTGGATCGGAAGGGAGGCTCGTTCACTCATCCCTTCAAGTTCAGGCAATACAAGTACAGCCAAGAAAAGGACAGATAAGGTAGGCCTGACAAGCGAGGTGTGGTGAGAAGAGAGTGTGTGTGGTATTTTTATTTTTATTTTTATTTTTATTTTTATTTTTATTTTCTCTGGGGTGAGTAGTGAGGTGGTTTCAGTGGTCGCGAAGCGGGCTAGGGTACCAGATTCTCGGGGTTGAATGCTTCGATGGTGGTAGGCGAGGCCAGGTCAAGGCTAATTGCCTGCATACGTAAATTACCGTACCTTTCTTGTACGAAAGCAACAGGCGAGGGATGATGTCTAATTCGCCTCCTTTAGATCAATAAAGTATATAACGATAAGCTGACAGCATCATGGATTATTACTGTATTGCGTAGAAAGGATTGCGTACATTCATTCCATTATTATTCTTACCAACTCCTGCGGCGATACCGACTCGACCGACTAGTGACTGCCGTCAGAGTCAGACCTGAGAGGCAAGTCAAGGCTAATTGGTCCCCACAGTACTGGCCCACTGGGTTCAGTTAGATTCAGCGAACTCAGCTCCACTCCTCCCGAGTAGCTGTACGAGTATGGCAGTAGTCTTAGTCCTCCTGAAGTCCTGAAGTTCTTGGTTGGACACGACATTTCCCTGGTTTGGACTTCTTCCCACCCTTGGGACCAAGACCAAGACCAAGGACAAGAACAAGAACAACGACACCTCCCTAGATAGGCACGATAACCTTACATAAGGTACCTAGCCTAAGGCAGGTACTTACAGTACAGTACAGTACAGTATTGTAGGTACTTTAACTTTACCTGCGCGTCCTAAGTTCCTAACCTGACCTACTTGACTGTTGGTAAACCTTTCTCATCAAAATCACGCACTTCAAAATTCAATCACTGAGGCCAACATTACAGTATTACCTATTTATCCCATCGCACGCACAAGCATTTGTGACGGCGCACGGCATTGAATGCAACTGACACCCTCTACCCTACCCCTTCCGCTCCGTCCGCCCCGTCGACGTAATTGGTGCGCCGCCCGCCCGCCCCTGCTTCGCTGGCCTGGCTCACTACTACTGGCTGCCCCCGATCAGCGTTCTCCTACCTGTTGAATGCGAAACGATCGACTTTTGAAACGCATCCACGCACAGCCTTGCCTTGCACCCTACGCCTTGGCACCGAAGAGTCCCCCGTTCACGTTCCCCCTGCCCTGACTTTTTATCCTATCTTGTCCTGTCCTGTCCTGTCCTATTCTCAACATCTTCAATTTCTCAACAACACCACGACTTCGACCCTCAATCATCATCTGCAGTCGATTCCACGAGGAAGCTGACCTTCCTTTCCTCCCCTCCCCTCTTCTTTCCTCGCTTTGCCGGACAGCATTTGCTGTCAATTGCTTGCACACGATGTTAACATTCCGGCGAGCTCTGATAGGAGCTGCTTGCTTCCTCACCATGCTCTTCCTGACCACCCGATCACACACATCATCACCGACAGATCAATTACCTCCTCAAACCTCCGAGTCACGGCAGGCCTCCGAACACACCAGCGAGACAGGCCACACACAAAAGACGCTCGTGTCGAGTTCGGGCGAGAGGCTGCCCAAGAAGCAGGCAGGGGGCCAGCAGCTACTGATGGACATGTCTCGCGCGCCCCTAGTAGACAAGCTGGCATACCAGTTCCCGTACGACGTTGAGGTCAAGTTCCCAGCCTACATCTGGCAGACGTGGAAGTACACGCCTGCGTCCGGGGAGTTCGGGGAGAATTTCAGACCGGCTGAGGCGTCCTGGAGTGAGAAGCACCCGGGATTCATACACGAGGTCATCACGGATCAGGTTGCGGTACATCTGCTGAGACATCTGTATTCGAGCGTGCCGGAGGTGTTGGAGGCATATGATGCGATGCCCCTGCCGGTGTTGAAGGCTGATTTCTTCCGCTACCTGATCCTGCTGGCCAGAGGAGGGATCTATTCGGATATCGACACGCATGCCTTGAAGTCGGCTGCAGAGTGGTTGCCGGAAGCTGTGCCGAGAGATGCGGTGGGATTGGTGATTGGTATTGAGGCGGATCCGGATCGAGAGGATTGGGCGGACTGGTATTCGAGACGGATTCAGTTCTGCCAGTGGACGATTCAATCGAAGCCTGGACACCCTGTTCTGCGGAACATTGTCGCTAACATTACGGAGGAGACGCTGAAGAAGAAGAGATTGGGGACGTTCAAGGGGTTCAATGACAAACAGGTCATTGAGTATACAGGACCTGCTGTGTGGACGGACGTGATTTTCGATTTCATGAACGATCCAAAGTACTACGATACCTCAAAGAGTGATAAAAACATCACTTGGAGGGATTTCACTGGGATGACTGCTGCAAAGGTAGTAGGAGACGTGGTCGTTCTTCCAATCACCAGTTTCAGTCCTGGAGTCCAACAAATGGGAGCAGAAGACTACGATCACCCAATGGCTTTTGTCAAGCATGAATTCGAAGGTATGTAGCCTCTTTTCATTGTTTGAAGCAAATCTAACTTCTGCAGGTACATGGAAACCCGAACACCTTCGACACATTGGCGTAACCAACGATCCAAACGACCCTAACAACCCTAACAACAAAGACAAACAATTGTAAAACCAACTACCAACCTACTTTCACTGTACATTTTTTTTCACCACCCAGGCGCGACAAAACAAAACTCTCTTCTTTTCATACTGCATTGTCAAGGCGTACACATTCTCGAGTTCATATGCATAAGCGGCGCATGGACACTTCCCAGTCTCGATCCGAACTGGCTGAGGATCCTCCGATCCGACTAATAAGTTCTTGGTACTTTTCCTTTGTTTGAGCTGGACTTGGAACGAAGAATTGGGGAGGGCATATCTGATTTTCTTTTGTTTCTTGAACGCACAAAAATAGATTTGGGTGGGAGTCTTGCCTTTACTGTTTGTTTGGTTCATTTGAAGAACCGAAAAGTTGCATTTCCTGTACTTGGACAATGCTTCCTGCGTTTGTTTGTCTCTGGCTTTCAGATGATAGTTGGGCTTGGAAAGCAATATGATGGATGGATGTGATCCATTCCGTTGGATCCAACAGCACTCCCGCATACCTTGTCCTTGTCACCTGCAGTCTCGGATTCTTGGAGGAAAAGCAAACGGCAAGCAAGCATACGGGTTGATTGAGGAGGGAGGAAGAGAGATAGAAGGATATGAGTACACAGAAATGAAACGAAGAGATCACAGATCAGAGATGGAGAGGAACACGAGTTTTTCAAGGGCTGAAATCTTGTGTGTTTGTTGTTGTTGTTGCTGTTGTTGTTGATTGGATTTTTGAAGTTCTGTTTGTGTTGGGGTTTCGTTTGTTGGACTAGTCTCCCTGCTCCAGTTTGTGTGAGGGAGGAGAGGAGAGGAGTGTGGGTGGTGAGATGGGATTTTGGGGATGTGATGGCGATGGAGAGATGCAAAGATTAGTCCATGGACAGGGAATGAAGCACTGTTTATGCAGATGACTTGAATGGTGAAGGGAAAGGAAAGGAATCCTGCATAGAGCAGACAGTTGGCAGAAGGTTGGATGTGGATATAGATATGTAATAAACGAACAGTTTATCAACAACTCCTTGATCTGTGCATTTGAGACCTAGCAGTCAGTGGGACCGGTTTCTTTCGATGTTCACAGTGTGGTAAGTCACCTACCACTTATGCTTTCACCTATCCCGAGATAGCACGGTAAACTCGACAAAAACCAAAAACAACAAACGGATACAGGAGAGAGAGTTCACCTACCTACCTACCTACCTACCTCTGCACTCGTACCCCTTCCACTCGAGACTTCGCGTGATCATCATGTCACTTTTATGGCTGCTATGTACTCGGTAAAGTCCTTGCATACATCACACAAATGTCTCTTTTCCCCCTGGCCTCCCCTGTCCACACACTCCCAACGTCATTTGTGCTCAGATGTAACCAATGTAATCTAACCAACCCACCTTGATGAGATGAGATGAGACGGATATTCAGGGGATTATTTCCCTTTGTCTCTTCTCGTGCCACGTATGGTATGGTAAGGTAAGGTAATTTTTCTTGACATTCCTGCTTATTATGTTGATTAGATATCGATGAGGATTTTTGGATTTGGAGCTTCTAGAGAATTTGTTAGTTTACTTATACCTTCTACCTATGAATTGAATTGGGGTAATTGGGACTTCTAAATTGCTACCTAGGTACAGTGACTCGAAATTATGTTCTGTTCATGGGGTCAAGCAGATGTCTCCATATATTCCTATCTGCCAAGGTAAGGTTAGGTATTGTTGACAGCTTCGCTGAGTGACCTGAAATCAGGGGATCCATCCGGGGGCGGAACATCCCCGCCCTCTTCCAGGTTTCGGCACCCGACGCGACCCCGCATTCTCGGGAGAGCTCACTTCTAATGCGGCTTCGAGCTCTGAGCTACTTACAGTACTGCCTTAGACCGAGCTCCTCTCAACTACAATCTACTTTCGCAATTTTTCCTGTTCTCGTACCTATACTATAATGTATTCTCTCGATCACTTCACCTACCCCAGCATATTCGAGTGAGCATTGAGGAGCGACTTGCCTGCCTGCCTGCCTGCCTGCCTGCCTGACTGACAGACTTATTGGGTAATTGAGTACCTGCTATGACCTATGGGATGAAGTCGCTATGATGCATAAGGTTATGTGTCTGGGAAATAATAGCTTGAGAATGGGAATTGGTGGGATACGAGGTTGGGGTTTTGGATGTGGATGGAGGAGTTCGAACGTAAGAGCTGCCGTTGGATCGAGCAGTGGAATGGCAATGGCAAGGGCTTTGAAGAGAACAAAGATTGGAGCTCCGAAAGCCAGGATACTGTCTGCTCAGAGGAGAGGTCTATTGACGAGTAGTTACTCTATCGGTCCCTCAGAGGTACTTTCCCTCCCTCTTCCACCTCCCCATCCCTCCTCTCCTCTCCTCTCCCTCTTCTCCCTCCCCTTCCCCTCCCCTTTCCATCCCCCCTCCTCCCCCAACACCTCAAACCAAACCAAACCCCAGCTAACCTCCCCCCCTCCCCCCTCTAGCCCCCCCTCCTCCCACACACAATCCCCCAACACTTCTCCTCAATAGTCTCCACCCACGGCGACCGACCCGCGCTCATCTCACGGAGCCAGAACGAGCGTCTTACATATAGGGAGTTGGATGAGAGGAGTACGGCGCTGGCGTTTGCGTTGAGGGAGAGGGGGGTAAGGAAGGGGGATAGGGTTGCGGTTAGTTTGGGGAGTGGGTGGGAGTGTGGGGTTGCGACGTATGGGGTTTGGAAGGCGGGTGGGGTGTTGGTGAGTTGTGGGTGGTTTTCTTTTGGTTTGGGTTGAGAGGGGGTTATTTTGGGGGTGGACTTTGAGGGGGGGAAGATTGGGTTTGAGGACGGGTGGGAGTGTGAGGAAGGAGAGGGTGACGTTTTGAGGGAACGACGCTGTATTTTGAGGTGTCAAGTGAGGAAAGTGGAGAAAGCGCGGCAGGAGGGCGACAAAGGGGAGGGTGGATGTCAAGTGACCTTCTACTGATGATGTGGACTGTTGACATATAGACTTATTTTCTGGGCAGTTAGGAAGTCCGAATTGGAGCAGAACGAAGTCTAAGGATCATTGCCGGAATTTTTCTTTGGAATTCTCAACTTCAATTCCCAAAGCTAACAACCATCTCAGGTCCCTCTAAACCCAGCATTCAACTCTCCACAAGTCATCGCCGCGCTCTCACATCTCTCAGCCGCACACCTAATAATAAGCACGGAAACGAATCTCCCTTTCAAACCACCACGTGAGAATATCTCACTCTTGAAACAGATATGTCCGGATTTACATAAGAGCAAGGTGGAATCGTCGGCTGTACCGTCATTGAAGAATGTGATTTTGGTGGATAATTCCGATGGGAGGGTGGATGTTAGTAAAGTTGGGTGTACGGTGGGATATGGAGATTTGTTGGAGGAACAGAGGGGGACGAGAGGGAAGGAGGTGGTGCTTGAGGAGGAGATAAAGGTGGATGATATTATCAATAGTAAGTTCTGAGTTCCCTTTTATATTGTACCCGAAAGATGCGGAGAACATGCGGTTTGATTTTCTTACATTTATTGTGTCTCATCCTTTGCCCGAAAGAGTAACACTAACTCCCATAGTCCAATTCACTTCAGGCACTACATCAACACCCAAAGCCGCTTGTCTAACACATACCGGCATCCTCAATAATGGCTACTTCATCGCAACCAGAATGGGTCTTACACCCGAAGACATCGTATGCTGTCCTCCTCCCTTATTCCACTGCTTTGGCTCCATCCTAGGCTACATGGCAACCGCCACAACAGGAGCCGCTCTGCTCCTCCCCTCCGAAGCATTCAACCCCACCGCAACTCTCCTCTCCATTCAAGAAGAAAAATCCACAGCACTTTATGGCGTAGCCACCATGTTCGTCGCAGAACTCGAGCTCCTCGCCAACAGAGTCGTCGAATACAAAGGCTTCGAACATCTGCGTACTGGTATTGCAGCAGGCAGCTCAGTTCCCAGCAGTCTTATGGAGAAGCTTCATAAGACGCTCAATCTCACAGGCCTAACAATTTGCTACGGTATGACGGAAACCAGCCCTGTATCATGCATGACCACACCCGACGACCCCCTCATCAAGCGCGTCGACAGCGTAGGCCGCCTACTCCCCCACGTCGAAGCAAAAGTCGTCGACGTCTCCGACGGCAAAACCATCCTCCCCATCGGCCAGCGCGGCGAACTCGTAGTCAGCGGCTACAACGTCATGAAAGGGTACTGGGGCGACTCTGCACGCACCGCCGAAGTCAGGGTCATTGAGAAAGACGAGAACGGCAATGAGAAGGTGTGGATGTATACGGGTGATGAAGCGGAGATGGATGAGGAGGGGTATGTGAAGATTACGGGCCGGATCAAGGATTTGATTATTCGCGGAGGGGAGAACATCCATCCGTTGGAGGTTGAGAATGTGGTGTTTAAGATGGAGGAGGTTAGTGAGGTTAGTGTGGCGGGAGTCCCGGATGAGAAGTATGGGGAGGTGGTGGCGGCTTTTGTGGTTGTTCATAAAGGAGTGAGGGTGGGTGTTGATGATAGGGGGAAAGGGGAGGCGGAGATTGATGGCTTGAAAGCGGGAGATGGCAAAGGGGAGAAGATCCTGACTAGGAATATGATTAGGGAGTGGGTGAGGGAGAGGTTGAGTAATCATCTTGTGCCGAGATATGTGTTTTGGGTGGATGAGTATCCCAAGACGGCGAGTGGGAAGATTCAGAAGTTTAAGTTGAGGGAGATGGCGACGGATTGGGTTGCTGAGGACTAGTTCAGTGTAGAGAAAGGTGCGGCTCATGGGGTGAGATGTGTATATATTTCAAAACCGTTTGCATTGAATCGAATGAATTCATAGACTTTTGAGTTTTCACTAGCAGACAGGGATGACTTGATTTGGTGAATCTCACAAAGGTCGAGGAAATAGCAAAACTTGCCTGCCGCTCGCCAGATTTTCCTGTATATGAAGACTTCAAAGAGTAGAAAGGAATATAGAAGACTCTCTCTCATCCATCCAGTACAGAGCAACCAAACTACGAGGTCTTAACGACAAACATAGTCATGGTACCGACTGAGATATCGAATCAATCATTCGCTGGCAGCAAATTCCTGGTTTCAATACTGAAACTGTTCCCAACGACTTTGCACTCAGTGTCAATTCATATCCGCGGGAGGGAGCGTGCGTCGTTTGACTTGATTCTGACAGTTGTTGATCTTGATACTGCACTTGGTCAATCCTCATGGATTGTCCGATTCATCCAGACACATCCCTTCCCTTTGCGCCAGAAGCCAAATTTGAGTCCCAGCTTCCATCTCGATTCGAGTAGGTGCATCGCAACTCTAGCGTTAAGCGAGGTCCTTGTTTACTTTACTCAAAACAGGAAGAAGGCATGTCGATAAACACGCCCCACGACTGTGATACAAAGACCGAGATGACTTCACTTCGCACAATAATCATTCTGGACCAGGTGAGAGCACGTATTTGCACACCACCCAGAGGAGACCTCAAGAGGATACTTGGCGTCTCGCTTAGACCACGCCGACGTTAAAACCATCAAACGGTACATAGCCAACATGAGAACTTAGGCTGCTGCATAATCAGCTGGGTAGAATCTCATATAATGTGAAGTTATATGTACCGAATACACGAGATAGTAGGAATACGACACGAACTGACGGCCGCTCGATCGGTAGACGGCACCCCGCTGCCGATCCCAAACGATGCTAAAAGTGGGCCACTCATGTAGTGATTGATCAGCATTCTTAAAACTTGTATGGGTATTCAGATATTACTGTTATATGTCTTTTCTGAGGTTGTGATTGCTGAAATGAATTGATCTATCATCCGACACGTCACTTCAGAGAGAATTGAAGTAGAATATCAATAATGCCAACAGTATTCAAGGAGTGGAGGCTCGAAGGCCAGAATGGTATCGACAATTTAATCTGCGGGGACGCAGAAATGCCGACGAAGCTCAATGATCACGATGTTTTGGTCAAGATATATGCTGCGTCACTGAATTACAGAGATCTGGTCATTGCGAAAGTGAGCACTTCGACCCAGCTATCCAGGACATTTATCCTACAAGAGCTTCTAAGCACAAATAATGACAACTATCTAGGATGTCAAAGGTCTCACAATAAACCACAATGTAGTCCCTGGCTCAGACGGTGCTGGAATCGTCGTCTCTGTTGGGGAGCTGGTAAAGAGATTTTCACCTGGCGACAAAGTTGTTACTCACATGCTACCGAATTTCCCAGAAGATGCATTTCCAACCATGACGGATATCAGTGCTGGGTTGGGACATGGCGTTGATGGTACCATTAGAGAGTTTGGTATTTTCGATGAAAGTGCCTTAGTTCGCATGCCAAAGAATTTATCTTTCGAAGAGGCTGCTACCCTCACTTGCTCAGGGCTTACTGCCTGGAATGCATTGTTTTGAGCGGGAAAGACTTTGGGGAAGGATGATACGGTGCTCACGCAGGGTACGGGTGGCGTGTCCATAGCGGCTTTACAGGTTCGTCAACCTTCCTGGAAAGATGTAGTCTGATCACTGACATAATGTAATTTGTAGTTTGTACATGCTTCCGGGGCGGCGGCCATCTCAACCACTAGTTCTGAGGAGAAGGCAGCACGTCTCAGCGCTCTTGGCGCATCGCACGCTATAAACTATCGAGACGATTCGAATTGGGGCGAGACTGCTAAATCACTCACAAAGGATAAAGTGGGAACCTCTAACGTCATCGACCTCGGAGGTCTATCCACTCTATCGAAGTCCTCGAAAGCAGTAAAAGTCCAAGGTGTGGTAACTTTAACCGGAGTGCTTGGAGATGGTGAGCCTCCGAGTATTATGGATGCGCTATGGAGGGTTTGTTCTGTGAGAGGGGTGATTCTTGGATCGAAAAGACAGTTTGAAGAGATGGTGATGTTTGTAGAGAAGCACGATATCAAGCCGGTGGTTGATGATCGAATCTTTAGTTTTGATGGGGCCAAGGAAGCCTTCACTTGGGTTGATGACCAGAAACATTTCTCTAAGGTCGTGATCAGGATAGCTTAAGCATGGCTAGCTGTGCTGTCTTGTATTGGTTTCCATGATACATCGAGTCAAATCGTATTAAATTAGACCTTTCAACCTTTGGCAAAGACTTTGCAACTGCAACAAAAATGTCATCAGTTGAGTAAAAATGGCAATATATTCTTAATAAAATGGCGATTTGCTATCCGCCTGAGCCTCTCACCTCTTCTTTCCCAGACCTATGGAGAAATATCATCACGTACCAGTAGCACTCTCATCCACGTCACTCTCCAAACGCTTCGCAAAGTTCAGTTGAAAATCCTTGTGTGACTTCTTCTCCGTACCAACAACAAAAGGCATGAGAAATCTCAGTCCGGTTAAAGTCGCCTGCTCTCTGAGCAATAGCCCCGCATCCCCCTCATTCTCCGTCTTCACGACACTCCATCGACTCCATCCATTCAAGCTCATCGGTGCCTGGAATACGACGATCATACCATCTTCTGTGTTAACAAAAGCTGAATGAGTGATAAATGTGTTCGCACCGAGGAAAGCCATGGGCACCTCGATTGTCACAGATCTGTATTCAGGCTCTGTGCCTTCAGGGCAGAAAGATAGAGCTTTGGTAGCGAGGAATGAGTCTTTAGGTGGTGTGGAGATTGGCTCATTGTGCGTTGCGAGTGGTTGTTGGCTCTGGAAAGCAGCATGGTCGTGAAGTAAGGCAAGTGCTGATGACAGAGTTGCTGATGCTGGCAGCGGTGTTTCTGTCGTGACTTCATGCGTTGACCATAAAAGCGCTGGAACGGTTAGTTCATTTCCTGTGTAATCAGAGCAAGGAAGTACTAACAGGTCATTTTCTCGTGTCGCAGGTATGTTCGACCTCCTTGCTGCAAAGAACAGCCAAGTGAGCTGGGTAAGGGTCACGGGTCAGCGGCTAAGCCTGAGCTTGTTCGTCGATGTATATGACTGTTTGACCTAAACGTAAATGAGACGTGAAAAATTAAGTATTTCTTGATGCTCGGAGAAGTCGTCGTTGATGTTAAAATAGTTGTCAAGTGTTGGTTGGGAATGTTAAGTGGCGCAGTTAAAAAGGTCAACTGAGCGCTGAGCGGCCGCTTCGTTCTATGCCTAAATGGGCTCAGGAAATGCAGATAAGACGAGCAGTATGTTACACAAAGGGCCCAAGAATGAGTCAGTGTCCAGTGTATTCATGCAAGACTATTCTAAATACAGTTTCTGGTATCTAAATATCAAATTGCTCGCTTCCTGACTTCTAATCGAATCCCAAATTAAAATGTTACGAGAGGACTAACAAGAGTCGGGCGGCCCTTGACGCTTGCAGCCTCAAGGGACCTGAGATTTGTAAAGTCTTGTACCCATTAAACAAGCCTTAAAAACTGATTTTAGCAAGTTTATCGCCTCCAGCCCAAATACACATCGGTATTAATTCCTGCATCATCGATGGCGTCTGTTCGCCACCTTTATTTCTCGCTTATCATTCCCCATGTAAATATCAATAGCTTGGCGCTGGGAAATCGGAGCTGCAACACAATCCTCCAATCCCCTCTGTCTTTTCAATATCATCTAATCATCACATCTCTAGCTCTTACCACCCCTCTTATTCTGCCCCTTCCTTCTCCTCTTAGCAGCCTCCAACTGCCGCCTACGTCTCATGGGAGCCAGCTGTGATCCACTCATCGGACTTTCGTCTTCATCCTGTTCCTCGTCTCTCTTTCGCTTCTTGCCACAGAATTCAGGACTGTCAACATTTTCAATGGGTCGTTTTCTACTAGGACCGGCGACAGGAGGTGACTTGGGTTCCAGGTCAGCGACACTCTTTCCGAGATCCTGCTCAAGACCCTTGATGAATTTGCAAGCACTTACGTGCGCGAGAATGCCTTTCAACGTTGGAGAAGTGACCGCCAGGCCCCATACAGATTTTATTGAGGCGATGAGATTGGAAGGAATGTTGGCTCTCCCTCCTTGATAATTTACTACATCGATTGTCCGGCTGGGGCTGATTTCGCTAGCTTTGAATACCAGCTCTCTTTTGGAGAGCTTGACATCGCCCGATTCGTGACCCTTTTTCATGAAGCCAAATGGGAGGGCATGTGAGGCTCTATCAAACCTCCTCAAAAATTCCACCGGCATCTCCCCATCAATATCATTTGCAAATCCCCACTTGTTTGCTTCGTCCAGTGACCGCTGGTTGTTCTCGGAATACTGAATCGGCTTGCCGTCTGGTAGACAGGGGATATTGTTCGGAAAATTCCAAGGGGACTGCAGCCTTTCGATGGTTCGAGAATGTGCCCATCTCTCACGACCGTCGCCCTTCGGACTCTGATCCAATTGCCGTCACGCTGTTGGAGATCGTACAGGAACTCTCCAGCGCGGATCTTGAAACCATTTCGAACTTGAGGTTTTGCGTCGGGACTGGTGCTTCCGAATCTTTCAACGGACTCTACCTGGACACCTCAGACGTTATTTGGAGCACTTAACAAATCCCCATTGACAGCCCCCGGAAGGCGGAAATGAGTGCAGTATCTAGGTTCAGACGCAATGAGGAGTCTTGAGGACGAACACTTACCCCGCGATAAATTCGAAACAGCCCATCCACCACTGGCTCAGCAGGATCAAGATCCACAGCCTCAGTTGGTGCCTTCGGATGAAGTTCAATCCGCACAATGTCGTCCTCGGGCACTAGTCCCCGCCGCCTCCCCTTGTCAGAATGAGGCGCCGGACTAACCATATATCTAAACCCATTAGGAATATCCGCCCCCCTAGGAGCAGGAGTGTCGCGAAGGAACTGTCCTCTATCATAAGCTAGCATATCGGGTGGAAGTGGTTCTGAGAGATTACTAATCGTTGTTCTCCAAACCCCTTTTGCGACATCTTCGACGATTTCTGGTCCGAAATTCCAGTCTCTGACTACGTTGCGACGTTTCGTTTCTTGGGCATCCTCTGCTGGAATGCCGAATGCTTCCCAGTGGTTGGCGATATTCATGTCCTCATATGCACTGGCAACATTGGCTCCTGGATCTCCCTTCGACTCCGCTTCCTCGAAAGCCTCCTGCTGTTGGTCGCTAAATTTATTGGTTGCGTTATCGTTGTGCAGCCATATAACAGGCTGCGTGCCTGTGCCGTCATTGTATATATAGACTGTTGTTGGGACTACTTTCTTCTTGGTCACATATCCTCGAGTGACGACGCCGAGACAGAAGTTTGTCTTTTCCACGTCGTTGACTAGTTGAAGTAGAAGGTCGATGTGATTGACATCTAAAAACTCTTTCGCGCTGTAATATGCGATATGCTGATCCCGCAATGGTTTTTCTAAATCGGGAACTATATCGACATGCGCGGTGATCTTTTGAATCCATTTGGGACTGGCTAGTTGTCGGCGGAGTCCACTCGTTGTGATGTGTCCGCGAGGGTCTACGGGGATGTCTAAAGCTTCTTTTACGGCTCGGAGACCGTTTGCTAGTGCGTGGATGGCGCAGAGGTTTGCCCCGGCAGATGTGAATACAGGCGTGAAGCCAAGGGCTAAGTATGGTAGGAGTTCTGAGCGAACATTATCGGGACAGTTGATCGGGTTTACTGCTGCCAGCACGTTTACTGGTGGTGGGTTCAGTTTGCCTCCACCTTGCGCTTTGGGGTTAGGTCTGGGTAGCATCCTCATGAATATTTTAAACAAAGCTTCAATTAGGAGTATTATGCAGCAAGAACAAGAGATTATTGATGCCGAGTACCGAGTTCGTTGTGCATTAATGGACGCATCAAGTCTTTCATCCGCCGAACAAAGAGGAAATCGGTTTGACCGGCTGGCAAGACGAATGCAGGGTTTTCAGCGAGGGAAGCTAGAGGCTCATCGAACTTGCTTAGTTGTTCTTGAAGGCCCAGCATCGTGTATTTTTGCCTCTTGTTTGCGTGCCCCCTTTGCTGAGAGAGTTAAGTAACCTTGGCAAACACCTTGAACTCGATGGAAGGCCTAAGATATCAAAGTCGTTATTTTTGGAGCAAGCTCTTAGAATACTGTCAACGTAATGGGTTAGCTCAGAATACTTATTTGGATTTTTGAGGTGACGAGAAGTCCAGAGTGGCAGTGTTGAAAAGCATGAAAAAACCAGATACCCGCAGAGGTGGAAATGATGGGCAAGGGGCAAATAAGAAAGCACGCAAGCTGAAATTCAGTGGTCTAATTGTGAGGCTACTCAACCTATTCAATAGACTTCAGTTCTCCCTACCCCACAACTAGGCAATGCTGCAGCTCAGACTCCCCACGGTGACTTTGTGGGGTTTCTTCCGATAGACAGGCGCATGTGCTTCTCGGACAATGAAATTCTTGCTGTGAGAGTCACTCGTTCCACCCCCCATACCTCATATCATCAAATTTTCAGATCAGGACTCCAGCTATGTCACCCACCCCTTCGGACGCCTCACCCTAGACCAAACCGTCAAATGATTGGGCAATCTCCAAAATGCACTTACTCAAGCAGCAGGCATGGGATGCTTCTCAAACAAGCCATCAACCCTCCTCAACAAATCCTCCTCCAACCCTTCATCATCTCCCTTTCCCTTCCCATCCTTCTTCTCTCCCCCAATAATAACCGCCAACTCATCCAACAACTCGCAAGTCTCAGACGGACTCGCAATCCACGCTGTGGTGCCCACAACCCTCGCCTTGAAATCGTTGCTCCCAGCACTCAAGAACTGATCACCTACATGCAGCGTCCTATCTCCTCGAATCGCTTCTCCTTCCTCGCCCTTTCCCCCAGCATTCCCATGGGAGCCTCTACCAAAGTACTCCTGACAGACCAACACACCCCAGCTCTTATCGCCAATATCCACAAAGACATCATTCCCACCGTTGAACGCACAAAACGGCAATTGTCTGCCCACCTCACTCATCTCCAATTTCTTCTGCACGACCAACACTGTCTCCTCCAGACTCTCTCTTGGGAATTTAGCGCCTGGGATGGACGGGATGATTCCAACGGCTCGTTCCTTTCGCAGGATGGTTGCCGAGAGGGAGAGGTTGGTGACGCATTCGCGGAGGGAGGATTCGGCGAGATCGAGGAGAGCGGTTATTGTTGGCTGGGTCCAGGTGGACATGCTGGGGAGGATCCATTGTCGGCGGGGGAGGTGACTGAGGAGGAAGGGAGAGGTTGGTGAGTAGTGGAAAAGGAAGTTAGATTCGCCACCTGAGATGAGTGAGTCGTCAATATAAATTCCACTTTTCCTTGACTCTGAGCTGAAGAGGAAGCGGACGTACCCATTACTATCAGATTCTGCTTTTGGGCTTCGGTGAGAATTTTGGAGGCTTTGACAGCTTCCAGGAGACCGTGAAGGCGACCATAGTATCTCTCTGCTTCGGTGTATCCAGCTGCAGTGACGATGCCGATTTTGGTGTCATGGCTCATGAGGTCTGGATACAGACGGTCAACTTCGTCTCATCTCAACGGAAGACGCCAAAATACTCACAGATAATCTTCTCAATGACTGGATTACTCGGCTCCAAGCTCTGCCCATCATCGTACCTGGGTATAGTAAGCTTTGCTCACTCACAACCACATCCAGCGCAGAAACCACTTACAGCGTAACATCACCATCAAACGTCGCAAGATGCAGGGGTCCCGTAGCGGTAACACCCATAAGCTGCGCCGTATTCAGAATAAGTCTGATATCGTTAAATGAAGGCGGGACAAAACGTCTTGATGAAATGAATCGCTTTCTGTCCTGATACCGAAATGCATCTGCGAGGGGTAGACGGGTGAAGAATGTACCGATACTGGGAACGAGGAGTTTGAGCTTCGATTGGCCTTGCAGTCCGACTTGTTGGTGGGCGACTGCGAAGCGTTAGTGGGTGTGCATTGATGCAAGGGTTAAAGGGGATAGGATGCGGGTTACGCACTGTGATCATCAATCATTCTCTCGACGTCGAGCATGATTTCGGCGTATCGTCGATGGGCTAACTTGGCCATTTGCTCGACGGTGTGGCTTCGAGTCTCAAATACACCTGTTGGCTGGGAGTGGAGTACGAAGGGGACGGCGAGGAGGCCTTTGATCCATTCTGCAAATAATTAGACGACGTTTCTGATACTTCGAGGGCTGTTGACGTGAGATATGAAAAAAGACAGTATCGGTGCGGGCAATCTCCGGAATGGCCTCGAAGGGACTCATTTGGGGATGCATCGACTGGAAGATAATGGAAGATTTCAGAAAAGTAGAATCTCTGACAAGTACCCAAATTCCACCGAATCTTCCGCATCCATCTTGAAGATTCGAACCCAGCACGAAAGTCCAACAATACAATAAAGAAAAAAGCGCCAAATTCACTCGAACCTCAACGTAGTTCCTCATCTTCTCCGCTCCTCATAACCCACTCATCGAACCCCTGCGAAGCTCCTCAACTCCAAAAGAGAAACAAAAAATGAACATACCGATAAATTGATCCCTCCTATGCGTCTTCAACGCATCTACATCTCATCAGCACAATTCAAATCCCACTCCTCCAATCCAGTCCCGTCCAGTCCAGTCCAGTCCAACTTTCATCATCCCATCCATCCACCCCGCATTCCCTCAACGCTACCTAGGCCGTAGGTACAATCCCGCCTCCAGCACCATCCCTTCATCGTGAATTGGGGCAAGAGAAAGACTCACACTCAACACGATATCTCGTCGTCATCTTCGCTTTATTTCTCTTCCTCCCAAAATACTTCTCCTTCTCGAGGTTTCCAAACAATCCCTTCCCTCCCTTCCTGCTTAATCAGTAGGTAAATATCCAACGTTACTGTAACCCCCTCTCCTCAGCCTCAATCCCAGGTCCCTGGAAGGGTGTTTCTTCAAGATCAGTCAGTCCCAAGATCGTGATATTTCTCGTTCTGAGAGACAATGCTGCAAGTTGGAAGCAAGTGGGGAATTGAAATGGACGTGAGGTTGAAGTTGAAAGCTGAATTGGAGTTGAAGTTGAAGTTCAAGGTGAGCACGAGGTACAAGACAAGCTCCAAGCTCCAAGCTCTCTAGGCACGCTTGCTGTCCCGCGTTGTGTTGCGTTGCGTCGCTGTCTCACCGCCTGAAACCTGTTTAGGTAGGGGGCAATGGTAGGCGAGTTCCGATAGCGCCGTAGTAGGTACAATGTCTGTCTTACTTGGATCTCAATAATGGACAATTATGTAACGACGAAGGTTTATTGTTTAGCTAGGACAGGACACGAGTGACATTGTTATGATTGCTTGATATTAGTTTTGTCTTCAAATGCTTCTCTGACGGTCTCAGCTCTTTTTTGTGAAAGAGGATGCAGCTTGTCAGATATGTCAAGTCACGCTAGAAAACTTACTTCCCATACATACTAATGTTAAAAACATCAAAAGGACATTGAAAGAATCTCAATCTGGTCATAAATATATATTTCATTTCGTTAAGAGGCGAAGAAAGCATAACCAGCTAACTAATACACCATCCAACCCACCAATTCACCATCCCAGCATTTCTCATCCCCGATCCCATCCCATCAAATCAAATCAACCCCCTCTTCTTATCCTTCGCCTTCCACCCATCAAGCGGACTCTCCGGCGGCCTAGGGATCTCCGGCCTCCCACTAAGCACATCAACAACATGCTTAAGATCCAACCAATACTCATCCTTCGGCCGCCTATTCTTCCAATCCGTCTCGTTCTCCTCGACGTCCTTCATGGGCGACAGGACGACCTTGGCCCCCTTGATACCAATCACGGTAACGGCCGTCGGATCCTCCAGGATCTTCGCGTCGCGCCGGTCCTCGTATTTCTCGAGGTGCTCGATGCACTTGATTGCTAGCCTGACGGCGCGCGTGCGGTCCATGGGGGAGGGGGTTCCTCCTTGTTGGACGTGTCCCGGGATGCTGTCGCGGGATTCGAATCGGTTGTTTGCTTCTTCGCGGATCATGTCGGCGATTAGCTTGGCGCTATATACCTTGGAGGCTTTCTCGTTGACGATGATGAGTCTGCCTGCGCGGGATTGGCCGGAATCTTCGCGGAATACTTGCTTTAGATGGTTGATATCTGCTGCGAGCATGTCGATGGTGATACCTTCTTCTGGAGTATAGACTGCTACGGCGCCGACGGCGAGCCCAGCGAGTGTTGCGACATATCCGGAACGGCCACCTTGTGATTCAATGACGAAGACACGACGGCGGGACGCAGATGCTGATTGTTTGATGGTATCACAGTAGCGAACCAACTCGTTCAGGCAAGTATCCGATCCAAGAGAATATTCAGTACCAGGGACGTTGTTCGAGATAGTGGCGGGAAGGAGTGTCATAGGAATGCAGAGTGAAGAGTAATGCTGTTGTGCTTGACGAAGTTGAGAGAGAGCGTGGAAACCCTCAAATCCACCAATGATGAAAAGACCGTCAATCTTATATTGCTTGAATAGACCTGCGATAAGTTCCATTCCAGATTCTGAAGGAAGTTCGCGATTTGTGCCAATTTCTGATCCACCCTTGCTTGCCCAACCGTCAACCTCGAGCCAGTCGAATTCTCGCACTGCTCCAAGAGGCTTGTCGTCATGATGACGGGCAAATCCGGCAAATCCGTTATGAATGGCAATTGGCGCGTGTCCACGAGTAATGCAGTATGCGACTGCTGCTCGGGTGGCGGCATTCATACCACCAGCTGGAGCACCACAATGTATGATGGCAATTCGCATATGCTGTGAATCATTAGTTATGAACGTGAACGCTGAATCGGAAGCTTACCTTTTCTTCAGCGAGCTTCATTTTCTCATCCAAACCTGTAGCTGTCGTAGTCATGTAGGAATTGTAGACATCCGAGAATTCCGTGTCCCGCAGACTCATAGCTTTGTCAAAATCTCTAGCTTCGATAGCTTTCGCTACCTCTTTGGTATCCAAGACAGCTTGAACCAAGGGTTTCCGGGTGATCTTGTTCTCCGTAATGGCAATGAATGGGGTTGGAGTCTCGGGCGTGGCCTCAAGGACAGCATTCACAGCTTCCACACCCTGGAGAGTCGAGAGATAGCGATCATAGGCGCATGCAACACCTCCTCGCTGTACGTGACCGAGTGTCGTGATCCTGGTGTCCAAAGCCAGTCCCTTCTTATCGGCAAGAAGTTCCTTGATCATTACTGAGTCGATCTTGTTGCCTTCTTGGTCGTGGGCACCTTCTGCAACGATAACAATAGTCTTCCTCTTTCCGATTTGTCTATGCTGTAATGTTGTCAGCAACAGTAATTGGAAGAAAGGCTGGTATCATGTACCCTGGCAACAATCCTGCACATCTCTTCCTTCCAGTTCTCCGCCCTCGGCCTCTCCGGAATGAAGACAAAATCGGCACCCGTTGCAACACCTGCCATGAGTGCCAGCCAGCCACAATGTCTGCCCATAACCTCAATGACGAATGCTCGGGAATGTGAAGAGGCAGTGGCCTCAATGTAATCTACCATCTCGCATATCCTGCTCAAGGCCGAGTAGCATCCAATTGTAGCGTCTGTTCCAGACATATCGTTGTCAATCGAGCCCACAAGTCCAACAATGTTGAGATGCTTGAAAGGTTGGATCTGTTCTGCGGTCAATTCCTTGGTAGCAACCAATTCCTCCAACAAGCCTGGCCATTCGGCACGAAACTTGTCAGCACCAGTCAAAGAACCATCACCACCGCAGATAATGAGGGCGTCGATGCCGTTGAGGACCAAGTTCTTGGCAGCTGTCAATCTGCCAGGACGTTCATAGAATGCCATACATCTGGCCGTCCCGATCAGTGTGCCTCCCTCAGATAGCCAGCCTCGCACCTCCGACCAGGCGAATTTCTTTATGAAGTCCTTTCCTTGCACTAAGCCCTCGTATCCTTCGTAGATACAGTATGCCTCGCAGCCTTTCTCAATGGCCATTCGGACCACCGCTCTGATTGCTCCATTCATGCCGGGAGAGTCACCACCACTAGTCATCATCGCAATTCGTCGTTTCTTCCCCTCGAGGGGTGGTGGGGGGTGAGGCGGGGCCATGTTGATTTCGTGAGGATAGCTGTCGAGGTTTGGGTTTTGGAGGGGTAAAACGCTCAAAAGATACTTGAACCAAGAAGCAAAGATTACCTATGCAATGGCAGATGCGGGGGAGAAGATATAGAAGTAGGTGAGGTGTTTTTAGGTCAACCAACGACGACGGCAGAGCCTGGGCTGGTACCTATCTCTGGTCTTGTTTTTGGCTTGGGTCTTGGTGGAATGTGGTGGGAAAGCAGTGGAGGGGTGCGGGCTGAAGAAACGAGTACTTATATTTGGTGGGCCGTGACGAGCAAAAGCTTTATCGCTCGCTGTTGTGACAGGCCCGAACTCTTATCTCGCAGAGCTTCCTCCCAGCACATCCAGCACATCCAGGGCGGGAGCGCGGGCTGCGTCGCATCGCTGCTGTGACTGGACAGACATAGACAGCCTTGTCCTGGGCTGAGGGGCTCACGTCCCTGAGATTGGCTGTACAGTAGCTTGCAGCGCCGGTGGGGGATGGCTTCGCTACAGTAGAATCTGCCCTGATTCGCTGGTGCTGGCATCGCTGCCTTCTGAGCCACTTGGTGCTTTTTTCACTGTGCCTGACTTTCAACACCACGCCGCCCACCGACTCGACCAAAATTTGAAGCTCACTTCAACACGCCGGAGCCTTCTCGGACGCTACTATCGAGCCCGGCCGAATGACGTCCAAAGAGGATCCTGAAGAGCCGCATTGATACTTTCATGAATAAGGTGGACCGCTTCACTCGGGCCAAGCAAATTTAAGCTATTGAAGTTGTGCTGGATGGGAAATTGACTTGGGAAGGAGGCCTTCTGATCTCGGCAGCTTGCTCTGTAGTGCTCGACTGCTCGATTGTCATTATACAATTCACATGCAGGCAAACCTGAAGCGAATACTAGAGGATTCGACTGTGATATCATTGTTGTTACAGTTGCAGCGGTGAATTAGAGTGGTGGAACAGTGCAGCGAGCCGCGTCACATTCTATCATTAACCCTTGACCCTCATCCGATCTAACCACACTCCAATCCGCGCAAACGAAAACTTCCATCTGCACAATCCCGCAACAATGGACACAATACCGAACGAGTTCCCCATCTCCTTGAGATCATGGCCCTCCTCCAATAGCAACAACGCGCTCCCTTCCATCATCCAGCGCATCAATCTCGAAAGAGGGGGGTTCCGGAATATCACAGAGGAGAGTCTGCGTGAGGAAATCGCTCGAGAAGAATTGAACAATGGAGACAATGGCGAGAGCTCAAGTGAGGACGACGAGGAGCCAGATAAGGCGAAGGAACTCAATGCTGCGCGTGAGGAGTTCATTGCAGAGCTTGAGTATGCCCCCTAGGACAAAATGAAGAGCTTGTGCTAACACCCTCGCAGACAAGCTCACCAGTCCTCGATGGTCGCTCTAGATTTCATATCTCTCCTCCTTTCGAAAGACGCCCCCGTACAAGCCAGCCTGTCCCTTTCTCCGCATCTTCAGCAAATGGTTGGCGTTAAGACCCTTGGGGCAGACAAACTGGCAGGTCCAAGGACAACAGAAGCACAGAAGCAAGACAATCGGAAGGTTGCAAAGGGATGGAAAGCCAGACATCTCAACAAGACCGTTGACTCGATACTGGCATCTGCAACTAGATTGGAGAAGGAAATTGAGCACGAAACGAAGTACTGGGAGCAAGTTCTAGCTGTGAGTGAGAAGGGCTGGGCTATCTGTAGATTGCCAAACCAGAAACATATCTTAGGCGTCAGATTTGGCTTCTCGGAATCCTCGCCTGCTTTCAAGAGTCGAAGTCTTGCAGCATTGAATCGAACACTAGATGGGTCTGTATCTCTGGACCAAGGATTGGCGGAAGCTCAACCAAAGAGCCTCAGAGTACGAGTCGAGGTTGATGGCGTTTACACGGGATCGTCTACACTTCCTAAAGCTGTTCCACACGACTCCCCAGTCGAGGCTCTCATTCTACAGGCACGAAACACCATATTCTCCGAAGAACTTTGGCAAGAACTGAACCGTGAAACTCGAGTCCTGGAGCCCGTGAAATCGAAAGATGGCACTCTGATATATCAACTCTCAGCAACCCGAACCATGGTCCTGGATCTCGTGCCTCTCGAAGAAGAGCCCGTTCATATCACTGGTCGTGATGATGCCATTGCAGAAGGCATATTCCTCGCCTTAAGCATTCTTCTGAGTTTCGCTCATCGACAAGCTTACCGTCGTCGAGCTCAAATACCACCTCCAATCACCCTAGACAAACGGACAACGCCCCCTCTCAACATTCTCAGACCGTTTATCACTCGAGTCAAGCACCAAGAGATGACATCCGCACTTCGAGATATCCTCCGACCTCTCCACCGCGTCCTCTTCTCTCTTAAACTCGAATCCCCTCCAACGTACACGCAAGTCCGCACCGTCTGGCCACCTCTCAACCATCTCTCCATCGCAGAACGCACAGTCCTAGCCCTCACCGAACGGCTCGAAGTAACAGCCACACTCACCATAACACCCACAACAACCATAACCATCAAAGCCCAGACCCACTCCCACCCAACCATCTACCCGCAATTCTTCCTCTCCATCTCACCCCCCACCTCCCCTTTACACATAACCTGCCCGGCCCCACCACGCCTCGACACCCTCTCCTCAGTCCAGCAATACATCTACTACGCCACCTCCTGCACGCTCGCCTCCCTCTTCGTCCCCTCCCCGCACTCCCCCCTCTCAACACCACACCTCGAACCACCGGCCTCATCACCCCACACCCTCCGCACGCCTATCCAAGAATGGGTACAGAGCACCACGCCTTCGGTCCTAACTAAACCACTCACCGCCTCCGCAAAGACAAAACAACTCGCTTTCACTATCCGCTCCTCTCCTGCAGCCCTGTCCAGAGGCGGCGCCCGCACCATCCTCCGCGTGCAATGGGAATGGGCCCGCGGCGACCTGTCTGGCGTCGAAAAGGTGCCTTTTCCGAGAGATGGGTTGAGAAGTGATCTCTGGGGTGATGGGGAGAGGGCTGGGGCGGTGTTTTTTACGGAAAGGGAGAAGATGTTTGGTGTGAAGGCTGTGGAGGGTGGTGAGACTAGTGGAGAGGGAGGTAGTGGTGGTGAGGGGAAGGAGGAAGAGAGCGGGACAAGCAAGAGGAAGAGAGGGTTGCAGGCGGAGGGGTATTATGAGTGGATTGCTTGGGTGGGGGAGGATGATGATGATAAGGGGTTCTTTGAGGTTGTGAGGAGCTTGGGGAGTGTGGTTGAGAGTGCGGGGACTTTGAAGGAGGGCGATAAGGAGGGTGAGAAGGAGAAGGAGAAGGAGAAGGAGAAGTAGATTGGTTGATATATTTAGTTTCGTGTAGACCTAGTCGTATCAGAACGTAATTAAATCAGTGAGTAAAGAACAAGTCAGTCTAACACGTAGAAAAACATATCCGCAAGTATGTATACATGAGCGTGACGAAATGATTCGTCCTCATCATCTCACAATCAAAGTCACGCATCTGTCTGCATTTGCAGAAAACAACTGCATGACCTGATCCAACATATTTTTCTCTCACCCCTCTGATATCGGACCGCTAGGCGCTAACGTGGCGTTATGTCCCCGCACCATTAATACAAAACTGTTCTTCTCAATTCAACTCATCCATTCTACAGTCGTTTTGCCAAGAATAAAATCGACAGACAAACAAGAAGACGAGCTTCATCCGACCGGAGACACTCTAAGTGTTTTCCATCAGATAGCATCGAGTGAGCAGCTTTATATTACTTCATGATTAAGCAATTCTTTATGCAAGTATTTCTGTATTTTGAGAGCCTTCAGCTGAGCTAAATCCTTAGGCAAAGCTTCATGAAATCAATGAATGGCATTACAAAGCCCGCGCTCAAAGCAATAGCAAATTCTGTATCGTAACGGTATCCGCAGTATCATCATCCCCTATCGTATCATCATGCCTGTTCAATTCAGGTCGCCCAAAAGATCAGCGTAATCCTTGTAGCAGACCCCTTGCCGGTGATCCTTTCCGCCCTTAGAAGTTTGTCTTCAAAGTAATGTACCTGTCTGCTGACCACCAGAGTTGTGTGGTACGCGTCCGGTTTGAAGAATTGTGCGCAAAGGAAGAAACGCACACCAGGAACAAATCGCTATCATGAACTTGTTGCCAGTTGAAAATGTGTGTAATCGAAATGCTGAATTCCGTACGTAGTGCGATTGTTGGAGGTACGGAAATGTTGTACAGGAGGCAAGAAATTGTTTGTGGTGGGAGGAAGGGCCTAAGGGATGGTATCTTAGATCTTGTTGGAAGCAGTACGGCTACGTGTGCGTCGGCTCTTGGATGGGACCACACTGGCCCGATTAGCATGGTAAAAGAGTCCTCGATCTTAAGACTTGACTTACAGATTTTTGACCTTATTAGCTGCTTCAGTACTGTGCATCTATCAGTATACTCTCAATCGAGGACAGTTGATAGTGGGTTTTCATACCTAGCAAATTCAGCTTCTGAAGCAAGAGCAACAGACTCAGCGGGCTCGTCCTTCGCGCCGTCGGGTAGGTCTGGAGGGTCGCTGAGAACTGATGATCCCTCAGTAACCCCAGGATTCGAGGATTCGGTGGCGGGTCCATCGTTGACTCCATCCTCCTCAACAATCTCCACCTTGACAGCCTTCTTGCGACCTTTCTTAGCTGCTGGCTTTGGTTTGACTTCGATGTCGTCAAGAGCAGTTTCATGCTCAGTAGGTTCATCCTTGACAGCCCTTTTCCCACGAGAAGCGCGTTTCTTGGGGGCTGGCCTGACAGAATCCTCGTCCTCCTCATTCTTGACAGCAGAATCAGCATCTTCGTCAAACGCTGCCTTCACGGCCTTTTTCTTAGCAGGGGCACGCTTTTTGGAGGCAGGCTTCGAGGCTTCAGCAGCATCCTCCTCGTTCTTAACACCAACATGATCATCGATCATTCCGGACATTTCCATATCTTCTTCGTTCTTGACTTTCTTGTTTCGGGGTTTCTTGGTTGGTGCTGGTTTGGAATCCTGAGCATCTTCTTCATTATCATCCTCCTCCTTCTTGACGCCCTTTTCAGCTCGCGACTTCTTTGCTGGAGCCGGCTTGGTCTCTTCTGCGTCCTGATCGTCCTCTTCTTCCTTCTTGACTTTCTTGGCACGGGATTTGGCAGCTGGTTTGGCTGGCTTGACATCCTTACCCTCGGACTCCTCCTCATCATCTTCGGTCTTCGCCTTTACCTTCTTCTTGGTGGCGCGTTTTTTCTTAACGGGCGTACCTTCTTCGGCCTCAGCTTCGTTTCTAGCACGCTTCTTGCCAGCAGCAGGTGTGCTTGCATTGATGTGCTCTTCAAGATCAGCTTGAGCAGCAGCAACTTTGGCATCATGTGCAGAGTCCCCACCTGCCGCTTTCTCAGCCTGCAATGCAGCGACTTGGGCCTTTAGATCTTCGATCTCCTGGTTACGAGCCTTTTTGTCTTCTCTCGCCTTTCTCACATTTTCTTTAGTGCGCATGCCAACTGCTCCTAGAACGTTCATTTCTGGATCCTGTTCAAATTAATCGTCAGTAGCGACTCGCACACAGATGTGGTCTCGTCTTACACCGTTCCAGTCCTCGGGATCAATGAAACCTTGGGTAATGCAGCGGCGCACAGTCTCCTGAAGGTCTGGTCTCTTATCCAAACTACTCTTGTCACCAGAGTCATAGCCATCAAGCATATCCCAACGATAGGTTCCTGGTTCCTCGGGATCTTCAATCGACCTTCTCAGACTTTCAAGGATCTTTCCCGTGACACAGCCCCTGGAGAGTAATGGGTGAGTGTGCTGTGAGAGCATACATCAAACTTACCAGTGACGATAGACCCATCCCCCACCTGTTGGAAACTCAACCCACTGCAACCCGGAGATTAGCACTACACGAACAAATAAGCAGCCGGCGGCTTACTGTGCCAAGGCGAAGTTCATCTTTGTCAATCTTGATCTTAGCATCCTTGCACTCCGTAGAATGACAACCTGACCGGCCTGAAAGGGCAGTCTCTGTAGGGTACTGTCAGTAACATATTCTGAGTAGCTATGATAAGGTGCCATTCCCAAAACGCGTGATGACGTTTGGTGGCTGGATGTGTATCTCTTGCATAAGACAAAAATAAATGCAAGTAAAAGAATGTATCATGGGCTTACCAACTCGGTACGACATCTTGGTAGATGCAAATCGTACTTCTTGTATGAATGCTTGCAGTTGCTCTCAAACTTTGTGGAGATGTAGCCTTGCCGCCCTTGCGCCACCTCCAGTGGAACCGCGATGGAGATTTTGTACTCAATGAGAACAAAGGGACGCGACTGTTCAGTCTTAGAAGATGACAGAATTAGTGAACGTATCGGTGACTGAACGAGACGAGTGATTGCGTTGTCGTGTTGATGAAAGATGGAGTGATGGATGGAAGAAAGAAGAAAGTCGGGTGGTGAGGTCAACGGGCTTGCAGCCTTGCCAAGTCCAGGTCATGCAAGCGAGACACGCTAAATTGGGCAACCTCAACCCCCCACGTTCCTTCTCGTATCAGCACAAGATCCATTTGGTATCGTCAAGACAATCGTTTATTCGGACGTATTACTCGAGTTCCACACTTTTAGAGATGAGAGGATCTCTATTTTGGATCTTAGGTATGCGGAATTTCTAGCTATTTACAATCCGTACCGCATGGACGCGCCTGGATAGAATACCACAACAGAACAGACAATATGACCGCAAAAGGATTGGCAAGGAAAAGTATGAGGAAAATGTTCGATGAGGTAGTAACAAAGCAAAACCTACAAACGAAAAAAAAAACTACATTCTAGGTGTGAACACGCAGCCTACTAGCAGAATGCCTGCATCGAACCCACATCACCCACTCCAGTATTCAAATTGAGTCTTCAATGCCATATGGCAAGTCGTTTCCCCCCACCCCCAAAAATATACAAACATGTCTAGTGATTTAGCTCAAGATCTGCGACTGAATGGAAGACTACGACCCATCGTCGAATTGGCACTCGACGTCAAGTTGAATCCCCGACTCATCTCCGGGATCTCCTTCTCCTCCTCTGTCACCTCTGGTACGGCGGTTTCGTGGGCCAGCTCTAACACTGGTGCACTTGCTAGACTCGTTGGTAGCAATGAGAAGTCACTGATGGTTGAGTTTGCCCGCTTCGGAACATTGCTACTCGTTGACTTTACTGATGTCTCGAAAGTGGTTGGAAACATCGCCAGAGTGCTGTTGGACCATGGCCGTGTCTTCGTTGGGCTCGGAAGAGTGAGTAGTGGCAATGTCACGTTATGGCTTGGTGGCATTGAAGACGAAGAAATATTTTGCCAATTTAATGCACCGGACGTTATCTCAGCTACCTGGGCTGGAGTCAGGACGAGCGTTGGGGATGCTGTTGTCATGTTCCCAGCACGGATGGTGACATTTGCCACAGGATGTGGAGGTGGCATCGATGTCTTGCTCCAAGATTCGGGCGAATTTGATGAGGCACCAGATGTTGACAAGCTCCCAGCTGTGCTTGTGACATTTGTCGTCGAGAAAGGAGGGAAAACCGAGGTCCTGCTCCTCGATTCGGACGTACCCAATGGAGCCACTGATGTTGACAAGTTCCCAGTCACATTTGTGACATTTATCGTAGGGTATGGTGGAATCTGAGTTGGACTGGACACCAATGCTCTGGACGTTCCATTTGTCATGTTCTCAGCCGACTTCGTAACATTCGGCATAGGATATGGAGTAAGCACGATTGGACTTGTGTCATTTCTCAAGTTTCTAAAAGGCTTCGTAACATTGGTAAGATGATGAGGAGCTGCAAAAGAAGCGACGGAAGTGCTCATTGTCCTACTCGGTCTGGTGACATTTACTTTGCTGGGGAGCAAAGCGACTGGAGTAGTGACATGATGTCCTCCACCGGGCGAATGTGTACCATTAAGTCTCGGATACGGAGCAATGACAGGGCGATGGCTGCTCACGGGATGGTTCAATGTCGGAGACATAGTTGGAACGTTGAAAATCGTCAACTGCACAGGTTTTGTGGAACTCGACACAGATATCTTACTTGCCGAGTGGGATGTTGTGGAATTCGAGTAAGATAAAGTCTTCGTCTTATGGCCGCCCTTGATTGGCACAATGACTGGAGGGACGATGATTGGACCTCTTCCATGCTCCTTTGTGGTTGGTACTGCCATACTTGAATGTCCTGAACCAGATCTCATGATCTCTGAGGATTTGGGCGAATGGGACGAAGTTGTGTCTGCGTTGGACGCACTCGTCTTGATGTGGCTCGGCTTCGCAGACTTCTCGGAGTTCGACTTTAAGCTCTTGGTCGTTAGCTCCGGAGTTTTCGTCTTCTCGACAGTGACAGTCTTTCCCTCCAGTGTTTCTGTGATATGCTCCATCACAGTCTTGGTTGGGACTGCAGTATGCATCTGGGTCGTGATAACGCTATGGACAGCATGCTTGACATCATCCTTGCTATGCTTTCTCGCAAACAAGCCTCCAATAAATCCACCGATCAATCCCAATCCTGCTCCTAGAGCTCCGGTTCCTGCGGCCAGTATTGCATATGAGCTCTTGGCAACCGCAGTCGTTCCCGATGTGAGCAGAGAGAATGTTTCCTTGCCAGCAACGCCAGCAACCTGAGCAGCAACAACTCCTTGCTGAAGTGCTTGTTCCGTCGCAGTTCCGACAACTGGAAGTGCCGTAGTTACAACCTTGGCAATCTCAGGAGCAGCCATACCGACACCGACTGCTGCGAGAATTTCTGGAGATCCGGCGAGTGCAGCAAGTTCCAAAGCTTCTGGGGCGGAAGCCAGAACGCCTACAGGGGCAAGATGTGCCGTCGATGCAAATCCGGCGATCGCTCCTTTGGCTCTAGCCATATTATCGACAGGAATGTTATAATTCTTCAGAACCTGCTCAGCTTGTGGAGTAATGCCCCATCCTGCCTCGACTAACTTATCAGCGGTCTCTTGAGTCAACTTCCCCTTGACCCGGATGTCGTCCAAAGCAAGTCTCATCGGATCATCCACTTTGATCAGACTGCCTGGGAGAGGCTCTGGAAGAGGCACATTAGGTGGAGGTACATTCGTCTTCACATTCGAAATCTTGCCACCGTCGACATTGAAACTTTGAATGATGGGAGGGATATCAATAGGCTTGACCTTGTTTGGCCTGCCCAATCTAGCATTGTGTGCTGCTCGCTCAGCAGCTCGTCGGGCTCTATCATCCATGATGGACTTTTCGAGCTCCTTTGCGGCAGCAGCGTTCGCTTCGCTAATTTTCGCCATTTCCGCGGTTTCATCAACGAGCCTCTTGATATCATCTATGGTCTGATACATGCTATCGATCCCAGCGTTGTACTGTTTGAAGAGATCCAAGAACTCCTCCAAAGCTTCTTGTGCCAGATCTTCCTGGTGTTCAGACTTGTCAGTTCCAAGTCTGGTGCGCTCATCTTCGAGATGCTTTCTCTTGTTTGCGAGGTCCGCTTTCTGCTTCAACATCTCCTTCTCCTCAGCATCACGTCTTGCCTGCATATTCTTGATCTTAGCAATCTGCTGGTCTCCAAGCCCTCTGTATGCCGCGTTATGCTCCATGCTCTTCACCAGATCATTGATGGACTTGTCAATGCGCTTGATCTCTGGATTTCTTGACCGAGCAGCATCCATTCCTCGTTGGACTGCGGCATCGACATCGACGCCAGCATCTTTGGGGATTTCTGGGCGAGGTGGCTTTGGGTGAAGTGCTGGGTCTTCGAGCTCGTACTTTGCTTCTGGACGTTTCTTGGCATCTTTGTTGCTTGCTTTCTCCCATTTATTGATCTTTTCATGGAGAGGCCGCTTCGGCGGAGGACTGCCACTTTTTGGCGAGACTAGCGGGCTGATGGACTTTCCATTGGCATCAAAAGATGAGAATTCTCTCAACTGATCGACTATGGACGGTTCCTGTGCTGTTGGTGGCGAGACAGGATCTGAAGGTGGGCTTGGATCTGACACCGCCTTTGGATTCGGAGCTGGGTTTGGCTCTGGAGTTGAGGGCGCCTTTGGAGGAATAGCGTCGTCAACACCGGAATTCTCACATTTGTTCTTAAGATCTTGCACAGTGCCCGGTTTCGGTAAATCCGCTGGTCTCATTGGATCGGCGGGCTGATCAGGGCTGCTTGGTGGCTGCGCCTGAGGATCTGGCCTGGCAGGTGCAGGTGCAGGATTTGACGATGATCCCATATTCTCAAACTTCTTCTTGAGGTCCGAGACCTTGGCCCGTTGCTCTCCCGTTAAATCATTAAGGTCTCCTTCGGAGTTGGTAGATGCGTCGTCGAGCTTGTTTTCACCAGGAGCCTCCGGAGCTGGAGGCGTGTCTGGTTTGGAGCCAGGTCTCTGACTGCTAGGAATATTATTCTCCCACATATCTCTGATATCTCCATGGTTGTCCATAGGGTTTGAACCTCTTCGTGAGTCCGCGGCGGAATTCACGTTGCCAGGGATATCATTCTCCCATTTGTCCCTTAGATCACTGACTGTTCCCTGAGGAGGGACGTCATTTGCGGGGCCCTTGGAAGAAGAGGTCGAGGGCTTTTTGGAATTGAAACGTTTGTATTTTCCTTCCCAGTATTCTTTCTTTGCTTGAGTGTCGTAGCCCATCTTGTCAACGGGGTTCTCGCCATTTTCGTCAAGCGATCCTTGGCGATGGCCTTTAGTGATTCCAGACTTGGTGTCGGAACCGTGTGCTGAACTAGAGACACCGCGATGATGGAGCGTGTGCGTCGAGTTGGTAAGTGAGTTCGGTGATTTTGTATCTATTCCGGGTACCAGGAGCTCTCTGGCTAAGAGGGGAGAGCTGTTTTGGAGAGCGCGCATGTTGGGCTGTTGGAATTGAGCTTGTGCAGCGACCATTGACAGAGTCGCGAGTGCAAGCGCACCACGGCTCATGGTTACTTGGCTGATACCAACCATTCCGACAATTGGTGGTAAAGATGGGAATTGTATGTTTTTGGAACTTATATGAAGATAACAAGTAGAGATTTGTCGCCTGCAAGTCAATTGTTACAGAAGGAGGTCTTGTGAAAACTATGAGAGAGTGTGCGAAGGGAAGTAGAAAATGTAATTTCGAGCGAAAGTATTCTAGCGGTGTGGGATCTCAATTTGAAAAGCTCGTTCGTTTTCCAACTGAATAGTACTTCCGCTAGAGTTGTGTCAATGTTGGATTCTGGACTGCTTGGGCTCTCTCGCTTAGCTTAGCAACGAAGGTTTCTGGCACCGTACTAGCCTAGCGGCTAATAGTGACTGGTACAAATCACTGTCAATATTTAGTACGCTTGCGAGGAAGCGAACTAGGCAGTAAAACACCGCGTAGTGCTCAATGTACGGAATTTGGCCGAAGTACCGTCACCATGGACCTGCCAGCTGCACCTTCGCTTAGCATTGAAGGTACCTGTCCTGTGTTCAATCTCGCCCGAAACAACTTTACAACACATGGAAGATGGGCTTGGAAGTAGTTCACAAGAACTGATGCTCCGAAAGGAATTTGTTATTCATCTAACTCTCGCTAGCAAACTCGTCAATGGCGCGTACAGTCCACTCCGGTTGGCTCAAAAACGGCGAGTGTCCACCATCGAATCGAATCTTCTTGAAACCTCCAACCTTGTCCACTGTAGCCTCTTGATGCGCTACAGGAACTGCCAGATCCTTCACGCAAATTATATAAGCCTTGGGTATCTTCAAATCGCTTGCGACGTAATGAACTGGTGAGAAAAACGTCGTTATTGCTGAAGGTTTGAGAAGCGAGTAGTAGTGATCTGCTTGGGCGGGCGGCAGTTCGTGGTAGAAAATGTTTTTGGCGAGTGAGTTACAGATACCGAAATTCTCCTAACGAGAAGTGGTTGGTTAGCCTGGAATGTGGCTAGCATTCAGATCTCTGTTCTTACCTCTATATCTAGCCAATCAACACCGCTGGTGCCATTTGATTGCGACAAACTTATTCCCTTCTCCATCACAATAGCCGAAGCTATCATGAGGATAGATTTTATGCCGCCTTTTTCTCCTCGAGCAGCGCGGTCTTCAATCGTTTGACCCTCGGTACTAGCGGCACCAGGAATCCCTCCCCATGAGCTTCGTTCAACGTCAGTATCCTGTCCATATTTGCTGGCCTCGGTTTTAATCAGCATTGTTATACTCACTGAGTTACTAAGACGACTTCTTTCCCTTCATCTAGGATAGGAAGCACGGCCTCGTGGATCGCAGCGACATCGTCAAGATATGTGGCAGTTGGGTGACTTCTTCCAACACTGGCAAGAGCCACGGCTACAACGGGGTACCCGAGAGCTTCTAGCTTTGGATGGATCAAATGGAACGCTTCCGGGCCATGAAAAGCACCGTGAACGAGAACGAGAGTGGGTTTGGCTGACATTGTGAGAAGATTGAGGTCTTTATGAAAGTCAAACTGTGATGAACCTCTCCTTTTATATACGATTTTGATTTACAAGCATTAGAAGATACGTAAAAGTGGTTCCAAAGCTTGGGCTGACCATTATTGTTGCCATTATTGTTCCATTTTTGCCGAGGGCATCTAGGTGATTGGCTTAATCTACGAATGCGAGGATGCAATAGGACATTCGCTTTCGGATACAGCTCAGACTCCACCTTCATTTCTTTTGAGCTCCCGCTTACCATATCATCTTGAGATACCGTTGTACTGTGACTTCTGAATAGAGACTGTATACGTCAGGGCGGCTGTATGAGCGGCTGCATGGGCATGCAAAACGGGCTGCCAAGATCACCTGCACGTTTAGCGCTTACTTCCAACGTTATGCTCTCTGAGGTTCACGATCCCTCAGTCCCGTTAATTCTGTTCCTTCACAGTCCTTTTCTGATTAGGTATAGACCAGGCCTACTTCAATGGTGGACTTCGAACATTCGATTTGGATCCTGCGAGGTGGTGCCAGCTAACGAAGGGTAAGCGATACAAACAACTAAAAGCGCCAAGCATCACGATATTTCTTGGACAATGGTTACCAGAACCACCCCAAGGCCGAAGGAGCCTCTTGAATATACTGATGTCCGGAATGTAATCACGATTGACTATCTGAAGCTTGCTAAAACCTTCCCGAAGCACTGCTCCTTCCAAATCGCGCGAGAGTAGTAACGCATTGCGAATCCAAAAGATCCCAGAACATCCGAAGCGTCATCCAAGTCATCCAATAATATCTTGACTGTAGAGGCATCTCTCTATGTATACCTATGGGCCCTTCCTTCCGGGTCCAGAGCCGATGACGATACGTGTATCCAACTCCCTCTTTTCCATCTGGACAGCTGCGACTGCGTCTCCAGCGACTGGAGTGGGGAGTGCCCTGAAAGACGACTTGTTAGAAATATGGTACTGCCAATAACTTGAATGAGAACTTTACATGATTGTTTGAGCTGACATAAGAAGGAGAGACAAAGCGGTGAAGAGGAAGGTCCGCATGTTAATTGTTTGTGACAAAGCTTGTGATGTGTAATGTAATGTGATGGAAGCTTGAAGGGCAGTATGGGGTTTATTTGCAGCTGGAGGTTAAAAAATTTGAAGCAAGTCAATGGAAAGGGGTAGAGTGGACCCAATATAACGTTGTTGTTGTTGGAGCTAGCATTTCTCCGAATGCGTGCATAGAGTTTCCTCAGCCCTGTGCCAAGACTAGATCTTGAAGGAGGCCCATGGACTTTTCCGAAATCTCACACTTCTCGACCAATTCCACATCAAGAAATACGCCAAGTTTGGTCCCAAAGATTGGCAGCTTCCTTTGGACTTCTGATAGGTTCGCGACAAGCCTCATGTGTTCGAGGTAGAAGTGTGGTTCATGATTGTGTGGTCCTCCGAAGAGGCTGTGGAGTCTCACTACTCAGAAAAAGTCACCTATTGGACCGTGTATGTGTGAGTTAAGTCCTTTAGTACGCCTATTGCATGCTAAGCTTACGTATACGAGAAGCTTGAATCTGGTCTGGAAGCTTTGGTGGTGTGGTTCAATCAGTTTCCTGACAACTACACGTCCAACGCAAAATCTCCTATGAGCAAAATTCTCGAGGGGAATGACAGCAGCGAACGCCGCCCCACTCTCTTCCGCCAGAGAACTTTCGATAGCAGTATATCGAAAAAGTGCAAAGCGCGGATACCCAATAGCATATCCGCCAGCGCAAGGGAGTATCGGTAGCCACTTCACTGTATCCAACCTCAGAGTATGAAGTGAGTGACGCCTGCAAAACATCGCAAACATTTCTGCTCTGCTAATATCTCCGTAGCGGGGATGAGATCGAACTTAGGCTGGCTGTACAGAGTATTTAGCATTGTTTCCCCAGAAGGTGTAGCTCTCAGCCCCGATTGGGTCGAAGCCCTGACATCGATACGAGCACTGGGCTTTGGACAGCATAGGGAAAGTCTAAGCGCAGACTGCCGCGCATTGATATTTGGAGTTCAAGCTGCCTAGGGTTCGTTAGGAGGTTTTTCCGATTGGGCGTGCATGGAACATGAGTTTACTGTCCTGATAGTCGAAGTATGTGTCCTGAAATTTTGCTTCTTCTGCATTCAAGGCAGCTACAGTGACATCGATGACCCCAGGACTGGAGTGGATACTTGAGGAGGGATAGTATCAGGCTCGAGCTTGGTCTTTGAGCTTTCAATAGCAAGAACATCCAGAATATTAAGAACCAGATCGAGATAGACGTGTGAAGGATATGAGCATACTAATGTCGGTCGCGAGGAAGCCCAAGAACGCCTTCGCGAAACCGTCCAACCTAGATCTAGCGTCAAAGCGTTTCGAATTAGGAGCTTCAGGCCCAGGGTCTTCGTGACCGCTGGCGAGGACAGCTATAGGTAGATTGTGAGTAATCGACTATTCCACGGCACACGAGAAGTAAGACTTATCCAACCCTTCCACCAAGCACTCCCACGCAAGCTAATATTTTGAAGCTACTACTACACAATTACTGCTGAACTAGGTGTTCTGGATGTTGCACAGACATTGGAGTTTACCTCCCATATTTGCTGAAATACTGATCCTCTTGGCCTGGGCAGAGCCCTGGAAGAAGTACGAAACTGGCTGATGAGAAAATCTCCAGGCGCAAGATTGCGCAAGATTGCCACAAGGTAGTGGAAGGATTTACATAGCGAATGCCTGGTATGGCTCGCTGTTAAATTATGATGGATAATGATAGGGAAGAAAACATTTGATGTGGCACACGAGAAGGAGGTTGGGGTCTGTGGAACTTTGGGAGCTGGAACTGTTGGAAGGATTCTGATGCTTACGTCAGCTGACAATCTCTCCACGACTCCACGTCTCTTTATTTCCCACGATCAACCAGAAACATTAAAACCTTAATTGTGAAGCAGTTTTAAGTACTATTATTGTTCAGCATATGGACGCTATGAAAGTCAGTAGCCTCCAGTGAAAGATAGCACACCACAAACAAGACCGCGAGCCATGGCCGAATGCAAGAAAATCCCGCTGGTAGACCTGTCGTCGAAGCTATGTGGTCCTTGCTACAAAGTCAGAACACGAATGTTCGGACCCCATAGCCCAGAAAAAGGACCGAAGCCGGAGAACAAATTCAAGCTGCATGACAATTATCAGCAGCTGTCAAGGTGTATCTCATGCCCTCTCTGTCAATTTCTAACAAGAGAACTTCTGTACGTTAAGGAGCACGATGGAACGTACAGGTGGCATGAGCCTGCAACCATACCTGCTGGTGCTGCCATATCTGCCACGGTTTCGTGGGCCATCTTGATCTTTCAGCATCGCGAAAGATACTCAAGCTTGAAGATTGAAGTTGGAGGGGTTCAAGCAATGGAGTACAGCAATCCTGTTGCGACCATCCAGGAAGCCAATTTTCGAAAAGGACAGCACAATATACCTAGAGCTGACCCTTACAATAAAATGAAGGCTTGGCTCGGTAGTTGCCTTCAGCACCATTCGAGCTGCTCCAAAGATACTGAGCAATTTCGCCCTTCTCGATTACTTGATCTGACCTGCGATTTGGGCGGGAACGACATTCGCTTGATTCAGTCGGCACTTCATCTACCAAAGAAAAAGGGACGCGAAAATCACTACGCAACCCTGAGTTATTGTTGGGGTCCTCCAGGGCTGAATGCCAGAACAACGAAAGAGAACGTCGAGGAAAGGCGACGAAGAATACCTCTCGACAGCTTGCCAAAAACAGTCAGAGATGCTGTCCTGGTCACCCGAGAATTGGGAATTAGATATCTGTGGGTTGATGCATTATGTATTGTAAGTTGTACAGATCTTGCGGGGCTTACTAAGTAACAATGACGCAGATTCAAGAGGATGCGGAGGATTGGGCGAAAGAATCAGCCGTCATGGGCCAGATTTACCGAAAATCTTTGTGTACATTGGCCGCTGCTGTTGGGACCGACTGTAACACCGGTCTATTCACACTTCGTCAGGCTGCAGAGCTTTCCGCAAGCCGTATTCTGTTCATAGAAGGAGACAAGTCGGACCGTGGCTTGATCTTACAACCAAGTCTAGATCATTGTAAGCACTCGCTATGAGCTACGATGTCTCATCTTTTATAACACCTGAACCCTCGCTTACGATGCTACTACTAGGGTATAGCAGCGTGAAGCTTTCTACATTGAGTACACGAGGATGGGTGATGCAGGAGCGTATTCTTGCAGCACGCACAATTTTCTTCACAGAAGAAGGTATCTTCTGGCAATGTGCTGATCGATCATCCTCTCAGTTCAACGAGAAAGTCAGCACGAATTGGGAGTTCAAGTCAAATCCTAAGTCTCAGAGGCAGTCCAAGCCACGATTCAATGAACTTGTCAAGGACTGGCGAGCAGAAGCTCAAGAGTACAGCTTCAAGTCTACTGGAAAGGTTACGACGGGAAAGATATCTCTGCTCGCAGCAAGCTTTGCAAGCAGAAAAGGGCGAAAGGTGGAGGCTAGACCATGGCATAATCTCGTTTTCGAGTTCACTCAAAGAGATCTCACTCAACCAAATGATCGTCTCCGCGCCGTAGAAGGTATTGCCAACGAGTTCGCTGAGTCGGCGAACGACGTTTATGTGCACAATGGCGGGATCTGGAAGTCAGACATGATTGGTGGAATGGCCTGGTATCGACAGTGGGACAAAGATTCCAAGCATCTCTCGATTGCTCCATCGTGGTCCTGGGCTTCGGTCAGTGGTCAAATAATCAGCATGTATCAGCGGACCGGGCATGTAGTCAACGTCGCTGAGGTGAACTGGAAGAAGACTAATGCGACGAAATTGGATCAGCGAAGTATTTCCATTGAAGAATTACACATTTCGGGGAATGTCTGCCAGGTAAAGCTTTATCGACGATTCGATGATGGATTATTCTGGGCCGTGGACTCTAGCTCGGAACCACCGCCACCTCCCCAACAACCCAAGAAGCTCCTCGGAATCTTCAATCGCCCACTGAACTGGGACCAGCTCAGCGGAATTAAATCGGCCGATGGAATCAATGGGAATCTGGGCTGGAGCGGATCGTCATCTAAAGTATTGAAAAACCATTACGAGATCATCTTCGACTCGTCAAAAGAGAATCCTCCCATCGGAACTGAGTTTCTCTGCATGCCACTCGTAGGTGCTGGATTTCAAGCGCCTTCTGCGCAGGTATTTCCTTCCGGTCTAATTTTGGTTCCCGTCAATGCTGCACGGAAGGTTCATCGCAGAATTGGATGGTGCTTTCTGTGGGCAGCAATTCCAGATGAAAAGTTGAGGGAGGTGGATCTTGTCATTGTCTAGGGGGTTCGCCGAAGGTCCAATACGTTGTTGTTAAGATACTGAAAATTCATTCTCCAGAACTTTGCTATAAACGCCAGATTTACATTGAAATGAGAATGGCTTCAGGACATACGGCCGTAATGGATCGTGAATGAAAAGGGTACTGTTGCGAAAACATATTTCAGGAGAAGTACCAAGAAGAGAGAAAATACAAAACGAGAATAAAGAATTATCCGAAGCCTCTCTGGCAGGGGCCATGGTGGATTGATCAACCTCCTGTCCTTTCCGGACTGTCACTGCCAACGTTACTCCACGGATCAAAGCGGAATCTCAAGCAGCCAGCATCTCTGAAGCCACCCGCACCCCCATTGTTACCTATGCCCGGAGTATTAGCACAGCATGACAGAGCCATGCTCAAGCTGAACATGTAAGCACAGGAAATTGCACTCACAATTTTTGTAATTCTCCTCCATGAGAGAGAAGCAAGTCACCTTTGGTGAGCCCTTGATCGGTTCCAACTTGTTCTGAGATGGTTCTGTAGTCTGACACCCTTTTATCCAACTGATTTCGAAACGATACGGTTGCACTATGCTACCTAGCACTTTGGGCGAAGCAGAAACCTCTGGTGCGATTCCAGCCCCGAAGACTTTGTCAGATGTGCATACTTCTTTAGCAATACGCCTTTGTGAATCACTGTGAACATCTTGATGCCGGGCGCCGAATTCGTTGCTGGCGTGGCAGTTGAGGTCGCCCAGCTGAGGTGGCTCTAATTTTGGAGGCTCTGGTGGTGGAGGCGATACAATTTGATAGAAGTACGTGCCACAGCCAACATCAAGCTTGCCGTTCTTGAACATGGTGTCACCACGATCTGCTTTACCGCCTTGCAACAAACATCAGTAAGGTGAACGTTTGCGACTCAATTTTTCACCTACATGAGTTCGCTAGAGTTTTGAACGCATCCGAGCAACTCTTAGTGCATTCGGGAGCATCGCCAACTATCCAGTTGAGATTTATTCTCCAGTCCTTCCAGGTTTCGGGATTCACAGGAGGGCTGCGCTGAACTACACTCAGGTCACGACGACGAAGCGCTTGAATCTTGTTCCCGAGTGGATCGACATTCCAGTTGAGACTCGAATGAACTTTGTCAATCTCAGCACAGAACTGTCCGTATGCTCCCGAAAATGAATCGTACGGAAAGGATGATCCACCCCCCGTACATTCCTCTAACGGAACGGATGGTACAATGGGGACTTGTGTTGGGACAAAAGCGGCGTCGTACCACGGAATAGTGGCTGTTGTTATGATGTCTGGTTCTTCGTTACTAGCAGTCTTGCTACTGCAGCTGCTCACTTGCATACATGTCGTACCGCAACCCTGAATGATACCAACGAAGCTACAACTTGCGTAGCATACAGTACATTCAGAGGATGATGAGCTTGAAGACAAAGATGAGGATGTTTCAGGTGCGCTGGTCATTGTCTGTGACTGGGTGATTGTGCCTGAAAGTGATTCGGCGGGGATCGTGTTTTCCGTACCCAGCGGAGCCCCTTGATGGTTCACGAGTTCCGTGATGGCAAAGACAGCAACACCAAAGAGCTCGGCTTGCTCTGGGGTCATTTGTAGCTGAGCTGCCCAGTTCCTTGCAAACTGCATGGCAGCATTCATGGCTCGAACGGCACCAGCAGCTGCGAAGGGGAGCGGCTGAATCCCCATGAGACGAATGTCAGCAAATGGCCCACCTGGGACGGCATTCATGATAACACCTTGGGCTCCGCAGAGTGCTGGCCCAAATTCATCAACCCTTTTGGCTATGGGTTGGTCAAGAGCATTTGCGGCCGCACAGTCGGTACTTCGCCGTATGAATCCTTCCATACGCTTCGAAAAATCATTCGGCAGCGAGATAACAATATCTCCTGCATTGTGGCCGTTGACTGCGCTGGTAAAACTTGTAGCGATTGGCGTATATGTACTATGTAAATGAAGTTCCATTAGTAAATAGTCATATCTGAGCTAGAGATGTTTGACGGATGCTGTCTTGGTATTCTTACCCTGTGATTGCCGTGGGGACTGGCTTTGGGGTTATCGTGAAAGGCGGAACGCCATCAACCATGACCACAGTTGCTGTTGCTGTGACCATGGAAGTCGCTTGATTGAGCTGTGCGGGCGGAATAGACACATGTGTTGCGAAGTCGTGCCCATCGATATTTCCCGCTGCAGCGACGGCGACGGCAGCAGCCAGCAGAAATATGGCAACGTCGATGGCGAATTGAACAATTTCGTAAACCAAAAATGCTGACACAAGAAGCTGACGAGCTTGGAGTTCTGTGTTAGGGCCTGAGACCAGGTTTGTTACACTCTGCAAGCACTGCTCGCTGACTTGTTGGCAATTTGCTTCCACAGAGGATTGGATAAGCGCATGTAGGTCTGGCGAGAAAAATATGTCGACACCTTCTTCTGCAGTTGTACCCCCGGAGACACCGATGATAGTGCCGGTCAAGGTTGGAGGAACAGCCTGTATTCGTAATTAGCGTGTAATCAAGAAGCGTGTGAACACCTTACCCCGGGCGGATTGTATTGTTGAAGCCCACCAAGCGAAAGTGTTGCGATTTGTGATCCTGCTACTGCTAGAAACCCCAACATCGGCGCGAAAGCAAACATGATGCCCATTTTTACTTGATGATATTCTTGGGCAAACTAACCACAATACACAAAAGGGGAAGCTTGCCTCGAAGTACATGAGACGGAGCTGGGGTTGTGGGGTTGAACCTGTTCCCAAGATATCTGGGTTATCTGGGCTATGGATGTGGTATATATGTGTGAGAATGGCTTGAGCAGATATTGGAAGGGACGGCCAAACATATTATATGTGGAAGCCACAAGCTGGGTTCTAAGTATTGAGGGAAAGTCAATTACTCTGTAATCGAGTTACAGGAACCTGGGCTTGGTCCAACACGTTACCAGTCGATGCGTTTCTAAGGGAAAACATACGTGGCACTTTAGATAATTAGTACGGTACAAGTAGACGACTAACGGCGTTAAAAATATCATTCTGTACTTTGTTGGGATCCTCCCATCTTGGAAGTTCTGTTCAAGTGCTCTGAGGACAAGTGTCGTTGGCCGCACTGAGAAAGTTGCAGGTCCTATGCGAAGACAGAAGTAAACCATAGCTCAGGCCAACAGGAACTTTGGACTTTCTCATTGGACTATTCGGGACCCTAGTTTGAAACATGAAACAGCGTTAGAGGGAGAAGTGGAACGCTTTGAGCTGTGAGCTGACGGTCGATGGGATGGCCTGTTTGAAAGGTCGAGGAAAACAGGGCGGATGGCCTGTAAATGCGGCCCCGATGCAACCCACACAACGAGGACAGAAATAGCCAACAGTGTGCCGTGGAGCATGGAGTTCTGGGTCTCTCATTCTCATAGCTTGTCTGATTATGTGGTATGTTGTAGATGTGTCTGGTAAACGTGGCCGACAACAGTGGACTGCAAAGGGGGCTGAAGGATGACCGATAACAGCGTAGATGTTGGAATACGTTGGTATCCTCAAAGATATGTTTGAAACTGAAAGAAAGTGCCCGGAGCCGATCCTTCTCTACCAATTGCACTGATGGCCATCTATTCCCCAAGAATAACAAGAAGATCCAGACAGCCTTTCTGCTTGGCTAGCTCCGCAGGCGTCATTCCGGACATATCTCTCACACTTTTATCCGCACCTCGCCGCAACAGCAATTCCAATTTCTCTCTGCCGTTGCTCCCCAAAGAGACAGCGTAGTGCAATGGCGTCCCGGCTTCTGGTCGCACAGCATTGATATCAATACCACGATCGATGAGATATTCCATGACTGGAATTCCACCTTTGCCACGTGGGCGCATAGCCAAAAACAGAGCGTACGGATCGAGTTTCGCGCCGTGTGAGATAAGAACATCGAACACTGGAGAAAGAGGTTCAAGTGCGGCGGTGGCAAGAGGCGAAGCGTATTTCTCTCCGGTGACATTGGGGTCGGCACCATGGTCCAAGAGCCATCTCACCTTTGTCTCGCTATCAATAGCAAGTCTATATGATGTTAGATTCAGATGAATTCGAGCATTACTGGCTCAAGAAATACCTCAAAGCTGGCTCACCAAACTCCACTGAATTGATGTCCCATCCGTATTTGAGAAAAATTTCGAAAAGTTCAACCCCTTCTCTGATTGCGGCCTCCAGAAATACACTCTCTGTGATGCGGGCACCTTTCTCAAACAATGGGATCACAGCGTCGGGAAGACCAAGCTCGGAATCGACCGCAAGTGAGAGAGCCTGGTCGAGCTCTCGCTGTGAAGGACCAGGAGAGGAGCCCAGTATTTCCTCAAAGAGAGCAGCATCTTGGTCCTCAATCGCAGATTCCAACGTCGCCATATTCGAGTTGTCGTTGGTGATGTATTCTAAATGTAGTGGTTGTGGAGAGAAAGAGTGTCTTCAAGGACCCAGGGCCGGGTAAACTCGTACAGTAGGGTCATCAGCGTAGCGCTGAGAACCCAAGTCACGAAGGATCTGAGTGCCTGTCTCGCCTCAACTATGCACCACAGTCACCAACAAGAGGATCCGGATCCAACAAACGTCCCACAACCAGAAAAGTAACAAAACCTGCGCTAGAGAGGGTAGGCCACCTAGCATATCGGTACACGTATCTCTAAGAACGAAGTCTGCCACCATGTTCACGCTCTCTCGCCTCTATTTGTAGGTGCAACCAAGATAATGGCTGATTGGCCTTGATTGCGCCACATGCAAGTGCTGGGTAGCGATTTTATATCTCGAGGTTTCAGGAAATGGCGCACCCTGGAGCTCAAATAACTGGGATATGGAACGGCTTGCGATGTTCTATTTGCGTGTATCGCATGTAGGTCAAATCATTAGCCTTGGACATCATAAAGGAGGTACAGAAGAGCCTATCCCATGTATATATGGAAAAGCTCACCCTCAGCTGTAGTCGCCTCGTACATTGCATGGTTCATTTCGATCAACACAGATTCCGTTGCCTTCCATCTTCTCTCTAATTATGAGGTTCGCCTTTAGATCAATCGCGCTGATCGTTGGACTCGCAGGAGCAACATCTGCTTTGGTTACCAATGGTATTCCCCTCGTACAATGGTCGGTGCATTGACTGAACACTTACCTGTGACTTAGTTGAGCACGATGATAGTGATGCCACTCAAGGACAAACCAGCAAGAAGGACATCTCAAATGTTGATCCGGAGATCGGCCATGCAGTCGGCTTTGAGAAAAGAGGCGTCAGAGAAAAGTGCTCTATCCGTGGGTATCTGGCTGCCATCCCACTCGTTGAAACTCCAGAAACAGAAGACTCCGAAGAAGAATCAGTACCGAGACGAGATGTTCACGGCAATAATGTCACAATATCTACACAAAGTCTGAATCCACGCCAAATGTCACTCCCAGTCAAGAACTGGGTTATGTTCTACAAACGAGAATTGGCAAAAGACAACTATCAACCTATTATATGGGACATCCCCTCGACACAGAGCGACTTCAACACTGCCGTCTTCGAAGATATAGGCGGCGATACAGCCAAGAGCTTGGGCCTCAACGGTCTTTCTGGCTGCAGTGCTCTAATCATAGCCAGTCGGTCAGGAGTCTACATCGCCCACTATTTCGAAAGTCTCTCCTTTTCTCCAGACCCAGAGTGGATCAAAGAGTATGGAAGCGAAGACGCATGCTTTGAGGCAACTGTTGTTCGCGGATTGAAAGAGGGTATTCCAGGAAGAGGACGTATTAAAAAACCGCAGCAAGTCTCTCTGGCTGCCAATGCAGAAAAGCTCCGAAGCGGTGCTGGTCTACGAGCGTATTTGATCGGGCCACGGCTTGATTATAACGACAACCCAAACACTTATAAGCCCAAGTTTAGCATGATCAAGAAAGTAGTCGGAGAAATTATACCGGAGCTCAAACCACGCGGCGGTCGTTGGACTGACATTCGATATGATGCTCTAGATGGGCAATCCAAGGAACTCCGGACAACGCCTGCTGGGAAATTTCTTTTCAAGTATGATCCAGATCACGGAAGAAAGGACGCGAAGAAGAAGAAGGCGGCTTTGTGGGTTGAAGGAAGCCTGGATCTTCACAAGGACGAATGGACTTGAAATCAAATTGTCCTGCTTTTCGTTAATTGAACCTGACTGTCTGTCTGAAGTTTTGAGAATCTAAAAGTTTGGAAGTGTGTAGTATTGCAGAGGTGCTGGGATATGAAGTTGTGGAGTTTACTTTCGGTCCGAGTTATGGTCCTATCAGTACCAGGTATTCTGGGACATTCAATGTTTTTCATTTCTGACCTGATAAAGTTCATATGTGATCTGGAACCACCCACAGTATTTGGCGGTAGTAGCTTGCTATTTTCTCGATGCTGGCGGATATATATGCATGCAGCTAACATGTTCTGATTTCATCTAATGCTCAAGAATTTTGTTCAGTGATCGCTGCTTTCGTTACAGGACGAAGTGGTCACATCTTCAAATAAGCAAAATATGACTTGGCAACCATGGACCTATCACTCAGATACTAATCAAAGTATCGTAGGATTTAACTAAGACTCCAAGATCTCAAAGAAGTGCAAACGACAGGAGGGGGCAGCAGGTAAACATGCATCGCTCAGGGGTTTTATCGCTCGCTAAAACTAGCGAGACAACCCCGAATATTCCGGCTCGAGGCTAAGATCGTCAAGTGAGAAGTCGGTATCAGCAATTGCGTCAGTGTTCAGAGATCTGCATGTAAGCTTGGTCATATACACTACAGGCTGAATCGAATGGCCGAAAGCCGCCCATGAGTTACACGAGTCGTCGGTCAGCTGTCGATCGCCGTCCAGGACATGGGATAAAAAGCCAAGACACGCCGCTCTCTTGAGCTTCAACCCACAGGGAAGATAGCATCTCGGTAACATGCCTCAATCTTTCAATATCGTGATTTGCGGTGCTGGGCTGAGTGGACTTTTCGCAGGCACCGCTCTCGCGAAAAGGGGACATCATGTAACCATTGTTGAATCTACCCCGCAGTTGAGTGAGATTGGCGCTGGAATACAGATTCCTCCCAATAGCTCCAGAATACTAATCGAACATGGACTTCGAAACAAGCTCGAAGAAAAGTCTATCGTGCCAAAGCGGATGAATGTAAGAAGATATGCGACTGGTGAAGTTGTCGGAGTGACAGAAATCCATCCTTTCATGGAAGAAGCTTATGGATTCCCGTGGGTATCGTACCGTTCTCTCGTTTGAATAGTATACTAGACTAATGTTATGAAGAATGTGGTATATTCATCGCGCAGAGTTCCAGAGCATCTTGTATGAAGCTGCAAATGAAGCGGGTGTCAAGTTTCTTTTGGGTAGTCCTGTGGAGAAGTTGAATGAAATTGAAGCCGCCATATATCTACGAGATGGCAAAGAACTGAAAGCGGACTTGGTCATCGGAGCAGATGGTATCCGCTCCAAGATTCGCACGTCCATCTCCAAAGACAAGACCATCGAATTTGATAAGTCTCCTCACTGTGCGTATCGCGCAATGATACCCGAGACTGTATTACTTTCGGACCCAGAGACAGCTGGTATCCTAAAAGTGCATGAGTCCGAGCTCTGGATAGGACCAGAGTCTCATATCATGGCATATGCAGTCAAAGATGGATCCAATGATATCCTTTACAACTTCGCCTTGTGCCACAGAGGAGATGGGGAGACCGGAAAGTGGAACGAGCCTGGTGACCTGAAAGAGATGAAGGTGAAGTACTCAAAGTGGGAGCCTGGGCTGCAATGGCAGTCGAGGACGGAGCCGCGTTGGCGGAATGTATCTCCCGAGCAGATTCGGCTTCTGATCTACCGAACCTGCTGAAAGCTTTCGAAGCAGTGCGTAAACCAAGATGTGAGGACATATCGGCAAATTGCTTGACGAATGCAGAAATCTTCCATTTGCCGGATGGTCCAGCACAGGAGAGGCGAGACCTGGCGATGAGGAAAGCCATTGAAGGGGGAGATAAGAAAGTGGATGGAGGAGAAGGAGGTGGACATAAGTATAACAATGATAGCGTCAAAACTGGGCTGTTTGATTATGACATTGTGAAAGAAGTAAGTCTTGCAAATCTTGGATCGAAGTCCAACGCTGATAGAAGAAAGATGAACGCTGCTTTGGGCTAAAAAAATGAGATTTTGTCTTCACAAGTCCCCCCCCCCCCCAAAAATTACGAGGATAACAGTGAATTCTTCTCCGTGATGCAAAATTGATGGATTGTTTAATTATTTTCACTTCCAATGGGGTGTAATGAACGATGTGCAATATCCCTTCTGAATTGCATTCCCTCGAACGACACTCTCTTTACCCCTCGGTAAACCATCCGGATTGCTTTCTCCAGCGTATCCATTTTTGCTATGACGGCTATTACCCGTCCTCCATTCGTTACGAACATACCATCTTGATCGAGCCTTGTTCCAGCAGCTAAATAGCTCACGTGAGATTTGACAGCGCGTTTCTCTAACAGATTTTCTGTGCTCATACATAGCGAAGATGATGCATCCGTGTGGAATGGCTGGAAATTGATCTGATAGCCAGTTTTATATTCCTCCGGATAGCCTCTAGAAGCAAGAACTACTGTTGCGCAGAACTTATTTTCCATAATCAGGTCAACTTGGTGAAGATTTCCAGTGATGCAAGCCAGCATGATTTCCGCTAAGTCTGATTCGAGCAGTGGGAGGAGAGTTTGGCCTTCTGGATCGCCAAAACGAGCATTGTATTCGAGGCATTTGGGGCCGGATTTGGTGAGCATGACTCCGGTAAATAGCATCCCAACAAAGGGAGCACCTAAACATTCGTAAGCGAGTTCTCTGAGGGCGATGGGCCACCTGGATCCAGATAAATACCTTCATCTCTCAATCCATCTAGAGTTGGTTTGATAATCAACCTCTCGATGTCTCGCATCATAGACGGAATTGCAGCTCTAACAGGGCAATAGCACCCCATGCCCCCAGTATTTGGTCCCTGGTCACCATCGAAAATTCGCTTGTGGTCCTGAGCAGCTGGTAGGGACTTGAACGTCTTCCCATCACAAAAAGTATGAATGCTTAGCTCTTCTCCTTCGAGAAACTCCTCGATCACAATTTCATTTCCGGCTTCACCAAATTTGTCAGCCAGCATCATCTCGTCTAGGGCTTGGAAAGCTTCGTCTCTCGTTTGTGGGATGACCACACCTTTTCCGGCTGCGAGACCTGATGCTTTGATCACCACTCGGCGCAGTAGATCATGGCTTGTGCAGTCGTCAATGTACTGTTTCGCATTGTGAGTATTTTTAAAGCTTGCGTAGGTTGCTGTGGGGACTTTGTGGCGTTCCATAAAATCTTTTGAGAAAGCTTTTGACCCCTCAATTTGGGCTGCTGCTTTCGAAGGCGCAAAGCACCATATTTTTGCTATAACAGTTGTCAATGCATAAAGTGGTTCAAGATCTCTTGAAATGGACGTACCTTCTCGGAACAAATCCCCGATACCATTTACGATTGGTGCATCGGGGCCCGGCACGACCATATTTATTTTCAGCTCTTGAGCCAGCTTCAAAAGCCCCTGGAAGTCATTCTCGTCGATTCCACCAACATTGCAGGTTTTGGGTATATCGGTGTATGTTCCACCATTTCCTGGAACGACAACGATCTTACTGACGTGGTTTGACTGGCTGAGTTTGAGGGCTAGTGCATGCTCTCTTGCACCTCTACCTATGAGGAGGACTTTGAGCTGAAGGAACGTTTCAGTCATCTTCGATGACCCGAGGTCTGAGAGGTAGAAATTTGGACTCTAATATATGAAGGTTATGTATGATACTGGAGAATTGCTGCGGATAAGAAAGTGTTGGAAGAATAGTTTCTCCAAACAGAAGAAACCGAGTGATCTGCCTGTAAGAAGACGAAGACGAAAGGTTTCGTGTGAATTTGCAGATTTTAGAATGACTATGGACATAATGAATGTATTTTTCAAATTCAAGGGCATAAAATTCCTGTGTGATGATAATCTGGTATATTAGGTAGCGTTCAGTCGCGGGAGCTTGGAGTAGCTTCCGCACATAAACTGCTGAACCCGCAAATTCTCCCCCAAAAAGAATACCAGCGTATAATTATGAAAGACACAACGAGACAGATACTGCCGGGAGAAAACTGCTGATACACTCGAAGGGTCCGAAGGGTGGGTTATTTTCACCCAAGAGCTGAGGGGTTAACTTAGGGGTGGGAACGATGGATGATATGAGCTAACGCACCGAGGAGACAAATTAAAGTGCAGTCATTCGCAAAGCCTCAAAGCCTTCAGCTGGTTATGGTGGATAAAATTCTATTCTGGTATGATCGTACCTTGCAGGAAATTAACTTGATCGTTTTTGCAGCCTTCTATCTTCTAAGTGTTATCCACGCACAACTGTCGGTTTTTTCAAGGGAAAACTCAGGCTTGGAGCTGTCGAGCTAGTGTGATACAACGAAGATTTCCCGTTTGGAGATTCTTGTTCCACTTCTGCTACATGCAAAGCGGTTTTACTAAGGCATCTTCTTTCACTTTGTATATATCAATTAACTGCTTCTGACAAGCTCTACAGGAGAAGGTATGAGAATTTATAGCTCCACGTGATCATCACGGCATCCCCTAAAGGGATTTCCGGAGGAAATGCGGGGGTTGAGGGGTAAATCCATACTGTGCTCCCCCACATTCAGAGACATTATCCGGGGCCATTCTTGGCTTGTTTTCGTTGACTTCAATGACGCTTCATATCTTTGTATTTCGAGCAAAATAGCCAGACAAGATTAAGGTTCACTGCTTTCGGTTGCGACTACGAACAAAAATTACTGACGGGACGGAAGGTCACGGATTCATCTACGAATCGATACTGCGAGATATTCTAAGCTATAGCTCACTTACCTTGACAACATTGAACGATTTTCGAGATATTCGATTCTCACGAAGCAGGCATTCTGTGCGAACATCTCATTTCAGCCATCAGTATCTCAATTTCACAACACCAATAAATTGCATCATGTCATCAAAACATTACTTCCCCGAAACAGCAGTCAACACCCTCGTCCCCCGCTTCTTAACCGCTCTCACCCGAGCCAACCCTTCCCTAACATTCCTCCCCTCTTACCGCGTCGTCCTGAATAACACCGCCTCCCGGTCTCATGTAACGCTCATCTCCGGCGGAGGAAGTGGTCATGAGCCCGCCTGGTCGGGGTATGTTGGTGATGGCCTCCTCACAGCTGTAGCATGTGGCGATATCTTCGCCAGTCCGAGCATGAAGCAGGTACTGGCCGCCATTGCAGCGTGTCCGAGTGATAAAGGGTGTATCTTGCTGATCACTAATTATACTGGTGACAAGCTGCATTTTGGCTTAGCGGCTGAGAAGGCGATGGAGAGAGGCTGGGTAGAGAGGGGCAAGTGTGTGGTGTTGCCAGCGACGGATGATGTTAGTATTGGGAGGAGTAAGAGTGAGAAAGTTGGGAGGAGAGGTTTGGCGGGAAATGTTATTAGTGAGTGATTTCTCTTCGTGAGTACGAACATGTGGCTGATAGATCTTTAGCGATGAAGGTTTTGGGAGCGGCTGCTGCGAAAGATTACTCCTTTGAAAGGTTAGTTGAGATTGGGAAGGCTGTTAATGAGCAGCTTGTTTCTATCGGATCAGCGTTGGATCATTGCCATATACCAGGAAGACAGAACCACGATAAAATCGGAGAAGACGTTTGTGTGGTGGGTGCTGGAATCCACAACGAGCCAGTACGTTTCTTCCGCTCCTGTGATGATTTTGGATACTGACATTTCGAAGGCGGTGGAGGAAGTGTCACCCATTCCCTCGGTCGAAGGTCTGATCAAAAGACTATTGAACTTGCTGTGCGACCAGAACGACACTGACCGAGCTTTTGTAAAGTTCAACAAGGCAGATGACACAGTTCTCCTCATCAATAACTATGGTGGTCTCTCAAATCTGGAACTCGGCGCTCTTACTGAGGAGCTTTTGTCACAACTAGGTATGCCCACTCCAAAGACCCCTGTACATCTGCATTCGCTTCGGCAAGTGAGACTGACTGATCAACAGAGAAATTTTGGAATATCAAGCCCACGAAGATCTACGCTGATACATTCGAAACGTCTCTCAACGGACCTGGGTTTTCCGTAACATTGTGCAACCTCACCATTGCTGCCAAAGAAAGCAAAACTTCCGTAGATGAGCTGATGGATTTGCTTGGCGCGGAGACAAAAGCCCCTGCTTGGCCTAATGTGCTTGCTAATACCTCAACGAAGGCAGCGAAGAAGGGTAGTCCAGAGGTGGACATCGAGAAACAAGCTCCAATATCACCTGACGACGATATCAAAGGTACGTGGCCGGCGAGCTGAACCAGAAATTGCATCTAACACACTTGCAGTCGATCCTAAACTACTCAATTCTGCTGTCCGGACAGCATGTAAGCGAGCCATAGACGCAGAGCCCAATCTGACCAAATGGGATATGATAATGGGTGATGGGGATTGTGGCGAAGCAGTCCGAGGAGTCAGTAAAGCAGTTCTCCAAATCCTTGACAACGGGACTGCGATATCAGGCTCAGTACAAACACTTCTGCAGGCGATAACCAACGCTGTGGACGATATGGGAGGCACTTTGGGAGCAATCTTCGGAATCCTTCTCGCAGCTTTCTCCACGTCTCTCCGAGCCCAGAAATCCAAAGGGAGCTCAGTCGATAAACTGATCGATATCTTTGCACCGGCTCTGGCGGAAGCAGTGGAAAGTTTGAAACAGCATACCGGAGCGAGAGTTGGTGACCGGACGGTCATGGATGTACTGCTACCTTTCACAGAGACTTTGAATCAATCAAGGGATCTGGGAGCAGCTGTGAATAAGGCGGAGAGTGCGGCGGAGGGGACGAAGGAGTTGAAAGCGGGCTTTGGGAGAGCGAGCTATGTCGGAGCTGTCGAGGAAAAGGAGAAAGTTCCTGATCCTGGGGCGTGGGCATTGATGGAGATCGCAAAGGGCTTGTTGGAGGGTGGAGCGGCGTAGATGTGATAACTATGTAGAACACGTGAGATCCCGTGGAGCTGGTAAGGCAGGAAACTGATGAGATGAGAGTATCGTGCCGAGAGGAATTTAGGACAAATGAGTTGCAAATTGATTGTTCAGGAGGAGAGGGATACGTGGACCGAAGACTCGACAGAGAAGTACCGAAATGATAGATGGAAGAAATCGTACGCAATAGTGCTGCGTCTTTGTTCAGTATTGCTTGTTCAATTTCTGTAGTTGAGTTGCGATCTTCCGGTGCGAATCTGGTGGTGTGGCTATCTCTAAGCACGCCAACCCAGCGAGGTATTCTCCGAGTACAAACATCTGAGATTGGCCATCTCATCCCCTTCTTCTCCCTCATGTAGCTAGTGTGCTACTGTTCTCAGTCGCCGGGCCGTTTCTGGCTGTGTGGCAACTTTCAACCTGCCGCTTGGTGCCCCTCTTTATATCCCACCGAATGTATCAAATTCATCAACTGATCTTGACGGAAATTGTAGATATCTCTGAGCATATGATTTGCTTGCCCTCGTTCTTTCTATTCCATTAAAATTTCCCATCATGCTCTCCTGGTAATCGTTTTACACGCTTCTGCTCCCAATCGTCCAAGTCTTTGGCTGCTAGTCTCTGCACAAAATATCAGCACCTTCCAGACAAAGTTCTGTTTTTGCTGATGTATATCCACACCGCCAAAAGCCACTCTGGATTCCAGTATAAACTCACATAGTATTCCTCCTTCATGTCCACTTTTCGCCCTCCTTTTCCAATGCCCAGCTCTTCCTCCTTGCTCAGTCTCCTGACTCTGCGGTCGTGTTTCTCGTATCGGATTGCCGTGGCTGGAGTGAGGAAGAAAGAGCCTGCGACCATTGTTGCGATGAAGGGGAGGCCGAAGAGCAGGAAGGGATGTCGTGCAAGGCCTGATCGATAGCGGGCTGCCATCGTATTGGCGTCCGCGGCAGACCGGAACTTCTTATTCTGAAAGACACCCATTTTTTGCGTGTATGTGCGTGAAAAAAAATAAGGCTTGAGCTCGTGTTTGAGTTGGGCCAGAGATTTTCTGACGAAGCGGTGCGATATTTTGAGGTCAAACTTATAGGTAGCTTCACGTATGGAGCTCCTCTCATCTCCAACGTTGATCTGGATCGCGGCTACTTTGACGAGCAGCAGGACAATTCTCTAGAACTAGAGAGTGGCGAAGAGGCAGTGAACAAGCAAGTCGCTGTTGCTATTACAAAAGAAGCTCCAGACACGCAGCGACTGTGGAGAGCTTGAAAGTGTTTCCAAGCCGCTAAATCACGTGTGACCGCGTCTTGTCAAACGCGTTCCACCTCCCTCTTCGATTTTCATCACGAACTCATAGAAAAATGGCTCCCTCATCATGGCACCTATAGCACGCAATACCGCCTCCAATCGTCGACCAAATGGTCACATCAACGGGGAGATGGGCGGTTTTGTCCCACCCCCTTCAACGATGGCGGCTCAGCTCATCAGTGACCTTTCGACCAGAGGCAACAACCCCTCGAAAGAGAAGGACCCCGATGGACTGCAACAGATGATGAATGAAGTGTCGCTAGAAGAGCAGGAGTTAGAATTGCAGCTCGAGGAGAATCCTGGCCTCGTCGAGGACCTGGATGTGAAGTTGGAGCGCAAGCACAAGCTCATTTACGCTTTCACACGTGCTCTTCTCGAGAAACTCGCCAGCGATGACCCTTTCATGGATCTAGAGGAACGTGTCCAGCAAGGCAATGAGGCTTTAGAAGTTTACGTGGGAACAATCAGAGAGTGTCCGCAGCTCCTAGCGTATGTTTCGCCGCCCGAAAGAACTCTCCCTGGCCGAGGTGCAGAACCTCTGTGCAGCTGGTTGATCCCCCGGGTACTGGTGCTTCTCGGACGTAAAGGCTGCGAAAAGTTGACCAGCAACATAAAAGCTCTTTTTGATGTGTTTTTTCAAATCATCCCTCAGCATCCCAGATTCTGGTATTGGGAATCTGTTCTCTTCGACTATCTGAAGCGCTGCGTCCAAGGTATGTCATTCTTCATATCCTTGTGCATCTCTGCTCATCCAATATCCAGTTACAACCAAACATCTTGAAAGCCCTCGAATCATATCTCAAAACCTACATGTAAATATTGTTGTGCGCCCAAATCAAGAGGGACTAGGATCCTCCGACACCCCTCGCAGCTCTCTCCTCACCTCGTCATATTCCATTCTTAGTGCTGCGGAGGGCCTAGCACATGCAAGCCACCTGCTGTCGATACTAGCACATGCATCTGAGGAAACTGCTGCATCGTTTGATGCCACGACAGCATTCCAGAATTATCTGTCGTGGCTAGCAGACTCGTTCCTCCGGATACATGAGATTCGCAAGAGATGGACTGCGAACCTCGCACTTCACGAATGTTGCATGAGGACGGATGAAATTTTCTTAAGCTCTATCAACTCTCTGTTGTCTTCACTGTGGCGGTTCATCTGGCCATCTGTTTTGCGCAAAGGTTACACTGTACTCTCGATCATCTGCGCATCCATGCTCGAGGAACCAAACCAACTTTCCGACGAAGCTCAACATACTCTTTGCAGTGCGTTGCTCAACATGGCAGCAATATGTAGAGAGTTTAAGTCAATGCGACAAGTCTTGATTCTGAATCTCATTCCTGCACTTCCCTCATTCGAAAATGCATGCTTGAACTTAGGAAAAGACTTCAAGGCTAGTGAAACCGTGTCCTGTGTGTTTCAAAGTATTAATTGTGCTCTAGGCTGCAGGTGCGACCCTGCGTCAAGCTTGCGGCGATTATGGACAGCTTGAAAAGGTTGGCGTCGATGCTCCTGGTTTTGAAAGTCCGAATCTGCTTGCCGAATTCTATAATCTTGGACTTCATGAAGTAAAGCCCAAAAAGGTAGAATCAGGGAATGATTCGAAGCCTCAAGTTGAAGATGGCCCACCGACAAAGCGTCGCAAAATCAACGATGATGTAAATCTTCTCGGAGAAATCACGGCAGATTTGTATGAGCTTCTAGGTGCGCAGAGAGCCACCGACTTGGGAGGGCTTCAACAGCTTGCAGAGTACAAGAGCCATTCTAAAGCCCAAAAAAATTCTCAGGTGACTGACATCAGCAGGAAATGCTTCACATCGCTCGGCGTCGCTGAGCAGTGCCAAGCAATCGAGTATCTTGGCCGTATACCTTGTGGATTGTCTGGAAACCTGTCACTGAACCGTACAAACGGAAAGATTGTGGAATCGAAATGTCTCATTTGCGACGGAGAGGAGCTTCAAGAGACTGTTGACGCACAGTACGATGAAGCAGCATACTCCGTAATTGCGACAGAATCGATCCAAGTCTTCGTTAGCCTTGTCAAATCCCAGGCATTTGCTGAATCCAGGCGCCCTCGCGTCTTGGCTATGTTCACCTTGAAGAGATTCGCGACGCATTTCAAAAACCCGGAACTCCTCGATCTTGAGGCATCGTCCCTTGGTCAATGGTGCTTGATGTCCTTGAAAAGCTCCATCCGAGAGCTCAGGTTGGCAGCAGGGTTAGTATTCCGTTTTCTTTCCAGTCTCCGAATACTTCGCTAAAACGGAACCAAGCCGTTCGATTCCCCTCTTTGTACGAGGAGTGTCTACTCCGGGTTCTTTGACGTGGAGAAATCGGCACAACGTGATAGGTGTCATGAGGACCTTTGCACAACAAGGTAGCAACCTGCTGCATCAAGAGACAACCGTACTTGCATGGGGTCAGATCGCAAGGTCAGTCTTCAGAGGCCCTCTGGCGATGGCTGCTAACCGAAGCAGTTTTGTGAAAGACCACGACCTGAATGTTCTCCTTCTCGCGCTTGTTGAATATTTGGGGCACAGTAATCAAATCGTTTCGGGGACCGCTTTTAGTGAAGTCTGCAGCAAATGCCAAGAGTAAATTTCCGAGCTGACCGGTATTAGATTTTGAGGCTTGCAAAGCAAAGTGGAATTACCGTAGAGAGGCTTTTCGGTCCTTTCTGGAGCAGCATTGCAACCGTGGCTGTGAAAGACCTCCTCGTCAAACCACAGACCACCCAACTCATGGCCGATCTGCTCGGAACTTCAGTTGCTGACTTTCTTGTACTTACCCAGTCATATACGCTACCGTTTCTGGTCTTGAATGGCAAAGTCGACGTAATCAAGAGAATCAGCGAGGCACGCCAAGACCCCGATAACTGGGCTATATGTCTTGACCCTTCGAATCTTGCTCCTATTTTGGCACTTCTTCTCGTTCAAGATGTGCCAAATCTGGACTCCTTTGTCATGAGTCTGTTCAGACGCGTTTCGAGCGATTTTAAAGACCACGAACTGGTCGATTTGTTGAAGATGGAACCTATGTATGAAGCTTTGTATCTTCTAAAGGCTGTTGGGGAAGCCGATGAGAGCAGAAAATCTAGGGTATGCTCTATGGGCAGGATTTGACTTGACTCAACTGACGACCACTAGATCCGAGTGGCCCTCAAATTTTTGGCAACTCGAGTTAATGAGAGCAATAACTCAAAGAAGTCCAATTCCATGGGAGCTTTCTTAAACCAGCACATTCTGGGCCTTGTAACCCGCCTTGTTGAAGCTGTCAATGGTACTCGGGACGATTGGATGCTTATGGAAAGAGAAAGATCTATCAAAGCTATGGAAGAGCTTGTAAAGCTCGCAAAGACAGAAGCAAGAGCTGCGCGCCCTCAGGTGGGTCTCACATATCCCGCCCCTTCTCTGGACATAGCTCATCTTTCTAGCTTTGCGCTTGTCTGCAAACCGCGTTCTCACAGCCAGAGTTACAATCTTCCGCGTTTTCCGCTTGGGAAACGATACTGCGCAACTTGGGTGATGAAGATGTGGAGGCAATGCTCGAAAGCACATTTTCGATTGTTATCCAACATTGGGAAAGTTTCAACGAGACAACTCAGGATCGTGCCGAAGGCGCTCTTCAATATCTTCTCAAGTCCAGAACTCGCCTTATTCGCAACATGATAGTCAATCTTCCCTCGCTGGCAGCTTTCCCTAGATTAGCAGACGTGGAAAGACAAATCAGCAAGTTAAGGGTGCCAACCGACACTGGAAATGCCTTTCAAATCTTCCGTCGCAGGCTTGGCCATGAAAATCCAGGAGTTGTGGCGCAAACACTTGTCGAACTAAAGGCATTTCTGAAAAGCAACCAGTCTTTCCTTCAAGCCTCGGCCGTTAGTGAGCAACCAGATATCGTCGTTGGTCAGCTTATACGTTCCATACTTGACACTTGTGTTAAGTATAGTGAATGGCAGAACGACATCGCTGCGCTGTCAGCGGAATGTATTGGCCTCATTGGTTGCATAGACTCCAACAGGGTGGAATCTGCTCGGGATCGCCGTGAAATGGTTGTAGTGAGCAATTTTCACGAACATGGGGAAACTACAGATTTTGTTCTTTACATCATGGAAGAAGTCATTGTACCAGCATTCTTATCTGCTGAGGACACCTCGCTTCAAGGATTCTTCTCGTATGTGATGCAAGAACTTCTTGACAGGTGCAACTTTAGGGCTGTCATCGGGGACATCTTGAGGAAAGGTGAAAAGAACAGCACTAACGACCTATGGCTGAAATGGATCTCACTGTCGCCAGGGGTGCAAGATGTTTTGACTCCATTCCTGAGTTCAAAATACGGGTTAGCTGATATGGAAATGCCGAAATTGGAATATCCGATATTCCGACCAGACAGAATGCCGCCTAAGCTATACAACGCATGGCTCAGAAGCTTCTCTCTGGATCTTTTGCAGAAGCCTTTCCAATTCTCTACGAACCTCATTTTCCCGCCTCTGTGTCGGGCAATCAGAATCAAAGATGTGTCGGTAGCCAGCTTTATCTTGCCTTACCTGGCTCTCCATGTTGTCGTTGATGGTAGAGATTCCCACCGAGCACAAATCGGGAACGAATTACTCTCAATCCTCAAGTTCGAAGCATCCACAGAGCCTGAAGGCAGAAGACAGGATTTGAAATTGTGTATCGAGGCAAGTTGAAAAGTCTTCTTCTTTCACTGAGATGCTAATATTCCCAGGCGGTTTTCCGCATCCTAGACTACTTTGCTCGATGGATGCAGGAGAAGCAGATCAAGGCAGCGTCTTCTAGGGGACAGATATCTGCAGATGCGGAGCGCGACATTCAGCATGTAAAATCAGTCGTCGCTAGCATTCCCCCCGAGCTTATATCTCGCCGAGCCATAGAGTGCAAGTCATATCCTCGAGCGTTGTTCTACTGGGAACAGCATATTAGAGATGTAAGAGAAAAAGAAAAAGAAACAGCGACCGGCGCCACGGCTACCACTCCACAGCTGCAGCGGCTGCAGGAGATTTACAGCCAGATCGATGAGCCAGACGGCATTGAGGGTATCTCTGCCCACCTTCATGTCTTAGATATCGATCAACAAATTCTTGGGCATCGCAAGGCGGGTCGGTGGACAGCAGCCCAGAGTTGGTATGAAATTCAGCTTGCAGAGAGGCCGGAGGATGTTGAAGTTCAGTTGAATCTTCTGACTTGTCTAAAAGAATCTGGACAGCATGGTGAGTCTTACTCTGCGATATATCTGGTTATCAACTCACCTTTCACAGACGTGCTCCTCAATTATGTTGAGGGAATGCACACAGCGGCACAGACCGTCTCCAAGCTTCTCCCGTTCGCAGCCGAGGCGTCATGGGCAACTGGAAGATGGGCCACACTTGCAAAATATACATCTATGGCACCACCAGGTATAGGCGAAGACTTCAATGTCAATGTTGGTCGTGCCCTTCTTGCTTTACAGAAGTCAGACGAGGATCTATTCATATCCAGCGTCAAATCGCTTCGTGATCGTATTGCACGGTCTTTGTCAATAGCAACAACCTCTTCTCTCGGTGCTTGTCATGACACGATGCTAAAGTTGCACGTGCTCACGGAACTGGAGATGATTGCAGGTACCGACCAAGCAAGCAATGAAAATCTGTCTGGTATTCTCGAATCACTCAATCGGAGACTGGAAGTCATTGGAGCTTTCCTAAACGATAAGCAGTATCTGCTTGGAATAAGACGAGCTGCTATGCAGTTGTCACGGTATGCTCCTTCACATGTAGATCACCTACAATAAGCTAACATCATTCAGATTGGATTTTGGAGAGCGCAACATTGCTTCAGCATGGCTAACCAGTGCGCGACTAGCACGGAAAGGAAACGCAATTCATCAATCGTTCAATGCTGTGCTGCATGCATCACAGCTAGGGGACGAATCGGCAACCATAGAACACGCTCGACTTCTGTGGAAGGAAGGACATCATCGAAAAGCAATTCAAAGTCTGCAAGGAGCCATTGAGAACAATGCTTTCATATCTCACAACAAAACTTTCCAAGCCACAAGTTTCACTGGTGCAGAAAAGCCAGATCAGCAGAATCTCTTAACTGCAAGAGCACATTTGCTGTACGCGAAATGGCTGGATAGCGCCGGACAAACGCATTCCTCAGCTCTGCGAACTCAGTATCAACTGGCGGCCAAGACCCATGTGGCTTGGGAGAAAGGTCACTACTATCTCGGTCGTCATTACAATAAACTGCTCGAGTCCGAGAAATCTCTCCCTCCAGAGCAACAGAACGAAGCCCTCCTGACTGGGGAAACAGCAAAACTGGTTATCGAGAATTACTTTCGTGCTTTGTCCTATGGGACAAAGTATATCTACCAGACATTGCCTCGCATCTTGACGCTTTGGTTGGATCTAGGCACACAGGTGCAACAGCCTGTGGAAGCGAAATACGGCAGTACCAAGGAGTTTATCAGTAGAATCACCAACCAGCGCAAAGCGAATCTCGATAATGTGCATCTACGTTTTAAGAAGTATACTCAGAAGCTACCAGCCTACATGTTTTACACGGCCTTGCCACAGATCGTTGCTCGTATTGCCCATTCCAATGTCGAGGTCTACAGATATCTACAGCAGATGATATACAATGTCGTGCAAACCTATCCACAACAAGCATTGTGGGGCTTACTTGCAGTGTGCACCTCAAATCAGTCGGATCGTAAAGCTCGAGGATCAACGATTCTGCAAAATCTAGCATCTCCAAAATCCCAAGCCGGACCTTGGGGAGACATCAGGCCCATGATCAGAAACGGCCAAAAAATAACAGAACAGCTTCTATGGGCATGCAATGCTGGGGAGTTTCAAGGCAATCGAACAATATGGGCAAGCTTGACCAAGGACCTTAGCTTCAACCCAAAGGTCTGCATGCCCAGTCTATTGGCTGTGCCGGCTGAGAGTGTCTTGACAGCAACTCTTCCAACACTCACCAACAACTTGAAGGCTCACAAAGCTTTTTCCCGAGACATCGTAACGATAGCATCCTTTTTGGACGAGGTCATGATCCTCAGTTCACTCCAAAAGCCTCGAAAGCTGACTGCTCGTGGGTCGGATGGCAGAAATTATGGGCTCATGTGCAAGCCCAAAGACGATCTTCGCAAAGATCAACGTTTGATGGAGTTTAACAGCATGATTAATAGGTCGTTGAAGCGTGATGCTGACTCCAGTAGGCGGCAGCTTTACATTAAGACCTACGCTGTCACTCCCCTGAACGAAGAGTGTGGAATTATTGAGTGGGTCGACGGCTTAAAGACTCTCAGAGACATTCTCCTTGGTCTCTATAAGGGCATCGGTGTGGCACCAAATTACAATGAGATTGCACTCTACTGCGAAGAAGCAGCCAAGTCGGTTGACAAACTCCCATTCTTCACGGAGAAAGTTTTAGGTAATTTCCCGCCAATATTTCATCGATGGTTCGTGGCACAGTTCCCAGAACCGTCTACGTGGTTTGCTGCACGCCTTCGGTACACCAGATCCTGTGCTGTCATGTCGATGGTAGGTACCATCCTTGGGTTGGGAGACCGCCACGGCGAGAACATTCTTTTCGAAGAAGGCAATGGTGGAACATTCCACGTCGACTTCAATTGCCTCTTCGACAAAGGTCTTACATTCGTCAAGCCAGAACGTGTGCCTTTCCGCCTGACGCACAACATGATTGATGCCATGGGGATGTATGGCTATGAGGGTCCATTCCGGAAGTCCTCTGAGCTTACACTCAAGCTTCTGCGACAGCATGAGGAGACATTGATGACGATTCTCGAGGCTTTTGTATATGATCCGACGCTTGATCTCCTGGCCAGAGATCCAAAGAAGAAGAAAAAAGAGGGATCCGCTGTACAACAGACTGCGCAAGGAGTGTTGGATACTATTCAACGCAAGGTTCGCGGATTGCTAGCGGGAGAAAGTGTTCCTTTAGGAGTGGAGGGACAGGTCGATGAGTTGATTAAGCAGGCAACTAACCAGACGTATTTGGCGAGTATGTATATTGGATGGTGCGCATTCTTCTAGATTTATTGGGGTGTATGATATGGTTGTGTCCAATAGATAAAAAGCATTATGGGCAATGCGGGAGTATACAGGTATTCTAGCCAGGTCACATGACCAATGTAATTTTCACAATGTAAAGTCTCAAATGGAGTTGGAAGATATATTTTCGACCGCCAAATCATCGATTCATCGCATCCCTCGGCTACTGGGCGCTGGTATTTGTCCAACCACATCGATTGTCGTCATATCCACTCTGACACCCACTGCCGAAATGGCCTCACTTTCCGCACCACTTCCCCATCGAACACGCAACCTCCAATTCTGGCTGTATTGTAGATATGTAACCCCTCACCCCGCAAATCCACAACACTCTTTTTATTGTTCCTTATCCCTTACTTGTTCGACTTCTGAGAGCTCATCTGAAATCTCCCTAAACACAAACTAAACACTTTCTTGATCACGGCTACCGACGTGCTCGCCAAATTCCGCCAAGACAGAGAGAAAACAAGTAAGCGAGGACCCAAGAATCAAAACGGCACAAAACAAACAAAAAGAGCAGCAGCAATGAACGCCCCTCAACGTAAACTTCTTACAATCCTCACCATATCTGGTGCCGGTCTCTGGATCAGCAAGGAAATGAAACCCACCCGCAAAGAGCGCGTGACATGGGGCGTGAACGGACAACTCGATCATCTCAATGACACTGTTGAGAAGAGGAGGGGGAGGGCTGTTGGGTATGCTGTACCACAATCCCAGGGCGATGGATTGGTCTCAAGGAAAAAGTCAGATGTGTATGAGGGAAAGAGAGAAGTCCAGAAGAGGGGGATCGTGGAGAAAGATGCTTGGAGGAGTGATTATTTCGGTCATGAGGATGCGTTTTTGTGGTGGCTGACGAGGGAGTAGGAAGTTGGCTGAAGGGGGCAGTTGAAAGTTGAAGTGCGGTAAGGGAGATGAATTCATTTAATAAGGCGTATATGGGATGTTATGGAATGGCATGGCCGCATGGAATAAGTCGCCATGGAAATGGACGGGGTCCAGCTTTCGGTCCATTCAAAGGCATGGGAACTCGCGATCATTTGGTCTATATCATCGTGCGGCGGAGGGTTTAACGAGGAGACCTTGATGAGATTTCTGTTCAAATAGAAACATGAGGTACGAAAAGACAGCATTGAACGCCACAAACTGGACAGCATTTCTTCCTAATCTTGTCTACCCCAACTTTCACGCACGTTTCTAAGTCATTTCTCCCAATGATTCACACACCGAACTCGAAAGTCTTTCAACATAGCAGCGTACTGTTCCCTGTCTCTGAAATACTCCGGCGACTCCGAATACCTCTGGATATGCTTGAAGGTAGAGTTCGAAATTGCAGACCCGAGACTATCGCTCATATCGAAACGAGCACGATATGCGTCGATGAGTCGCTCTCCAACCAGAAGGAATGTTGCACGGAAGACCAGATCAGCTGCTTCTCGCGACATGCAGCCGTTCAAGTTCAGTAAGCCAAGTGCTCTTTTGAATCTCGTCCAGTGTGATTCAATGTATGCGGACCGCCAGCATATGTACTGTGCAGTGGGGTTTTGAGGATTGACTTCAGATAATCTGTGAAGAATGTCTTTGATCAGCGGGACTCGCTCTGGTTTGTCAACCTCATCGCAGATCAGATCAAAGAGGCTGAAATTCCCAATGTCCTTCGTCTGGAAAGCGACCACCCTGGAAATTGACTTTGAAAGGACGTGATCAACATAATCTTCAACTCCTTTTCCACTTCTCCAACGTTTGAGCATGAACTGGAAGCTTGCTGGGGTCTCGAAGTCCACAAGTTGAGTGTCGCAGCGAGGTCCAGATTGTTGTGTGTAGCTCATTTGGTCATTTCGCTTTTCCATGCTGTGAGGCAATTGAAAAGAATCCGGATTGATTGATGCTGAGTATTCATTAGCTTCATCTGTCGGAATTATTGTAGACTGGGCTTACAGAACAGCCCCTCGAACGCATCCACACTCTCCATCAGAATACTAGTTTGAGCTGCTGAATGGTACTGATTTAATGGGAAATGATCATTCGTTGTGTGTGCCTCATCTACAGTCCGTTGCTCATGCAAATCATGGGTCAAGACTGCCGAATTTTCGAAACTCCTTTGGGTAGTAGGCGGTGCCGAGCTAGCTGCTGATGCAGCAGTCTTCACCTTGAGATTGGCCCTTGACTGAGCAGACTTTCGTCGATCCGTCGTGTCCTTTTTCGACTTATATTTCCGCAGATTCCACTCATCAATCTTCATACGATAGCTTCGGATGCTGGAAATGGAAGATGTCAGAAAGCTCAGGGAAGTTGGCGTCTGACTCCTTACGAAGCATCAAATCCATAGCGATCCTTCAAAATCTCGCGAACTTCCTCTAGTGGCCTGTCTTCAGTGATGTAGAACTTCTTTAGGTTCTCCTTCTGCGCCGCCCAATCTTTTGGCATCGTGGAGGCAATAATTCAGAACTTTTGAAACAGGACACTAAGTGGTTAAAGTACAGTGGAATAGAAGAATGCCTCCCCAGATAGGGAGAGAAGACCCGTCAACAAATCTTTCACGGTCAGCCTTGTTTGTTCCGGTCGCAGTCCGAAATGGTATGGAAAGTGCAATGCGGCGGGAGAATGAATGTGCAAGTGCAGTTTCCCAAGCCTCGTTGGGCGTGCATGGTGGCTTGCCAGGATTCGCGATTGACGGGCCCGAAGGTGCAGTGCTTCTCTCCCATTGGATTGTAACCATAACAATTGTCCATATCAGACCTGCTCTGCGTCAAGGTTGCATCATGCTGTGGTGGTATTCAAAATCACACGCGATATCGGGAAATTCTGTTAGTGTTCACTTACCATCTGCGCGCTTTATCATAGTTGAATGCTGGCAGAATGAGTTCGTGGGCAAATAGAACATCCAATGAAAGTCTGTTAAGCCCTGGGCTCCAGTTGTATGTAATGAAACAATATCTTACCAGCCTTCCGGCAGCGGAGATAGTGATCCAGAAATTTCATGTCTCCTATCGTAAGAACCACCGAAGTTTTTGCATATTCGACTGTTGCAGATGTCCCAAAGTCGAAGGCATGCCTTGCTGGAGCGTCATAAAATTAGAAGCAAGACATCCAGGAAGGTCTCTTTCACTAAGATTAACGCGACATCGCTTTGCACATTGATACACTGCCGCTGCACAATGCTTCAGATTTGTCTATAAGAGAGACTCGCAGGTCGCGAGAATTGGCTCTCGAGCTGACATGCTACTTTTCCCAATCAGTCAGAACGCAGTGAACATGCAACCAACCGCAGAGCAAGATATGGCCAGGTATGGAATTCAGCTTGCATGACTTTGTAATGGTTTGCTGGTTTGTTTTGTATGCTAAATATCTTTTGTGATATCAGCGAATGCCCCGAACGATTCGTTGTCCAGGAAATCTCCTCGAGGGTTGTCACTCGACACCAGCCTGCCAAGATCGACAGTAACTCCGAAAATCTTCTTGAACCGCACAGTATAGGGAAGGATACACCAGCGGACCCCTCTCAACGAGCTCGCGATCACAAGATCAATACCGCGAAGCTGTTTCAGTTGCACCTATCTTATGAGCATGTCCACAGTCCTTCGGTCACCTCTTCCTTGATGAGTACCGCTGGTGGCACATGCCTCAGTGGCTTCGAAGAAAGGAAACATAGGATCGGTGGACGCCGCGATAATCCCTCTGAGAGGGATGTCGTCGTGGATGAGGGTTGCCGACGAAATGTGAAGTTTGACTCGGGAGATCAAGATATCGAGTTGCTTGGAGTCGGAGCACAATTCGGTGACATTGGCTACAGTTTGAAGCATGCAGGGCCTTGATATATTTTGAGATCGATGCCAAGAGGCAGATTTAGATCTGGTAGTGGCTTGAGGGAGTTGACGGGGAAGTGACGATGAAACATAATTTAGCGATCTCCATTCCTGGCACCAGAAACCCCTAGAACAAATGAAGTTAGCAATTTGCAATCCTCACTCGTGTCTGTTGGATGTGACTGCATTAATCACGTAACGTGAGCGGCAGCCGGACAGTCAGGAAGGTATAAAGAAACTCGAAGCCTCAACTGCTCGTGTGTACCTCCGCGACTGTCACAAATATACATTCATGACAGGCACACCACGCTCTTCAATCTTTCTCAAGTCGCAACAAACTTGCAAATATCAATGGAGTCAACCACAGACATCGTCAAGCATGTCCTACCAGCTCTCTCCAGGAGTAACAGTACTTCTCCCACCACCACTTCTAAGGCCACCACACCGAAAGGCAGTCCAAATGTTAAGCTTGTCGACATCCCCACCATTAAGCCAAATTTTGAGTTGGAGCCCCCCAAAGAGACTGAAGTCAATACCGGATTCAAGAGTACCACGCAAGCTCCAGCAACCAACTCCCTCCACATCAGACCTAAACTTCCACATGCCAACACAGACACCCAATTCGAGGTCGTCAAGGAGGTTCAGAGAGTAGAGCGGAGATGGAGAGGAATGTATGATCGAAATCGGGCTGCCAATCCAGGCGCTATTCGAGTATTGGAAAAGTGAGGCATCGGTGGGCAGGATGGCCGGTCTGACTGAAGCATTGCTGGGAGAAGACCGACGATGCATTTGCAAGGAGTTTCTGTCTCGAATATGGGATTTCTGGAGCTGGTACTCTTGAACAAAGGATGGAGTTTAACAAACATTTTTTGCCAGACTCTGCAACACAGCTGTGGAGCATGGAGCAAGTGATGTCGGCTATGAGGAAGCAATGCTACTACAACGCTTTCTTGCTGAACAACCCGGGATATTTCAATCTTTCCGTGAAGAGAAAATTTGTATCGCTCAAGTAGCATATTAGAGTAGGAAACGAGATAATAGGAAGGGACCTCCTGGCTAACCTGCGATATTAACCAAATATGGTCACGTGAGATTAGCGCTTCGTTCAACTGGATAGAAGTGCAAAGAGCCCTCTCTTGAGGGAAAACACGCTCGGATGAGCATTGAATGATGTCCCAGAGAACGCAGAAATAGAAAAGAATATAGCAGAGAAAACTTCTTTCAAGTCGCATAGTGACGTAATTGAGGCCCGCAAATGCGTCTCGCGAAGTTGTGTCAGCCGCGCAGCCTTCTCGTCCTTCTCAACTTCCTTCACTCGCAACCAAAGAGGGTACTCACCTCCAAAGGACCGTAGGTTTCCTAAGCAACTTTCAATATGTCTGCGAAAGACTCCAAAATCGTCAAGACTGAGCCATTGGTTTGTGCCCTGGACTCTTCAGCCTCGGCTTCCCTACTCTGCCACCAGCTAAAAATTCCTCTTTCCAGGACGCCAACAAGGCGAAATGGATCAACACAATCCTGTATGATGCCATCCGCCATCTATACCTAGCAAGCAGGTATATCTAATGAGCCCTTGTGCGCAGAACGACCTACACCGATCCTCTAGGCAAGACTCGAACTTGGGAGCACGCCGAACGTCCCACACGTCCCAAAGGTTCTGATATTGACGCTGTGGGGATGGTAGCGATCTTAGAGAAGGAGTCCGGTACGGTTGTCCGTCTGCTGTGATCATGCATCGAGCATATCCATATATCCCCAGCCCAGCTCGACCAGGCGGGGTTTTGGAATGGGACAACAATGCTGAGGAGAACAAACAGGTCCCGAGTTACTCCTGCAGAAGCAATACCGACCTCCAGTCGACAAAGTATGCATCGAGGTACCGGCTGGCTTGGTTGATGCTGGAGAGACGGCGGAGCAAGCTGCGGTTAGAGAACTGAAGGAGGAGACAGGTTATGTGGGGGTGGTCAGCGAGACTAGTCCGATTATGTTCAATGGTAGGTTTGGCATGTGTCAGGACGACCAAAAAAATCACATGGAAATATATGGGGAGTTCTTAATGAGCGCTGATTAATGTTGTACAGATCCCGGATTCTGTAATACGAATTTGAGAATGGTCCACGTTACGGTCGATATGTCGAAGCCGGAGAACAAGAACCCACAACCTGAGTTGGAGGGGGGAGAATTCATTGAGTGCTTCACGGTACCATTGAAGGAGCTGTATGCAGAATGCAAGAAGTTGGAGAAGGAAGGTTATGCAATTGATGCTAGGGTTGCTACTTTAGCTGAGGGCATTGAGATTGCCCGGCGGTGGAAGCTGTGAATTCCTGACCCGGAACGACCCTGTCCTAAACAATAATATTGAAGTGGACAAAACTTCCAAAAGACTCGGTTCTTATGCCGGTTTTAAGCGCTAGGACCGTATCCAATCCTCTGAGTGGCCTCGAGATTGTTGTACAGTCCCCAGGCCAGCATAGAATAAATATCCCCCACACATGCCCAGGGCATATTGACCAAGTTTACCAGTCTCACAGTTGACCCACTGTCTGGCAACTTCGTGCCAGTCCGATCCTCCATAAATCCGTTACGTACCTTCGTCACTAAGGCTTCGAACTCTTCTAATGGTAGTTTGTGTTCGCGTAACATAATCTGAGTATGCTGATAAGTATGCCCGTTCTGGACCGAGCCCCGAAGTCCATCATGTTGGACACCAAGTGCTAGATTTCCCTGATGAACTAGTCCAGGACTACCAGGCGCGGCCCCTGTAATCGCTATCTCGGACATGTTGAGAACCCGCGACGGTGGTCCAGGCAACAAACGCATAATTTCTTTCCATCCGATAATATCCTCTATACCGCTATCTGTAAATATGCCAGTTGGGATTTCGAGGAATTGTAGCCGGCCGGCTGAAATGCGAGGCCGCCCTATCACCATCACATACTTGTTCTTGGCGATACTCGGTAGCTTTCGGTATTTTATGTCGGCGGCGGTGACTTTACACGCAACGGTCACCATTATACCTACTTTGGTCGTTTCCATCGAAGGCGGGAGACAAAGGGTACCGGGAAGGTAATTGTCAGCTGAGTTCCTTATATCTGCCATGATACCCATGCCAAGATGATTGAAGCTTTCGACAGTGATGTAGTGTAGCGTATAAGGATCTTTGTGATACGGGTGGACTTGATCATTCTGCTTGCTGAGATCTGCGAAGATAGTTCTAGTCCATTGCTACCAGCTGTAAGCCCTAGCTACAGTCATGGGGCAAGACTGACATGAGACTAGCTCGAACATACCTCGAGCACTCTCCAGGCTTTGATCTCTTCCAGCACCATGTCTTTCTGATAGAAGACTGTCACTTCAACGCCGAGTTTCAGATATTTGAATCTCCTCCAGTAAGTATAGTCACTTTGGGGCAGTTTGAATTTGGCTCTCCGGTCCGCGACCTGTAGAAACTCTTCTCGGCTGGCTGGTCCATCGTCGGGGTCGACCGGACTGATCAGGTTCATCTTTTGCCAGATCCACAAATTATTTATGAATGAAGACGTTTGAGATATTTCTCTCGAGACGGAAGAGGGCTATCTCTGTTTTACAGTCGTAGATGTGATATGAAAGTGTAATGCAGATGTTGGGACTTTGGTGAGCCAGGATAGGCAGGAGCGTATGGAGATATCCTAGATCGTTCTTGCCACTCTTAAAATTCTGTGACCTAAATTGCTTCGAAAACACCTTTGCATTCCCATTTCTTCACATTCAATTTCTCATCAATCACCATCTTCAACTCTGCCTTTCACTCCTTAAATCACCCGCTCAAAGCAACGAGAGGTCTCGACACTGGCATACGCCCCAAAATTTGAAATTGGCGTGTACCCTTCTCTCGTATAGAAACGAATAGCATCAGGTTGAGGCGTCCCAGTTTCAAGTACAACTTTCGTCCAGCCTCGATTCCGAGCGCGTTCCTCAAGCCCCTTGAGGATTGCGGATGCTACACCCAACCTCCTTCCACGCTTATCGGGAATGACAAACATACGCTTGATCTCCGCATCTCCTGGATAATCTGGACGAGGCAAAGCTCGTAATGCAGCGCAACCGACGGGTTGGTCGTCGATATAAGCTACGATGAAGAAGGTGATGTTGACAGAAGTGGGGGCTACGCCGGGGTCCCCCGAGTCGTCTTGTCCATATCGCTCTGCTAACTCTTTTTCTTGAGCTTGTCGGAGATATATACCATCTGCATGGTCCCAGTCCAGGTCAATGATGCGGAGTGTCATGTTTGGAGATGTCGGGGTAAAGGCTTAGAATAAATGTTGTGGAGCAAATCCACGGTTTTGGGCTACCTCGCTAAATTGGAGTGAGTCACCAAATGTGATATTTTGAAAGCCAATAGATTGTAGGTAGAAATGGGAGCCGCGACACGAAATGGTCGGTCCTTGAGGTACCGTCGTTTACCACATAGAACTTCCTCCTACTTGCTGCACTCAGTCGCATTATTGTATGACTGTAGCCTTTTCCGATAGTAAATCCTGCCATGAGGATTGTATTCTCGCCTAGCCCCCTTTCGGCCTCGCCTAATTCATCTCGCCTTGCCCAAAGGCTGTCCTTACCACCGTATTTACTGCATCCTGGAGGAATTTAATCAAGTTTTCTCCTGGCAATTGATGTCCCCTTTCCATTTGCTCCTTTCCTGCTCTCCTGTGAGATATCCATAAATAAGGCAGCAATTTCTCCAGGTATGATAGTGTTCCCAACTCAGCACAGTTTCCAGCCAAGCGATTGCATATCGACCACATTCCAGCCCTAAGAAGGAATTGCGATAGGAAGCTACTCCTCTCGATCTGGAACCATACCATTTTTATCTACGAGCATTATGTGCACCATTATCAAAGTAGCTTTTGCAGACTGCGGGCATACCGTTCAAGACCGAATCAGATGCAAACGAAGTCGAAGTCAACATCGATGCTACACCAAGCCACGCCACAAGATTTTTGATAGTGGAGGACGGTGTGTCAGGTGTCGAGAAGTCATCATCGACTGGGCATTAGAAGCTTTGGATCTGTTGTGATGATACTGGGACGGACGTCTCGGACAAATGACAAGCAAGATCATACTCGGTGAATGGATTTGGCGCTGGAACCTGTCAGAATTAAGGTTGAATTCGGTGTGAGGAGGCGAGATTAGGCGAGACAGGAAAGGAGAGCAGGAAAGGGGAATCATGTGATTTGATATTTATCACTCGAATGGGTACGAATGAAGACTCGAGACAGCTGAGTCATCGCAGTAACTCCAAAATCTAGCTTTGAAGTCAGTTTTATGAAGCCAAATAGAGTCTCATAAAGCAAAGAAACGTTATTTTCCATCCCTTCCATATTGCCACGTGATTTCTTGGTCGGTCGCATTTCTTTTGCCCTTTTGCCTTTCGCCTCCGCCTCACTGCCACCACAACTCGCCTTTTCTGGGCCGCCTTACACCAAGCCACGATGTCGAGAGCATGCACAAATATCAGCCGGATCCCCCAGCTGGATCCAGGTCCTCCAAGTTCTTCCAGTGTCTTTCAGCAAGAGCTGGCACTGGAATCCAGCCGCAAATCACCTCCACTTCAGTGGTTTATTCTTTGTCACGTGTAGCTTTGTAGCACAATGGATCTCAATGAAGGTCAGTCACTTGGTATAAAGTCTTTCTGTTGTCTATCATCTTTCTAACTATTAAATACAGACAGAACAGACTTGGTGTATCCTTCCGTTGAGTTTCAGATCACGAGTAATGAACATCCCACAGGTAACGTGACCCCAAACACACCTAGTCTTCTTTTTCCTTTCCTGAGCTGCTCAATTACTAAGATGCTGGTAGACGTAACCCGTGAAGGAGGCATAACTGTATCAATCGACCCGCCGATGTCATTTCGAGATCGGCACCGCTTGCTGAACGAAGCCTACGACCGTCACTCAGATCCCGAGCAGATCTCTGCAAAAGAGCTCGGCTACGTATCACGGCAGGTTGGGCTCTGTATGGAAGAAGTCCATGCTTGGTTTGAAGACGAGTCACAGAGACGCTACAAGCTTCTGGCCAAGTTCCAACGTCAGAATATCATTGAGCCACGGCCATGCTCACCTGAAAGCATGAGCAGCTATGCACCAAGCCAGAGGATCATTTCTACCACGAATGGAAGCACGGAATCTACTCAATTAGACGTGGCATACTACTCACAAGCTCAGAGCATTTTCTCTGGTCCTTCTTCACCAGGGACCGTGACAGGAGACTACCTGCAAGTTCCATCGCGAGTACGTCGCGGACGTCCACCAAGAACGGATTCATCGTCCCCTCCTCAGCCCAAACGGCAGAAAACATCTTGTCAGTATCCATGTTTCGACTGTGGTAAAGCATTCCCAGCCGATCGTTGGTCAGAACATGTGAAGCGAGTTCATTTCCCTGACTATATCTGGGAATGCCCCAAAACGAACGAGAGGACTGGAAAACCATGTTCAGCAAATCCATTCTTCAGAATTGACAACTTTACAACCCATCTTCGAGGTGAGCATCGATGTGAGGAACCAGAGATCTCTCGGCTCAAGACATCATGCAAATTTGAAGTGTTTGGCTTCTTCCATAAAATCTGTGGCATATGCAGTGTTGACCTGAAAAATCGAGATGAGAGTATCGAGCATACCAAAGAACACTTGAGAGAAATCTCTCGGAGAAGAGACCCTCCCCTGGACTTGGGCCTCTCGGAATGGACCGAGAGCTGCGGTGTGGAACACAAACTCAAGCGCGGTGTTCATTACCAGCTTGAGGAAGACATTCAACAACAGGAAGTCGATGTTCAGGGAAAGGATGGTGATGGGGATGCGGACGGTAGTAACAACGAGGATCAGAGTCGACCAGGATCAGATCAATCTGGATACAGTTCCTTCCATGGCGGAGATGACTATTCTTTCGGAGGGTTCAGTTACAGTCAAGACTTTGATTACGCTGCCCCATACCGAGGTCCTGGTGGCCTACAAGATTTCGGTGTACGATGTTCAGGTGTTAGGAGTCCTGAACTATCACTTAGCAACAACGGACCCCTATCTCCAACCTTTACGCCTTACCAATATTCGCCATTCTTATCCTTACCAAAGGCCCCCTATCTAACACCTAGTGCGTCCCATGATACCAGATATGATTACGATGAGGTGTTGGAGCACGGGCGCTGCCCTATTCTTGAGTGTGGGAGAGTCTTCAAGGATCTTAAAGCCCATATGTTGACACATCAAAATGAGCGTCCCGAGAAATGTCCAATCCAGACTTGCGACTACCACGTCAAAGGGTTCGCACGGAAATACGACAAGAATCGGCACACCCTAACCCATTACAAAGGGACAATGGTCTGTGGGTTCTGTTCAGGCTCTGGGTCTGCAGCCGAAAAATCCTTTAACCGTGCTGATGTGTTCAAACGCCATTTGACATCAGTTCATGGTGTTGAGCAAACTCCACCAAATAGCCGCAAGAAGTCTACGACTGCTGTAAAAGGCGGTTCCCGGAAAACATTATCTGGCTATGCCTCAGATGCCACGGGGAAGTGCTCGACTTGTTGTGCAATTTTCAGCAATGCCCAAGATTTCTACGAACATCTCGATGACTGTGTGCTGCGGATTGTTCAACAAGAACTTCCGGCCAAAGCTGTCAACGCTGCGAGGCTTGCTGAATTCGAACAGGATGCGGCTGTTGGAGAGACACTTCGTACTAATTCACTGCCCACAACAGATGTCACTCGCTGTGCTAAGAACGACGAGCACGAAGTGGATGCCGAGGATGAAGACATTGAAGACGAGATTGACGATGAGCACGACGATGACTATGCTCCGTCCTCCAGAGCCCGTGCAAGCCGCAAACGTTCTGCCAACCCTGTCAGCGGCGTGCAGAAATCTCGAGGTCTCACTCATTCCAAAGGAGGCGTGACTCTAAGTAAAGGACGAAGAAAGCGCAAAGACTACCCATCATCATGGGGATGTCCGACCTCCAAGTTGACGATGAAGAAACGTGTACTGGCTGTTTTTGATGGACACCGCCGGCTGTGGAAAGATGACATGATGCTGGACAACGACTATGAGGTTAGGATGAAGCTCGCCCCTGAGAAGGCATATGTCACCGATTTGGATGTGCAGACTCTGCGTCGTGCGGATAACTTCCATGCGTCCTCTTCTGTGGATAAGGGTCCTTGAATTACGGATGAGATGACAGGGACGGATTTGGAGAAGCTAATAGAAGTTGGAGCGGAGTTAGATTAGATGACGAACCTCTTGAATTTAGAATAATTGGTATGGAATCAATGGTCAACTTGATCCAATCTCTTTGTGACATGAAGTCTTGCCATCAGTCATATTGACCTCTTGAGCCATGAAGTGAAGACTTGCGAAGTCACATCTCGGCAGCCACAGTGGTTATATGTCGAAATAGGGGAGTAATAACAGGGTAAGTGCTAGCCAGCAATCCAGAAATCAATGTGGGTTGAGATAATCAGTACGAAATTTAACAAGAAGGTAATATCTCTCAAGTGAACACTGGTAGCGTCTGGCACAGATTAAACAAAGCCCAGGAGATCATTCTTGCACAGCGTAGAACTTTCTGGGACCAATGCTTTGTTGAATATCATCAACATCCATGAAAGCCCGGGTGCAGACATTTGTCGGACGAGTGTCGAGCCGTGTAATACCATATAAGAATTAACGATCCCAGCTTGGCCCGTAGAACGGAGTATACTTGCTCCCGCCGTCCAAGGTATGAATAGCTACTCGGGCCTCTATACCTGGACAAAAACGTATTTTCTCTGAGGCTTAAACATTCTCCAGGCTTCACCATTCATCTGGCACAGATCCCTGCTCATAGAATCTAAGCAAGCTAGCAGGATCCAAGTCCGTACAGCAGAATCGCCACTCGACAATCTACGAGTCGTGTTTGCCCCATCAACAGGTCATGCAACACACAATCGAGTATAATCCCGTTTGAGACCATTCTCACATAACAGTTATACCGGGTTTTCGAAAGTTATCTTCATTCATTCACCAATAACCATCGTACACCCCTCCGGCCCCACCCAAACCTCGTGTTCGCGTCCAGCCTCAACATCAAGCCGTTCCCCCGCACCAAACGTCTTCTTCTCCGGCTGTGCGTCTTCAGGGAACCTGATGGTGATTTCGCCTTTGAGGATCAGATGCGTTGTCAGACCTTCGTGGGAGTGGGGAGTGTAGTGGTAGTTCCTTTTCAATTAATCGTCAGCATGGATATCGCCACAATTACAGGAGTCATGTGGAGGGGAGAACGGCTTACGGAGTATCGGTCCATGTGATGACACGGGAGAATCCCCACGAGCGGACTTCTTGTTCGGATTCGCGCTGGGATTTTGCTGCCATTCTTGCCACTGGGTTGTGCGTGGATTATGAATTGGAGAAGGAGGAAGAGAAGAAGTCAATAGTGGTGTGGTGATGTCAGTATTAACTGCTTACATAACGTGGCTTCTCATTGCCGTACTAAGTGCTTCTCGTCGACAACATCATCTGGAAATAATAGAACTTACTTGAGGACTGACTTGAAGCGACGATTTTCGTCTTGCTTCTATGCCCCTGGGAGAGAAAGAATGTTCAAATAGAGAAATGGATCTCATTTCGTGCGTTCTCGGCTAGTTGTTGTTCATCTCACCAATGTCACAACAAGCCATCGACAGACAAGAAGACAAAGATCGGAGAAATTTGTGAGCAGGCAAGAGAAAGACCACGTCTTTGAGAAAAGATGCACGGGACAGACGAACACCCGCTTCGTGGTACAACACCAGAGCCGCTCACGCAATCCCGCATACCATGTTCCGAGAACTCCACCCTCTTCCCTACCAACCACCTCATACAATAAAGTGCCTCATTCGAAAATCGCACACCGCCATCATCCCCAAAAGCCGGGTAGCCTATGAAATCTCGGCCAGGTGAAGCAGCTCATGTCCGCTCCCTCACGTCGCTGTCCACAATCCACAGACCCATCACGCAACGGCCCGCGACGTCTCGCCGCAACCTCAACCGTCGCCCTCGCTGCGAGATCCCGTCTGTTCAGTCGATTCTTCCGATCATGATCGCTGGACACGTATCTCTTGAAACTCTGGCCCACGCTCAATCTCGATTGCGAGCTCAAGAATCTCTTCCACATGCACACATGTGCAGTATGCCAGTCCGGGTGCATATCATTGCCCCATAGTCCGCATGGTAAAAGTTATTATCGTACGATTTTTTTTGCGGGGGTGCCTGCCTGCGATGATCAAATGCTGGGCAGTGTGTGTACCGTGTACCTACCTCACTGATGTAGAGGGGCACGCGAGAACGAGAATGAATATTCTCTACAACGATTGAGGTCCGTGGGGATGTCGACGCCTGAATTCTCGCAACGGATATTCCGGTCCGTGCAGCTCGAGCAACTGGCTTGTGAATGGCACATCCGAGTGGGATATCAGCGTCGTCGCCGCTTTATTATGGTTGTACTGTATTGTGGTGGTAGCATTGCAGAGGATGATTGCAAGAAAGTTTAAATTACGACCCCAGGGACAGATATTGCCTTTACGGAAGGCCTCCCGATTCTTGGAAACCGCAGTTGGCGACAATGAAAATGCTTACACTGTCAGCCGGATGAAATGCTCCTGAGGTCTGTTGACACCGACCTCGCGACTTGCTCAGAACAGGCAAAGCAGGGGAGATAGCTCCTTGCTGGGGGAACTCCGATTCAGTGGAGTCTTTCCCCGGATGATTTAGAGTTTGGCTTACAATATGTTCCGACATGCTGACTCAAACTCTAAACTGGCAAGGTCAAATCGTGATAAGTAGAACCCAGCCACTGGGACGAAATTTTATCTCAGCTCTCAGACTTGCTTGAGAGGCTACCTAAGTGGGGAAATGGCGTAGATTAGTGGTCTTGGTAAGTCTTGGAAGGTTCAGTGATTATTAAGCAAGGAGGCCTCTCTGCGTAGCGTCTGAGGTTATACGGGGGTATTTTAGTGTAATTATCGAATAGCTTCGGCGATAATTGCTTTTCAAATAATAACTATTACCTGCATAATAGAGGTATCGAATAAGTCTTAAATAAAGGGGGTAGATTTAGATTTACTCTATCGATTGATATTATTTAATTCCTAAAGTCTAAGAGTTGAAGATTAGGTATATACCTTCGGATTTAAGTTGAAATCTCGCGTTTATTAAGTGATTATAACGGTCCGGTATTTACTTGCTATAAATACAGAAGGCTGTAGTTGATCTCTGATAATTAAGAGGTAAGTGTATTACGTAGACGGGAAGATAGTTACTAAGTATTAGAATACTATTTGAAGTTTAGTATAAAGCTCTTATCTAATAGTAGATATGCTAGTCTTATATAGAACCTTTGTTCCCTAAGGATCCTTACAGGTCTTACGATCTAAAGCTCTAGGAGCTTTAGATCCTATAGCTCTAAAAGCTCTATACTATTATATGATATATAGTCCTGTGATTCTATTCTTAGTTCTTAGCTTCTCTGTGTAGTAAGGCTACTAAGCCTTAGGGCTAGAACATATATGATACTCCTCTTCGAGTGCGTTCGTAACAGTGATACGCGTTTTAAAAAGATATAATTCTTTAAACACTTTAAAAGATCTTAATACGCTACAACTATTTCTTTAATATTTGAAATATACCTAATACTAGAAAGCTCTCTCTTTCTAAATATCTAATTTTTATTTATATAGCTATATTTTTAAAAGCAGCTATACTTGATTTTATAGTCTTTTAAAGATAATTTTCAAGAATCTGACTAGAAACCCTTCTAGAACTCTATAAATATTAGAGTAAATAAAAATCCGTAAGCTCCCTGAAGATAAGAATACTTATTTAAATGATTCTATCGATTTAAATAATACCTTATCTGTTATATTAATATTTATTTTTAAGAGAGAGTAATATTTTTTAAAATCTGTTTTTAAAAAGTAAAAGGAAAAGCTACCTCTCTAGCTGCACTTAAAATAACTCACGAAATATAACTTATACTAATTTACTTCTTAGATATAAAATAATCTCCTGAATCAGGGCTTTTTAATAGTGCTTTTATTTTTTTTATTCCGAGTTTATTTAATTATAGGTTTATCGTGTTAAAGTTAATAAGATTCTCAGCTGAATTGCTCGACGAACACACTAAAACGCGCCTGAATGACCTCAGGCCCTCTACGGAGTTTTACTCTCTTTAAGTCCTAATTAGTCCAAATGCCCCTGGATCCACTGTGGGTACGCTGTTTCCCACTAAAAAACGCCTGCCTAGCCTTGATCCATAAAACTCGGAACTTAGTAGAGGTGCCTGAAGACATATCCTTACTCGGTAATAATATCAGAGATGCTGAGCTATATCAGCCACAGCAACTAGGCAAACCTTATCTGAACCTAAATGAGATCTTCATATATTTCTTCAGCGATCATCGAACCTCGCTTGAGGATAAACCACGGAAAGCTAAAATTCAGAAAAAGAAAAGAGCTGCGTTTAACAACGACTACTTACAGACGCCGGTTCAAAATGTCACGTAACGTTCCCCCAGATCAGCGGGCTGCTAATCCTTGATCTGTAACATCATGCTATGAACATCACCGTCGCGTAAGTTTCATGGACCCAAGAACTATCCAGCAAGCTCTTGGTCGTTACGCGTATGATTTCCGGGACCAATCAACCCCATCGGTTACGAAGCGAACGTCGGGGAATACTGCCGAGTCTGCAACCTCAATATTGACATCCAACGACAACGCCGCACACGTACAGGACAAGAAAGTCAGTCTCGAAGCCGATATCGCAGTCTCTCCTCGGAAAGCACTATACGTAAATACTCGCGGAAGAGATGCAGTGATCCCGAAAGGTAATTAAGTCGCAGGGCCGAGATGCAGGGACCTCGCAATTGAAGCAACAGCGTATTCGGCTGGCACAGCATACCCGTATGCAGCGGATGTACCACATACAGAGACATTTCCGGTCCCTATTTCCGAAAGACGAGAAGTTGTGGCTCCTTGGCTCAACACAATGAGGTGATCTATAGGATGCTTACCGTGACGAAATGGTGACATGGAGAACGCGGACGATCATGGAACAATATCTCGCTGAGACCTAGGCAGACCAAAAATACATGGCCGTAAGGCAATATCATATGAAATGATGATCGCGTGGTCAAGAACCAAGAAGGGAAACGATAGCTTGCAAGTCTCCATCATGACAGCGCATCCATGCAACGCATAAAAGTTATACTGCGTCCATCTACATGAAGAGAACACACGAAGCTATTATTCAACCTTCAAGCATGGATTGCTGGTCGTTCGGATAGAAGTGTTTCCTTACCTGCAAGAGGCACGCGAGCACGCGAGCATATCCAAGCCGTTCACGCCCAAGCGACACAGCATATCATAACATTCCACTACCGTGAACACAGCAGTTCCAGTCCAAAGCGACGAGAAAAGCGCCGAAATTTCCGATGTCCTGTAGGCTGGTGTTTTTGTATTGAGAGCATCGTCCGAGTGAAGATAAGAAAGTATGATGTCGGAATTGGCCTCGTGATATCATCAACAAAGATGAACAAAGATGGGTAGCTACAGATATCCTTGTCAACAACCGCCTCACAATTTTTCGAATGCCTGGAGACCATACGTGCAAAAATATTCTGATGAAGATGCGCCATAGAAGTTACCTGAGTTTCGGAACTCCAAGTAATACTTCCCAACAACTGCGTCGCACTGCGCTAGTTTGGCAGAAATATGCCACGAGATTGGAGGTAACTGTACATATCTGCACACACTTGCAACAGACAATCCAATCAATCTGACGAGACACACTGCTGCTGACCCATATCCTCGCGCGTGCAATTTCAATATTGCATTTTCCTGTTAGGACAGAGTACTGGTTCCGAATTACCGAATCGACACCTGGACGATGGATTTGCGTCGCATGTGAAATTGTCCTCGCAGGGCTATCACATTTTATCCTCCCGGTAGCAAATAGAGCATTGGAGTATTCGCAGCGGCGAGATCAGCATAAGAAAGTTTGCCTAGGCGTCCCGCATTGCAATGAACTCCAATGTACTCGTAAGATACGATCTTGAGATGAACGCATCACAACTCACCTTACTGAATACAGCCCGTATGCAGCATTGCATGACATCAATTGGCACCATAAGACTAGAAGTAGACAACCAACCGAAGCAAATTTGCTTGTTTGAAGCATGTGAATATAATGGAGCACGAAACGAAGATCCGTAGGACCGAATGCAGAGCACAGCTGCCCAGACATTTCCGTCCAATACTCGCGAAAAAGAAATACAGCAAGCTAAGATGGGATTTGAGACTTGTGAAATCAGGAAACATCCATTGGTCCTGCAAGGCTTGTGCAATGGATGCGGCTTGACCGCCTGCCCTTCGATATCAGCGACGCTTGCGACCGGGTATTGGGAAATTCAGCAATCAACCTGTGTCTCCATTGTAAACGAGACATGCAAGACATGCCACTGCTCTAGAACTAGGCCATTCCATTTACCGACAGTATGCGTATGTTTTGTCAGTGGACCGTTTTCGTTGAATGGATTTCAGCATGTTGGGACGCAGTATGCCGCAATATCAAGCACCAGCAGGAAATCATGGGTACCCGTCGATATACAGTATCGTTGAGAGATTGCCGAAGTCGTACGGTGAGATGGTCAGATGTGATCGCGGGATGCCAGGCCAGCTCGGGGGCGGGAAAGATTAGCAGCGTTTGGCTTGACCCTGTGGAACGAGTCAACCCGGATTGCAATTCCGGGAAGCCGTCCCGGTTGCAGCTCCCGCTTCAAGAACCAAGAACAGGTCAGCGGCTGTAACGATGACCAGGGGAGTGGAGGACCAAAATTCCAAAATTCCAAAAGGAAGCTCACATACCGAAGATTCAGATCCATCGTCAGAATTTTCTATTCCCCATTGAGAATCCTTGGTACGAGCGGGGCCCCGTCATGTCAGCGTAGCACAAGATCGTGCTGCCACAAACAGGGATTGGGCACTCTGATGTTCCAGCCCCGTGGTTCGGCTCCTTGATGCCTGTCTATATGCCTGTCAATATTCTCGACATCTTGTCGGAAGGGCTTCCAACTGGTCGCTATCTGCACAAGCTGGAGGACCGTGAGTAGCTGGCGCAATCGGGGTCCTTTGGCATCTTCAAGTAATCAACTAGATTAATCAACCAAGAGATGAATTTGGTGTTGTTGGGCATCTCCTTGGGGGAGGCCGACTCCTTCTTATCAGATGTCTCTCGATCTCGATCTATTTTAGCAAGGATCAGGGAAGAGCCCCTCTCAATGACAGCGGCTGGTTGTCGGCCAACTGCGACTGAGGTTTGACAAATGATTATATTATCATTTGCGTTTGATCGACTCGGGGCACAAGGCCGATCCGCGTGCCAGTCCGAGCAGCAACGTCTCTCGAAAGGCTCGCCTTTTACAGAACAACGCATAGTTATTCGCTTGGTGCTCGGGCAGCAGAAATGAAAAGGATCGGGGAAACAAAACCACAGAAGTTGAACAGTCGTCGGGGATCTGAATGCAGTTGCAAGGTCCCGCAACGAGGAAGCGGGAGCCTGCTTCAGCGGGCTGATGCTGACGCAAAAAGCAATTCGCTGTCTGCCAGGTCGAGTGGCGAGACAATCGGTCATTGAAACGAAGCGATCCGCAGTTATATGGCAACCGTATGGCAAACAAGAAATGCAATGATACCAATGTTATTAACATGGCAAGCAAATTCGCTATCGCATTTGGCCAACACATGTTCCGGCACAGAGCGGACAGTATTTGTATCCTTGCTTTGGCTGTTACCATTAACTTTTCGAGAGATACTTTCGAGGAGTTTCTCGAGCAAGAACCCGGAACTCGTTTTGGACTGTTGTTCCGGCTCGACTCCAAAATTGGGAGAGGACCAAGGAGACAAGTTGAAACCGCTTCCCAAATGGCGTGTTGAAGTGCTTGGCCACGAGAACACGACTTGTCAGATTCGCAGCCAGGTTCAGGGGTTAGCGATCCAGTACCACAGAACACCGAGGGCGGGCTATCTGATTGGGAGATCGTAGATCGGTCGTGCGCTGCAGACTCCCCGAGAACGCGCTTTGAGGTCGATGGTCGGACGGCATCGATTCCCTGGCCTGAACGGACATACGATTGGTTCCTCCATTTGCACCCAAGTTGAATCTGCTGGAGGACTTTGAGACAAACATCTCCAGACCTTGAGATAAGATACACATGCGACGTCAAGTCCGATGTCCTTTCTCCTAGCCGAGTGTGGCGTTCGTATAAGCCCAGTTCGCACTGAGTGATGATCGAGGACAACAGCGCGGTGTTTTGCTGCCATCATGTAAATCATTTCAAACTATATATTATTCTTCCAGTCATTTCTGTTGATATTATTGGCGCCAGTTGAGACGCAATGAAAACAAATCCCCCATGCAAACGAGAAGCTGGTAGCTCAGATAGAGGAAGGTCACTTGAGACCCCCTATTGGAAGCTGGCGACGAGATATGTCCAAGCGCAGGGGAAGGGAGTCCCAGTCCCCGGTCCTGGGACGCTGCATTTGGGAGAACCGCAACGCCCAGGGATGGGCCATAATAGAGGACTTCCTCTAGAAAAAGCAATTTGCTCCTTCCCAGAGGACGTTTTCGATATCTGCATTCCACTCAGATCGTACTCAGGCACGGCGAACCCTCACCCTTGCCAAGCCTATGCCGCTTATTAGCATGAGGTACTTGTAGAAACCATTTCAAGGAAAATCCGCAGTACCTGAAATAGGGAATATACTTAACAGTGCAAGGCCAGGGAAGCCCTGTTCGATTCTTGCTTAGTTCGGTCAGGAGAAGAATAATCGTTTATCGGACTGGCCCACATTACACAGGAATCGACCCATGCTGTTGCTGCAGAATGATCATCGTGGAGCGCGCTGGGCGGCCTGCTCTAAAGCAGCGGGTGATTCTGATACGTCACTTTTTCCAACACTAACAAAGAGAGTCCAAACAGCATCCCAAGCACAAGTGTGAAATCAGGCCAATAAGTATCAGTTTTCGCCCGGTTGTTTGCGTTTGCAGTCCCGCAGCCTATCCAGAGCAATATCCACTCGCTTGCGTCCGCTGCTAAAGTCAATGTCCGTCACCTGTACCTGAGTACATCGCATGGCTTCCTCAACTTGACAACGCAGATACTCCCAGGCAGTGGAGCCATTCCGATCTAGGGATAGTTTCACACTTCATGTCGAAAGCAGCGTAGCGTTTGATGCAGCATATGGGTGCTTGCCTGCAGACGGTAGGAACCAAACAGCTGTGGTATAATCTAATTTAGGTTGAGCGCACAGTGCCGTTCAAAAGTCAGCTGAGAGCAATTTCCTTTGGATGACTTCCGGTATTCGGGAAGATCTTGGTTGGCGTTCTCCCATTCTGCAATTGGAAATCCTCTTCATCATCATCGATGCGCAACAAGCATAAAGACTCAATACTCCCAGCCAATACCAAGTTGAAATCGACATCTCATCCATCACGCACACAATCGGCTCTATTGACCAACCTCGACTGAAAGCATTCGCTCTGCAATATTACCATTTAACCTCATTCAGCTTCCTCTCAGTCTCGAATACTTTGTCTCGACCCGTCATCATGGTTTGCAACTCGACTCAGTGTGCTGTTGCTGGCCAGGAGAGAATCAAGGTGATGGTCTGCCACAATACAACTTTGCCAACCCTCAACCCCAGCGTCAGGGCAGTTCCGGTAAGAGTCTATGGCAAAATACCAGCACAAGGCAGACATCAAAGTTGACGATTGAACAGATGCCGGGAGTTAGATGCGGAACATGTGCTGGCAACGGTCAAGATGTTTGGGTTATTCCTGGAAAGGCCTGCCCCGTTTGTGGAACTCCTTGTTGAAATCATTGGTATGACCGTTCCATTTGTGATGTGAGTGACAGAACTGACGGCAGTAAGCAGCTCCATTCCGAGAGGTTCAATATCGAGCACACAGCATGTGATGCAGTTCATCGACTTCGTGTGTGATTGAGACAGGCAACGACCAAATTGAGAGGACCCCTGTGAAGCAGCAGGTAGATGAGAGTCGGTGATTCGGCATCATGTGATGCCTCGGGTGTCTTTTTGGGAGTTGGGACTAGACAAAAGTTTGGGTGGCATTATCGATCTTTGATAGAAGTTAGCAGATTCTCAATGGATTTTGAGCTTTGATTTTACTTCTCCTCAGTCGTCGTGACTGCGATGAAGACCGACATAGCAATATGGTTGATCAACGTGGCAGAAAAATTGGGTGGAGCTTGGAGAACAGTAACTCAGATACTGAGGTTGGACAACAGCGTAGCATCCGTTGAAAAGATAGGTGGAGCGACGGCATCAAGGTGGTTGCCGGATAACCATCTGCCACTATTGCCAGTATCCATACCATCCTCTGGCTTTCGGGTGTCTGACGTTCGGTTTCGATACGTCCAGCTGCTGATGTAACTAGAGTAGTCAAGATTTTGAGTTTGCAATTAGAGTTTGCATGCTGTTCAAGACGGGATTTAGATGGCACGAGCTTGATCTTATATGGCTGTGGTCCTCAGTAAGAAGTTTTAGTTTGACTGCGCCTGTACATTTTAGGTCAATTTTGGTGTCTTACCCACGCAATCTTGGAACGCGATAACCAGGATTTCAATTTTGGTTATCCTGGAAGGGTTGAAAGGCGTCCAGTGAGCTCTTCTCGCTCATTGAGTCCGACTCCGACTGAGCAATTGAAATCAAGAGTGCGGTAGCACAGGCTCGATGCGACAGGGGGTCGGGCTGGATACCAGATCTGATGCATCAGACAGTACTGGGTCAAACGGGGATGTCTCCGTCAAGGAGCCTTGAGTTACACAAGGGCCATGGCCAATGAGGTATGGATGGCACTCTGCCCAGACCAGCCGTGTGTGACCCGCGGCTGATGAAATGTGCTGTACTGTAGCGAGGATGGGGCGCAGGTGTGGGGGGGTTTGGCACGAATACCCTGTCCACTGTCCTGAATCACAACACGAGAACTCTAACTCTGCGTGTGCTGCTGAAATAACAACATTCAACACAAATGAGCTTTTTGCAAAGAGGTGCTTGCTCACGACCTATCTTAAAACTTCTGATTTGCGAAGAAACGGAAGCTGTATCCGCGAATATCAGTGACTGGTTTGGAAGGCACATCCGGCATACAGTTTCTGCCGTGTGAAGCTGCGAAGTGGCTGTCTCGGAAAACGCGGCCCCAAGACGCATATCGATAATTTGTTGTTCTGCTCTGATTATGGATGGGCACACGTTTTGCGATGAAAGGTTGTTAGCTGCAGGCGGGGGGTCGGTATCAAAGTTTGTCGCTATGAGGTGATGATGCCAGGTGTCGAAGGCAAAAGGGAGGAAAAAGAAAATAAAGGGGAATGATAGGATGAGAGGCAATGCTGTAAACACTAACTGTAGGCGAGATCACATGGGCGAGCGGGCCTGACAGTATTGACATCACATGATCTTCGAGTATATGATCCATACCTAGGTAAGGTAAGCGGTACCTTACCATATTTCTCGAGGCACCTGGGACGTTCAAGTAGAAAAAATCAATATGCTTTGTATGGATGAGATTCCTTTCCCCGAGGACAATCGTGTCATGTACGGCGAACAACCGAGCACCTGTGATTCGCCCAGGCATCATGAGGTCAACACCAATGACCATTGACATCCACGTTTTGGACGGTCTACGCCAAGTACATTAATAGATGCCCAGACATTGACAAGACAAGGCTACAATCAATTCCATGCTCGCTTGCTAAGAACGGAATACTCAATCGCTCAGTACGCCAATCGCTCCTATGTGTACATCTAGGCAGCCTTTTCATCATTCCCATCAGATCATTCCTCATAATTTCATGAACGTAGCAACGTAAGAAGCCCACCCTTTACAAACAAGGAAATTCGTTGCAATATCTCCATCTGACATAGCTTTTCCCTCCATCATTCTTGCTTCCCCTCCCTTTGCTTCCATGCCTTCCACTTTTCCTGTCTGGTCAACCTCATGAAAACCTCGTCGAGAACGTCTTCTTCCCCTTTCTTGTTCTGAAGTTCTGCACAGGCGGGATCCAAACCTCCTCGTCAACTAGAGCCTGATCCGTGTCTTTGTCTTTCTCCTCGACGTCTTCGACAAGCTGAACTTGTTTCAACGGGCTTTCCCTCCCCTTGATGATCCCCGCGGTAGGAGGACTCTTCTCTCTGCCATCTCTACCATCCCGTCCCCGACGGATGATAGGCGAAACTGGCGCTGGAGCAGGTGGTGATGGGGATTTCCGCTCTACGGTTGTGGCTGGTGCTGGGACGGCGTTCGACTTGCGCTCATCACGGTTGCCCACTGCTAAAGAGTTGCCGTTCCTGGATGAGAGGGGTACACCTTCCATTAATGCATTCTGATCCATGGATGCAACTCTTGGTTCTTCAGGAGCAGGTGATTTGACGTCTTCTCGGCCCATAGGCATTTGTGGAAACGAAGGTGTTCGTGACAATTTCTTGTCAGCATCCGTAATTTTCGATACATCTCTCAAAGCGAGTACCTGGCCGTGTTCTCTAGATGTTGGACTTGTCGGTGTTGGAGGAGTCGAGATCGGCTTCCTGTTCGTTGTACCAACTGTTGCTGAAGCGTTTGCAACTTGTCCATTTGGCCCATGCTGTCTATTTTGCCCGTTCTGCCCGTTGTACGCATGCTGTCCATTTTGGTCATTCTGCACGTTACTCCTTGGCTGAGATGTTAACATCCCTGCAGGTTTGGCTATGGTTACTTCATGAATGCTATTTCTAGGTGACGGCTGTGTCTGCACTTCCCTCCGCGAAAAGTCGGTTGAATTTGGTCTTTGTTGAGTAGTGGCGACGGGTACTGATTTGGTAGTTGTGGTTTCATGGACCCCATTTCGCTGTGACGGTTGCACCTGTCTTTCCTGCATGGGAAATGCACCTGAGCCTTGTCTTTCCTGAACAGGTGCAATCGATACTGGTTTCGCTGTAGAGATCTCCTGTACACTGTTACGTGGCGAATATTGAGCCTGGCTCTCTTGCTGAACAAATCCGCTCGATTGATGTGACTTGGGGATCGCCTTTACCTCGTTCTCTTGTTGTTTGAGAGATGTCTCGCTCGGCCATGAGAAAAGAGATGGTGAGGTTTGCCTTTCTGGTGCCCGACCATCAGGTTGTGATTTTTCCTGCTGCACCACTGATTTTGATGGACTCCGGCCTCTTGTTGGTTGGTCCACGTGCGAGGATTGTTGTCCTTGGGACTCAGGTCTGATATCTTGATGCCGCTGCTGATTATATGGGTTCGAAGACTGCAAGTTTTCTTGTTGGGTTTGCCCTTGAGTAAGCTGTCGTCCTTCTCTGGAGTTGTTTGTCGCTGGCGGACGTCGCGTTTGAACCGACACCACATTGGCTCTTGTTTCTTCTAGCTTTGACTCTTGGCTTTGCTCAGGTCTCACGACTGGTATCCTTTCCCCGTAAGCCTGAGAGTGCGTCTTGATGCCGTTGATTTCCTTCTTCGGATCTCCATTCAATATTTGCACTGCTGGCGCTGGAGCGACGAACTGCAAAACCGGAATGTATTCCTCGCTAGTATCGTCAGAATAGTGCTATCCAAACCTTCCCTGGGAAACTTACCTCTTCTTCGCGAAGTCAAACAATCTCAATCCATCGAGTTCCTTCTCAACCTCTTTCAACTTCTCCTCGATCTCATCTTCCAGGCCATGAGAGTTGCCTGCTGGGCCATGCGAGTTCCACCTTCGACTACTCGTTTTGTTACACACATCCAGAATTTTGATTCCTCGGATCGCCTTCGCCAGGCCTTTGTACTTCCTTCCTGGAAATGGCGCTTCAGGTTTTGGCCAGATGCCGATTTTGCGGGAACTCTTCAGAAGAGAACCCAGGACCATGGCGTCGCATGCATAGCGAAGTTCGTCATCCAGGGCAGCATCGCACAGGGCGGCACCGTCCATGTATTTGGCGATTAGAGTGTGGATGATGGATAATGCACTCTCCAATGCAGAGATCCGTGCTTGTCTAATGGCTTCTACTCGTGGTTAGTATGCCCCCCATTGTGTCATAGTTTTCGGACGACTTACCAATAATATCAACAGGAATCTTCACCCCCTCCAGCTTCCCAACGTCCTCCTCGAGTTTATCATCCGCCTCCCTCTGAGCCAATCTCGTCATATCCCTGAACTCCGTTTCTCTATCAAATACCCAGAAAACAAACAGCAGTCTCAACACTTCTTTGGTGTATGCTTTTGGTAGCCCCTCCCGTTGCAAATGATCAATCCAGGTATCCGAGAAAAATTCTACCGTTTCCAACATTCCATATTTACTCACTAGCACAGCAAGCTTGCTCAGGACTTCCAGGCTGACGTTCCTAGGAACCTTTCGGCTCGCTCCATGAATGATGTTCAACAGAATTACCATGCTATCCAAATCCTCATCTAGCATCGTGATTTCCACATGACCCGCTGACCGTAACATCTTCGCCTCTTCAAATTCCCCACCAAGGATTGTCTCGAAATATCGCGAGGCTAGCATCAAATGATGACTAGAAACGATACACTGCACTTCGTGACTCGACACCAGGATCTTCTCCGTCTTCACCGCTGCTTTGGGTGCACTTTCATCCACCACTGCATCGATGTTTATTTTCGCAGCCTGTCTTTTCAACGCAGCCCAAAATGATGCCGGCGGACTCGCAGATCTGTCCCTCTCATCGGATCCGCGCTTCGCTCGTGGCGGAGGCGGATAGAAGGGTCCATCCTCAGCTCCTGGCGCATCCGGTGCATAGTATAGAATATTCTCGTCTTCTCCCGGTGCTTCCGGCTCGATACCCAGCGCTGCCTCAATTTCCGCGTCCTCGTCAAGAACCGGCTCCTCTACCGCAGCCGCCTTATTTTCCGCCCCTGGTGCCTCAACTTCTTGATATATATGTCGGATGAGTGTCAGAGTAACATCACCATTTGGCACGAAAGTTATGATTTCGGGCCCCATCGCCATCCTCGATCAATGAATCGTCGCCGGTCGGCCAGGGATCTCGATTCGCATTCTGCACAGCTGTCAGCACAATCCTCGTCCACTGTTACATCACCACTCCTGTCCACTATTTTCCGCAAGGCACTCACCGTCAGGATTTCGGAGACACATAATACGCAAATATTGAAGCAGCAAAATGCAGGAAAGGAGATGTAAGACAAATCCGCAAGCAAGGAAATATATGAAGAAAATAATTCATCCGTGCGACCCAACGAAATTTTCTTTAGACGAAAGTAACAGGGAGAAAAGGAGCAGGCGACCGGAATTAGAAGCTGCGCAGCCTGAAATGCGTGCTTGCATGCATGAACCGCATAAGAGGCGTCGATGAGCTGGCAATACAAGACCAATGGGGCTACGACAGGAGTGGGCATACGCTGTAAGTGCAGCTGCCCTAGCCGCTTCAGGCTGCTTTTCGAGGGTGCTTTGGGTAGCCTTGCATGAGCAAGAGTCGGCACCAACCCCCCAGCCGCCAAATGGGTGACGGAGCTGCAACAGTCAGGAGGCAGCCGTTGTCATCAGCCTCATGATGACCAGGTTTGGAGTGTTCTTGCGGTGAAGATGTTGATGTTATTTGTTACCAAGTGAGGGGTTGGGAGAAGTGGGGTTCAGCAGGGGTTTTGTCGAATCACTTCACGGGGGAACATGAAATGGAGGAAATGTCCAGAGAATCACGTAAAGGAGGAACTATAAATGTCGCGATATGATACAACTATTGCAGGAATAACATATAATATCTTACCCGAGTATGCACCGCGTGTCATCTTTCCAGACACCCCTTTTTCGCTCGCTTGCAGACGGTCGCTCTTGGCAGTGACGGCAATGTAAACATCCCTTTAAGAAAATGAGCTGACCACATATGCGGTCCTGTTTCCAGTCTAATTTTCCGGGCTAATTCTCCAGATTAATTTTCCACTCTAGTTTTTCACTTGTCCTTTAAAAAGACGCCGGATTTCCTTTAGCTCAAACCTTGGACCTAGAAATGATACATTCGGTTGAGAGATCAGGTTCTTGATTCCTTGCGTCGTATTCTCGCTAAGCGTCCTAGTGGCCTCTTAGAGCAGCAAGCCCACCATCAGACCCAAATCTTGAATCCATAAAGCACGCCAACGCTTTTCGAAGTAAGAGCTGTTCAAATTTGTAATAAAATTTAAAGCCATGATACAAATCGTCAAGCCAAATGCGCAGGCGTGATACAGAACACCCAACCTCAGACTCCAGGAAGATCGTGGTCGCAGCAATCAGATGAATTTCCTAACCCTTCAGAGAAGTTTTGACCGAAGCAGAGTACCTTATAGTCAAAGTAAATGATACCTTCAGAGTATTTGCCCAGATAATCTCAGGATAACCCAAGTGCGGAACTTTCTTTCCGATGCGAATGTGCGAAGCCGAGACGGAGAACCAAATATTCCACGACCTCTGAGAGATCATGCCGACGTCCCTCTGGTAGTAACAACTCGTTAGGACAACATCGACCAAACCTCGATTCCATTCTTTTAATAGTTCATTCAAATGGACATCTCGTACCCTTCTTATAGAAACTGCGCAACAATGCAATAGGAGTGGAACACGAAGCTTCAAGTAATTATCGTCGGAATCGGGATCGGAAGGGGAGCGGAAGCCGGGTCGGATTTATTTGATGTAAACTTCATTTAGCATGTATGCGCGTGAAACAAACAGGTTCTCACTTCTTAACTTCCAAATAAGAGAAGACAATCCCATGATAAGCAAATGGTAAGAACATTCATCATGCACGACACATCGAGGCAAACAACCATCGGCTACGTTTGAGCTGTTCTCCCCAAACCTCGCTCGTTTCACATTAAGCGAAAGGAGAGTAAATAAACAACCGCTCTAATTCTGACTTTCTCACGTCCAAGTGACTCTGAGGGCGATTTAAACGAAATCGGACTTGATAGATTGCGTTGGACGTTCAAGAGTGGGCAATGTGGGGTCTATTTACTGTACCTGAGAACGGCACACTTACGTAAGGTGGAGATGCTCACCTACCTTAAATATCTGACTTGCTCGCTTCGCTTCACGAACTCACCATCTTGCTGACATCCTCCACCAGTTTAAATCTCATCATTCTTATATATAGTTTCGAAATCACGCCCACCTACTATATTTCATTTCAAGTTCCACATCACACCCTCAAACGACGGCCACCCCATTCAAAGCCAGAACTCCAAAAGTCCCACTCAAAATGCCCCCCCCCAAACCACCATCCCACCCCTCCCCCTCCTCAACCATAGACCTCACCCCCTACGAAGCCCTCTACAAAACCTTCCACCTCCACCCCGAACTCTCCAACTCCGAATCCCTCACCTCCACCACCTGCACCACTCACCTCGCCACCCTCTCCCCAACCCTAACCCTCCACACCCACATCGGCGGCTTCGGCCTCGCAGGCGTCTTCCCCAACGGGCCCGGGAAAACCGTCCTCCTCCGCGCCGACATGGACGCCCTCCCCATCCTCGAGACCACCGGCCTCCCCTACTGCAGCACCGCTCACGGCCTGGCCCTCAACACCGACGGGACGCAGACGCAGACCAAAACTCCGGTTATGCACGCCTGTGGGCATGACATGCATATGACTTGTTTGCTGGCCGCGACTGAGGTGTTGATTAAGGGCGCCAAGAGCTGGAGCGGGACGTTGATCGTGCTGTTCCAGCCTGCTGAGGAGAGGGGGTCGGGCGCGAGGGCCATGGTCGATGATGGCTTGTACGATAAGATCCCCGTTCCGGATTTTATTCTCGGGCAGCACGTTATGGCTATGCGGGCTGGGAGTGTAGGGCTTCGTCAAGGCACGATCATGGCTGGAGCGGACAGTTTGAAGATCACGTTATTTGGGAGCGAAGGCGGTGGGCACGGGAGCCAACCGCATCGGGTTGTTGACCCTGCGGTGCTGGCGGCTCATGTGGTTGTCAGGTTGCAGAGCGTGGTGAGTAGGGAGGTGGACTATAATGATGTTGCGGTGTTGACTGTCGGGAGTGTGGCGGCGGGGAAGACGGAGAATATCATTGCGGAGAAGGCGGTGCTGGGTGTGGATTTTAGGAGTACGAGGCCGGAGGTGAGGGAGAAGTTAAGGGGGGCGATTGAGAGGGTTGTTAGGGGGGAGTGTTTGGCTTCGGGGTGTACGAAAGAGCCGCTTATTGAGCAGACGCGATTCTTGCCTACGACGGTGAATGATGAAGCGATGACGAATCGTCTGAGTTCAGTGTTCACTTCGTTCTTTGGGGAAGAGAACTTCGATCCTGATATTCCTGTGACTACGATCGCGGAGGATTTTTCTATCCTGGCGAATGCGAAAGGGAAGAGAGTACCGTGTGTGTTTTGGCACTGGGGTAGTGTGGATGAGAAATTATGGGACAGCAAAAAGAAAGAAGGTAGACTGAATGATGTGCCAATAAATCATTCGAGTGGGTTTGCGCCAGTCATTCAACCTACCTTAAGGACTGGGGTGGATGCTCTTGTTGTGGCTGCATTAGAATTCTTTGGTGGAGAAGGCTTGGCGAAGTTGTGAAGGTAATGGAGGATGATTTGAAAGTGTCAGCGGATTCAGAGCTCAGAGGTGTATGGGGTTCATCTCAGGTTGAAATGGACCAAGTTTAAACGCCATGAGGTGAGAATCCCGCGTTGCCCCATTTCAATGATTAGGAACGTAACAGCTTGTAGGTATCAGGTGCAAGATGGAACATATAAGGGTACTTCCTAAGCTCAAAAGGAAACTGAAGCAAAGACTCAAGTTAATCTCTGTCCATTCGATTCTATCGTCTACGTTTGCGGATACCCATTCTCGCACTAAGGAATAATACTCCGACTACTATCCTCGCTTCAATCCTAATCCCCTCTCTTCGAATGATCGCCACTTACTGTGTGTAATACCTATATTTCTTTTTCAAAACGAAAACAATGATCAATTCCATTACCCAATACCACCCAATAGCAATCCAATGCGTTTGTATCACCCGTAGAATATCGCTGGCGGCTGATCCAAAAGAAGCCAAGCGGGCCCAATACTCTTTTTGTTTCCATAAACTTACCTCATTCGGAATCAAATAAACACCCCACTCTGCTCACTCTCACTAACCATTCTCTTCCTCCTACTGGACAAAAACAAGTCAACCATTTGCTTACTTCCCATGGCCTGTGCCTCGGTCTCGGTCACACTTGCCCTCAGACCAAGCAGTCCCGCGCCATCGACACCATATAAATCCTCTTCAGCATCCTTGAATCTCTCAGTGCCGGCAGTGCCTGGACCAGCTGAGCCAGGAGTTCGATAACGTGAATTTGTAGATGTGCTTCCGAACTGTCTCTCGACGGCTCTGCTTAATCCACTGCCAGGACTGGCTGAATTGCCAGTGGAAGGACGGCCATGCCGCTTGATAAGTTTGGCAGGGGTCTCAACGCTTTTGATGCTGGTTTTCGTGCTGCCAAGAGTTGTTTGGGATGGGTTGCGCTTATGCAGAAGATTCCTGCCGTTCATACTAGACGTCTTGATTGCTGAGTTAGGAGCACTAATTGTGCGAATGGTATTGGTTGTACCAACAGAACGAAGTGACGACTTGGACTGCATTTGGCGAAGAGGAGACCGAGGCGGAATTGGCGGAGGTGGTGGAGGTGGGATAGGAATAGCGGCAGTATTCGTGTTGCTCAGTTCAGTATTTTCAACAAGTGAAGTTGTAGATCTGTTCTTGAGGATTGGCCTCAAGGCAGGGACAGTTTGGATGTTTGGATTCTGTTGCTGAACAACTCCGAGTGGTTGCTTGACAGTGACCTCAGCGAATCGAGTGATATCCACCTCGTCATCATTGATTTGAGCAGCTTCTCGAACATGTCGACTGTGGAACGATTTTGGCATGGTCGGTAGGGCATAGTTGATGTATGAGGTGTTGGTATTCTCCTTGACTCGTTCAAGCTTTGCGACTTCCGAGGACATCCATTTCTTCCACTCTACAGAGCTTGCTGAGCTCGTCACACGATGCCCGCTTCCACTGGGCATTGTTGGTCTATAGGTAGTTCGGTCGATTATTACAACGTCACCAGGACCAGATGAGCTGTAGAAAGGCATGTCTGGAACGTCACGGTCGAGAACAAGCGAGATCGAGCTATTGGCTGCGACAGGAGTTTGCCCACTGGTAGTTCGTGAATAAATACTCTCTGAGTACGCTTTTTCTGGCATTTGCAGATTGTGAACCGTCTCTCTTGAAGTGGAGCTCTCCGATGCCTGATATAATGGGTTCTTGATTGGCGCGGCTTGACTTGGAAGAGGAACGTTTGAAGACAATACCACCGGATTGTAGTCACTCTCAGTCATGGCTCGTCGAAATGGACTCGCAGTCCTCGAGATAGTATAGCTACTGCCACCACCGAAGAATGTGGACCTAGCCTCACGAATGATCTTGGGTGGTTGAATAATCGGCTCATTGCGTTTCGCAATTTCTTGTGGTGTGAGACTAGGGACTTCTGGAACCGTACGGTAGGATGCTGCTCCTGAGCTACCTTGACGGGATAGACCAGCCGGTGATGAATGCTTGCCATTAAGACCTCTCTGTCCCATGGGTACATTCTCCTTATTACTGGAGCTAGACTTTGGGGAGAAGACATCGTCTGCATGACGCTGTGTATCCCGAGAAGGTTCAGCCACAACCCATTGCTGTGTATAAGGGCCGGCGTAGCGAAAGCTATCAAGCTGTTGTTGCTGGCCAGACGGAACATTACTGTCGCTGCCGCTAGTATTTCGAGAGCTTGGAGCGACCTGGCGAATTGTTGCCGGTGAATGGTCGATACACTGGCTTGGCATGGCGAAGCTTTCCATGCTGGGCTTGTGACTGGCTTCAAGCTTTGCTTTTGGGCTATTTTCATCGAGACGCTTCATCAGTGCTGAATATACTCTGGCGCTATCGACAGTAGGAGCTGGAATGTGTCCTGCACTCTTACTTGGTCGATGGACAACTGGATAGGCGGAAAATTGATTGGCTAATCTGGAGCGCCTGAAGGAGGAAGAAGGCACATGAGAGCCGACTTCATTAATGATCGAGAGTCTTTGGTGCTGCTCTCTCTCGAGTTGAGCCTTCGTGGACGGCCCAACGACGGTGTTGGCACCAACACTTGTCCAGCTTGTGACCCGCGATTTGTCATCGCTCTCAAAGCTTTTGATACTTCCAGCATTGGATCTCAATTGCTGATTGGAACTTGCAGTGTGAATTATCGGGACTCTAGAAGCAACGCGGGACAGAGAGGCTTCATCTGGACGAGGAATATCGGAGATCGTCTCTTCGGTTGCTTTGCAACCACCATTGTACTGACGAACATGCGTTTCGCGAGCATCGACCTGCTGATTTGGAATGGTGATAGGCTCTTCATCCTTGCTGCTTCGACCAAATACACGCTTCAGTTTGTTTCTGATGGTCTTCGAAGCTTTACGAGCAACATCCTTCAATCCATGCTCCTTTGCTATGAGGGTTTGGTTGCTTGAAGCGATAGGGAAGCCATAGCTGTTTGTGCTGCTTGTACGCACGGACTTACGAAAAGGCTTTTCTTGCTTCTGTGCTTTTGATCGGAAGAGAAACGAAGGCTGTTCTCGGAGCCTCTGCTGCTCTGCATCACGAAAAAAGCGATCGCGGGCAAGTTGAACTGCGGTATCGTTTCTGTCCGATTGCGTTTGATCTCGGCGACTCCGAAGAAAACTCATTGACTTGGGGGCTCGGAGAGCAGTATTTCTCGGCTGTGTCGATGGAGTTTGCGAGTATGAAGCCGCGGTCCGGCTGCCAACGTAGGAACTCTCTGGCCTATCCGGCGTGCCATTGGTGTAGAAGACATTTGGGGCTCTGAGAGGGCTGAACATTGACTTTGAGCGTCGTATGCGTCGATAAGACGATGGAGTGGAAGCGACGTCATCCTCGCGAGTGTAGTATTCATCGAACGCATCCCCAGAGACATATTGATCTACTGTTCCCCCACGCACCGAAGCTTTACCAATGGATGACGAGCGACTTGGAGGACGATATGCGGCAGGGACTGGAGCATTTGTTGTGATGGCCATTGGTCGGAGGGTAGCGTTGCTCAGTTTCTTCTGAATAGGGTTCTGTGTAGCTCTCGTCCCAAGTGATTGACTCCTGTGAATGCCTGTCGGACCAACGAAGCGAACACTGTGTTGTCGTCTGATGTGTGGTCGATCGCCATGATCCACTGCGTTCGTTTGCTGAGCTGGCGCTGACCGGTCCGCTTGTTCGACTTTACCAGTATTGCTCCTGGAAAGACCGCCGCCGCTGTGGCCCGTATCAGCGCTCTTCCTCTCTTGAGCTCGTGCGAATGCTAACGTTGCTGCTGCATGTGCCTGGTGACGAGCGAGGCCAGGATCGATGGATTCATGCTTGCTCTGGACTGATGATGTTGATTTGCGCCTATCGAGCCCTTTCGTGCTGTTGCGTCGGTGCATTTTTGTGGTGCAATGCTGTCAGGGATGAATGTATTCAGATACTTGCAGAATGCGATACAGGTGCTTGCGCTGCCGCATACATGTATGTATTAACCAAAAGTGAGACGAATCTATAGAGAGAAGGAAATTCGTGGACGGGATCCTGACTAACTGTCTTAACTCCCATAGGAAAGGAAAGCGCAGGACTTAGCTCTTTTAGAGGATGAAGGCTGAGGGAAAGAACGATGGGACTCGCTTACTAAAAAAATAAAAATTGAAGTCAATTCAGAGGTTTGCACAATCACATATCAACAATGTAGAGAACAAAATACAACCGGAGCAATGTCTATTGTGTATTACAACAGAGACCCTCTTAATGACCATGACTCAAGGAAACCGTAAACAAAAATGTGTACAATAGGGAACCACCATCCGGCTCCAATCCATGCTCAGGAGTGCAATGAAAACTCGATCATGACCTGTGTCCTAGCGCAATGATGTATCATAAAATAAATAGCTCCTATATCACTCAATTGAACTCAATTAAGAGCTCAACTCCTCCAAAAACTCATGAAGCTCAGCATCAATCATCTTCTGGATCTTCTTGGAGATCTTCTCGGTCTTGGAGAGAGCTGCCTTGGTGTCCTTGACGACCTCACCAGAGATGACATTGAAGTCGTTCTCAATGGCCTCCTCCAAGAGCTCAACGGTGGTTGGGAGCTTGACAGACTTGGTGTTCTTTACGGAGTAGCCGCCAGCCTTGATGATGGAGGTGTAGTTAGAAGATCCACCACCATTCCATGCGAGGACGTTCTTGGTGTCAGATGGAACATCGGACAAAGCACCTTCGGTCGCAATGCTGATGATGCTCTCCTTCAACTTCTTGGGGGTAATCTCAGCAACAGCGTACTCAGAGTCAGAAGCAGGTTGAAGAGACAAGTAGTAGGCCAAGAGGCCAGCGATATGTGGGGAAGCCATGGAAGTACCAGAGATGGTGTTGGTGGCATACTTGCTGCCAATCCAGGTGGACAGGATGCTGAGACCTGGGGCAAAGATGTCGTTGCACTTTCCGTAATTGGAGAAGTATGCGCGGGAGTCATCAAGAGCAGAGGCACCAACAGTGATGGCTTGCTCAGCAGCTGCTGGAGAGTAGTTGCAAGAGTCGGCGTTGTCGTTTCCGGCGGCGACAGCGAAGTGGATACCTGCTTCAACAGCTCCGTTAACAGCGCGGTCAAGGGCGGGAGATTTGCCACCACCGAGAGACATGTTGGCAGCAGATCCCTTGAAACCCTTCTTTCCCTTCTTGACCTTCTCAGTGTGAGCATTGGCAGCCCACTCAACACCCTTTACGACATCGGCCATGGTTCCAGATCCGTTGGATCTGAGAACCTTGACGGCGTAAACATTGGCCTTCTTGGCAACACCATACTTGTTGCCGGCAACGGTACCAGAGCAGTGAGTTCCGTGTCCGTTTCCATCCTCATCGGCATCGTTGGCAGGGATAGTCTTACCCCAGTGGGCTCGGCCCTCAAAGTCAACGTGCTCGGTGTTGGTTCCGGTATCAATGACATAAACATCAACACCCTCACCCGCATCAGCGGCATACAGGTACTTGTTGAAGTCACTGAATCCCAAGCTCTTTCGGTGAGAGATACGGGCAAGACCCCATGGGGCATTCTTCTCGAGCTCTCCCTCAGTCTCCCCCAGAGTATGGACAACGGAATCTTTCTCGACGTACTCGACCTGTTTGAACTCGAGTCAGCAAGCTGCATCACCGAGGTGTGGATGACGGGGATTGTGCGGGGAGCCGGGCAACCATCACGTGGAGCGTTGCCACTCCTGGAACCCAGAGTCAAGCACTTGTGAGTCGCGTGAACAACGGCGCAAGATAAGACGGGGAGGATTTGACACTGGAAATGGCTGTTCCCCATAGGGTCGCGAAGGAAGGCTGAAACGGATAACAGAGTGTTACTTACATCAGGATGTCTTCGGACCTGCTCAACTACCTCGTCGTCGAAGTGTCCCGAGTACCCCAAGAAGTTCCCAGCGATGTTGTATGTGTGCTTGAGACCCTCGAAGATATCAGTTGTGATGGGAAATTGCGAGCGCTTTCGAAGCTCTGTTCGTGTGCTCTCGCTGGCGGCGTGGGTGCTCTTCACCCAGCTGTGGTGGTCCGAGGCAGCAGCCTCGGTGACATGCTTCTTGAAGACGACGATGTAGGAATCGGGGACTTCGACTGAGTTGGAGGACGAGATGAGAGGAGCGACGCCCTCGTGGATAGTCTCTGTGCTGAAGGAAGAGGTGGGTGCCGATGACGCCAGCAGCGGCAAGAGCGAGAAGCTGATAAGCCCACGCATGATGAATGGAAAAGAAAGAGGGATTGCGAGTCTGCCTGCGGACAATAGAGGAGATAAAAGAGACCAGAAAGATGTTGCGAAGACAGATGGAGATACTGTCTTCAGGTGGTGATGGAGGGATGATGGATTGTTGTTGATGGGGGAGGAAGATGAGGATGGGGGAGGGCCGAGTTGAAGAAGGAAGGTCAACGAAGCTCCCCAGCCGCCTAAATGCGAGCAGAGCAGCGTCACTGGGGCGAAGCCGGCGTCAAGCGACCGCCAAACCAAACACGGCCATAGCGCAATGCCCACCCCACCCTGGCTTATCGCGAGCATGACTCTGTCTAGTCTGGGCCTCACTGATAGGGAATCCGTCCAGCGCGGCAGAAGTCAGAGGACAAGACAGATATCTGTGTGATGAGAGTTATGTTGTGTCAACAATGATAAGAGCTTATTCCAGCACCTGTCACATTCAAGCATCCTTATTCCGGCACCAGACTCTGGATATTCTGACGATAATTGGGAACTTGGGATATTGAACCATCCCGTCGCCACTGACGGACTGCCCTGGTCTGGCCTCGGGCTGTCAGCTGGGGAGAGCTCTCAAGCTCCAGTCCGCATCCGGGCCAACCCCCCCCCCCACAATGTCCACCAAGATCACATCACATGGCCTGGCTAAGGCGGATTGGCGAACTGAAGCTCGGTCGAACCAAAACAGGTACCATGAGCATTCAGGTACAGACTGATATCAGGCAAGGAACCTTGGTCAGTAGCAGAAGCCTGGAATAACGCGGCCAGCCTGTCAAGCATCCAGTTGATGGGATGAGTTCTTGATTTGAAATGGCATGAAAACTTCATAGGCTCATGAGCAAAAGCCGGAGAGGAATGTACAGGCTCCGAAATAGCTGCCTGCCATGCTGCCAAGGCGAGGCTACAATATCGTGTTGTACAGCCAGGAATGGGATGGATCACGAGCTTCAACATTCACAGCTCGTCATGCACCTCCATTACCTACCTCTGTATCTCCCGACAGTAGCTTGTGGCCTCAGACACACAGCTTCGATTCGAGAAGGGTACAGTGCAACTTCATCGGATTGGAGCAAAGTATGTACGACTCAGGGACTTTATCTGGATTGCACTTTCTTGTGCACTGGCTTTAGTTGCATCACAGGAGCACGATAACCTTGATGCAAGACTGTTGACTGCATTGAATAATCAACGGACATATGAAGTATCTGTACTTCGACAGTTGCCTTATCACGTCATGACATCAACACCACAATTCCATCACTTACGTGGACTTTGTTTCATCCTCCTTCCTCTTGAGGCTGTCTCCTTGGCATGAGTAACCAACTTGTGAACTTTCAATAGCTTACCTCCTTGTACTGAGGACTTTTGATTTACTTGAAGAGGCAGGAAATAGAGATATCCGATTGTTTGAACGAACTACATCAAAAGCACATAGCCCTCGTCTTCACTTAAGCCACATGCAAGAAGCCGTGTGATGATGGGAAGGCTGCTGACTTGTGAGACCTGACTCAGTCAGCTTCTAGATGAGCTCAACTCTGAATGGCTTCACAAAGGAGCTGCTAGCCTTGAATCATGGTTCATGGCACTACTTCCGTGCCAGTTCCTATGCAATAAATAGCTTTTTACCATTTTATGCAAAAATGGAACTATTTTCATAAAGCTGTTCCTTTCAAGAGCTGCGCACACGACTTTGCCTTGCCAAGACTTCCTTGTCGGCTGCCTTACGCGAGACCTCGCATTCGAAACCCGCAAGGCCGTTAATCCACTCAGCGATCTTCTTCTACCCACTCACTCAGCCTCACTGTATGGCTGTTCAGCACACCAATCTATTCGAGACCCATCAATCCACCAAAGTCGATTTCTTGTGCTGACAGCTTTTTTCACACTTCTTGATCTCAAACAGCATCTTGAGCATCTTCCCGCAGCTTCCACCGTTTCACATCCACCTCGAGCTTTGATCTCAATGCCCACCAGCAGATCTGGGTGCCTGGACTTTCCACGGGCCTGAGAGGAAGACAAATGAAGGAGCTTTGGGTGTTATAAACCAGATAGGAGATCGGGGCAGTGTCAAAGCATGTCTGCGAGATCCAGCAGACCGCGGTCGTCCACAGCTGCCTCGACCCCACCAGAGAGCTCGAAAGCTACTGTGGAGATCCAGCTACTGCTCGACAACCTCTCCCAGACTCTTCGAACCCGCTCCGACAACACATATCCAGATGTCTCTACTCTCATAGACCAGTTCCAGTCCATCCGCCGGTATCTAATTGCCTCACCTGAATCTGGCAGAGCTTGTGACGATTTCCGGCATCTCCATGGCTTCCAGATCCTCCTCGACAGCCTTCGAGCCTTTTCTGGCTTCTACCATCCTACCAAGCGAAGTCAAAAAGATAAGACACAGTTGTTTGGACTTTTGGAGAGCATATTAGGAATACTGGCACAAACATTTCGAGAGCACTATGGCAACCAGCGGTACTTCAAGCGGAGAGTGGCGGGAGGCGGCTGGGCAGCCCTTGAACAAGCAATTGCTAGCATTGGAATTGGGGGAAGTGAGTCAGATCCTTGGAGCGAAGCACAACTTTTGGGGCGCCTACTGTCGTTTGCATTGGACGACAAAAGACTAGATGGCCTATGTCAAACGGTGACTGAGCTGTACCATGTCGACACTCAAGACCAAAAAGCTTCAAAGAATCCTGGGGATGTCACAAACAAAGATGAAAGGATCCTGGAATATGTGCGCACGAAGCTCGACGAGATTCTGGGAGATCATGCGTTGCTTTATAATTCGGACATTGTACCAACAATCATCGACTTTTGGGCCACCGTTCCACGACAGCAAAACTCATCAGTAAACCCTGCTGCATTAGTCGTTATACAGGTATTAAAGAAGGTCGGGTCTGTTTCCAACCATAATCTCATGTTTCTTCATGGAACTGGAATTCTTTCAACACTTCTGCCACTAGCATTTGATTCTGATGTATTGGGAGCCACCGAAAGAGCAGCCGTGGAGTCTCTTTGTCGATCCCTCATATCTTTGGGGGTTAATAACCTGAATGATGCTCAGTACCTTGTCTGTAGCAAATCACCCAGAGCGGCAGACTTCTTGCTTCAAAGTATGAAAGAGTCCCATGGACCCTCATACATCCAATTCGACCTCTCATTACATGGGTTTGCTTCCATAGAACTTCCAACGCTTGGACGCACATTCCCACCACCTTCAACATCGGCAGGATATACGTTCACAGCATGGATCTGTATTGACCAATTTGATGCCAAATCTTTCACCACCATTTTCGGAGCCTTTGATGTTTCGCAAACCTGCTTCCTCCTTGCATATTTTGATGAGGCACGCAACTTTATCCTGCAGACCTCGGTGGTTGGCTCGAGACCCAGTGTGAGATTCAAGTCCACGGTCTTCAAAGAGCGGCGCTGGTACCACATTGCCATTGTACATCGACGTTCGAGAACATTGACAGCAAGCAAGGCTTCGCTTTATGTTGATGGAGAATTTGCAGAGGAAGTCAAGTGCCAATATCCTGCGCCTCCTCCATCAAATGCTGTATCCGACAGCTTCACCTCGTTCACCTCGTCGACCAGCAAACCAAACCCAGTCCAAGGCTTCCTAGGTACCCCAAGGGATCTGAGCTCGAAGCTTGGGCCTGGCGTTGTCTTTTCCCGCTGGTCGTTGGCTTCGTTCCACCTGTTTGAAGACGTTCTCAGCGATGATTTGATCGCCGTATACTATCGACTGGGACCACGATACAAGGGTAACTTCCAGGACTGTCTCGGCTCCTTCTCGACTTACGAAGCATCCGCCGCTCTAGGAATGCGTCAAGACCTTATGCATCCAGGAAAAGAAGAGAATTCTGACATTCTCAGAGCTATCAGAGATAAAGCCGGCAGCATGGTCCCAGAAAGTCAAATCATACTCAGTATCCTGCCTACAGCAGTACTTCGGGACGACGACCGACACAAGTCTCACGAATCACAGCTTCTAAGAGGCCTAAATCAGGCTGCTTCGAGTAACTTGTTCCAGCTGACACATAACCATGGAACATCAATAGCTATCAATGGCGCAGTTGCTTCTGTCAACGAAGCTCTCATTCGAGCACATGGAACTACTGTTCTGACCGGCGATCCTGTCGTAGTTGTTCCGCAGTCTCTTGACGACGCGATGTGGCGGCTAGGTGGTTTTGCTGGAATCGCTCTGAAGCTGGTTGAGAATGCAAATACCAAGGATGACATCGTTCGCGCTGTCGAAACTCTGTTTGAGAGCATCAAAGGCAGTTGGCGAAACAGTGAAGCTATGGAACGAGAAAATGGCTATGCAATCCTTGGTGCCCTCATCCGTGGGAAGGTTGGGGCTGGAATCGTGGTTTCTTCAAAGCTCGGCCCTGAGCTGTCGCTTATGGACAGTGACGATCGAGAGAAGCTTGGCTTCCAACTACTCAGTTTGGTCTTGGACTTTGTGGGCTATAATCACCAAAGACCCGAGGACTCATTCATCATCAACCCTCTGGCATATCGGATCCTCCTCGTCGACTTCGACATGTGGCGGAAGTCTGCTGCAATTACTCAAAAGCTGTACTATAAGCAATTTGTTGTCTTCGGTGTGAACAGCAAATTTCACCAGTTCAATTCTCGAAGATTATTCCGAATGAGTACATCTTCCTTCTACCCTCATGGAGTTAACTAACACGAGCTAGGAATTGTTAAGAAGTTCTTGGATGCTCTGAAAGCTGAGACTTTCTCCCAAGAAGTATTTCCATCATTCATGGAGGCGTTTAAAAGTTTAGTTATTTGCAACCTTACCTCAGAAATATTTCGATTCCTCGCTCTCTTCATCACATACGCATACCACAAGCCAATAAGCTCAACATCTCGCACTCCCAAGACTGCAACTGGAACGCTCCCGGGTCGATCGGCATCTACTTCTCAAGGTCCGAAGAGACCATCGATCAACACCATTCTTGACGTGAAAGACATTGTATCATCAACCACTATGACCAAGCGGCAAATTGGGAACAAAGTTCTGGAGATGTACTCAGATCTGTTATGTGAGAAGGGCAACACCGCGAACATTCGGAAGTTTGCCAAAACTGTGACCAATAAGGTACGTTATCCTCCGATTAGCAAACGTGACCAAAGTTCTTACAAAATACCTAAGTGGCTCCTGCATCTCCTGACCGAGGATGATCCAGAAGTGGTCGTACATGGCACCAAGATCCTGGCCCGACTTCTCGTCGTTCACGGTTCTGGATATGTAACGAAATTCGCCGGTAAGACGGGAGGGTTCTCGATCATGCGATTCCGTCTACGGAGGTGGTGGGATCTTCCCACGTTGTGGCCCATTTGCTTCTGCATACTGTTCGGTCGTGACGTCGCGGACATTGATATGGAAAGATCGTTCGAATTATTCAGTCTTTTGGAACCTTTTAGCAATTGCAAAATCGTGTATCCTGGGGTGCTGCCAGTTCTCATGTCCATGCTCCAACATGGATTGAAGGAGGTTATGCATCATCAGGATGACCCCGACTCACCATTGACAGATAGAGGCAATGGACAAGATCCGGCAAAGACGACCCTGAGCGTTCCCGCAGGCGCCAATCGCCGAAGATCGATGTCTTTGACGAAAGAGCTTGAAGCACGCCGTGAGTTTATGAGCTTCCCTTGCCAGTGTCTTCTGACAATTCCAGAAACCCACCAGCACAAGAAAGAACGCCTTGGTGGACAAGCTACTGTCCTGCACACAGTCATCCGCTTCTTTGCAGACCTGCACTCTAAGTCATCTGACTTTAGAGACTTTGCAATCTCCTCCGACTATATTCGATACTTGCTTGCAGTCTTGTTTCCGGTAGTTGTCAGTACAGATGCTGTCAGTCCCGAGACTGAGCTGAACTCTCGCGACTCTGCATTGACTTTTGAGGGCGACGATGTCATGATTCGACCAATATCTCGTGTATCAACAACACCTACACCAATAGTGAGAACATCATCTGTTGAGACTATGCTACCCCCGAGTCCGACTGCACCAAGAGCGAAACCCCTGCGGCGAGGCTCATCATTCATTCTGCTGACTTCTCGACCATCAGAGTTCAGCCCTTCTTCTGCAAGACTCAATGTCGTGATGTCTCCGAAGAAGAAACTCACTGCGCAAAAGCTTAGCAATTCTCTTGTGGAGGAATTACTCGAGCTGGTCATCAATGTTTTCGTTGACCAGATTATGGTCAGAAAAGAATTTCCTGGATTCGGCTTGTACCTGAAAGTCCCTCCAGGATTTCAAGAACACCAGGCATATTTCGAATCTTACCTCCTTCGAAATACGATCTCACAGTTGAGCAACACCATCCAGCTTGACCAGAAGTCTCTACGGGAACCGAAGCTTATCCAGAACATGGCTCGCTTCGTCTCGCATATTGGCGAGGCAGTCTTCGAAGGCTGGTTCTTGAGCGGAGCGGAGCCTCTGCTTGACTTTGCAGGTACTCAGCTTGATTATCTACAACGTCCGGAGATTTCCAAAATCAAAAGTGTGCGCCTTTGCAGCCAAGCTATCTCCTCGATAAAAAGCGTTTTCTTGAGAGTTGTGCTATTGCGACTGTCTGAACTAGACAATGCTCAGGTTCCCGAAGATGAAGCTGTGGCATTTATGGACAAACTGCTCTATTGGCAGACAGTTCTGCTATCACCCGACGTCGGCGAAGAAAACTTCCTGAAGCTCATTTGCTACCAGCTGTATCTGAAGCTCGTTGACTCCAGAGACAGAATCCGTCTCGCTGCAGCAAATCTTTGGCGAATCATTCTCGTTCAGAAGCCAGAAGAAACATCGACGATGTTTCACAATACCATGACCAGTGATCACAGAACTTTGACTTCCGGCTTCAAGAAGCTGATGGAACAAGATAACGAGACATTCTTCAGCTGGGTGGATGACCAGCGTGTAGAACTGGATTCTTTGTTCTTAGGTGCAATGTCTAAGACCTGGGAAGAGTTTGTCAATACCGAGAATGAGAAGACTGAGGATGCGGCAAAGAACCGAGTTTCAAAGCGTCGGGAGAAGCTTAAGCAGTGGCATGCTGAAGAACTCAATGACGAAGACATCAGACTGAGACACGAACTCGCCTCTACACTTTGGATGAAGAATATTTATGCCTCCGAGCATCTAAAGCACCAAAGGGCTCAGCAAGACCAACAGGATAACTTCACATTCTTGGCCTCAACATTCTCAAAGATTGACCATGAGTTGCATCGACCATGTGCAGTCTTTGAGCATGAATCCACAACAAAATGGAAGCTCGATCGTACAGAGGGACGGAATCGTATGCGATTGCGAATGCTACCTGACAGGGAAGCACCAGCGTACGATTACCAGCCCAAACGGAGAGTTACAGATGTAGCAAATACACTGAGACTGAATACCAAAATCCCACCAGCATCTGGTATTCAGACACCCGTCGCAGCTCTCCCGATCGAAGGCGGCCTGGACGGGCCAAGCGATCTGTCCAGCGAAGCAATTGCAAATGCTCAACAAGAAGCACCCAACGGGTCGCAAGAAAGTGTTATGCCTGAGGAAGACTTCGAACTCGTAGATGACCCTAATGATCCTGGTGAGGACGATCAATACGAGGACAAGAACCGAAAGGTGATGCGCAGTCTCCAACAAGGCGATCAAGTGCAACAAGTCTTCAACATATCTCGCATCATTGGGCTTGAAGCCTGTGAGGGCTTACTGATCATCGGCAAGAATTCTCTGTACCTCATCGACAACGTCTTTCAACGATCTGACGGAGAAATTGTGAATGTTTCCCAAGCACCTAAAGAGGAGCGGGATCCGTATCTGCAAATGATCGCTGGCAAGAACACAACCGACAAGCGGGCTCAGCCAGTCAAGGTAGATCAAACACCAAGAGCGGACCAAGAAGCAAGAAGCTGGAAGTGGAGCGATGTTCTTAGTATTTCGAAGCGTCGATTCCTATTCCGAGACGTCGCCATCGAGGTTTTCTTCACTGACGGTCGAAGCTATCTGCTGACCGCTATATCACCGTCGTTCAGAGATGACTTATACTCCAAGCTGACCTCAAAAGCTCCACATACTTCTGGAAGTTCCTCGCTACCTAATCCTGAAGACGGATGGCGACTTGAAGCTTTGAAAGTTTCTGAAGAAGCTCCAGCAACATTTGGATCAAAGTTTGGGAACATTTTCAACTCCTCAGCGTGGAACCCAGCTATGCGAAGATGGGCCAAGGGAGAAATTTCCAACTTCCACTACCTGATGCTGGTCAATACTATGGCTGGTCGTACTTTCAATGATCTGACCCAGTATCCTGTCTTTCCCTGGGTACTTGCGGATTATACCAGCGAGGAATTAGATCTCGACAACCCAGCCACATTCAGAGATTTGTCAAAGCCGATGGGTGCCCAGCACAATTCTCGTGCTGCTGAGTTCATTGAGCGATACAAGACTTTTGCGGAGATGGGTGATGCCAACACACCTGCTTTCCATTACGGGACACATTACTCATCTGCGATGATCGTTACTTCATACCTCATCAGACTTCAGCCATTCGTTCAGTCATACTTGCTTCTCCAAGGAGGCAGTTTCGATCATCCCGATCGACTCTTCTACTCTATTGAGAAGGCATGGCAGTCTGCTTCAAAGGAGAACATGACGGATGTTCGAGAGCTCATTCCAGAGTTCTTCTATCTTCCAGAATTCTTGACGAACAACAATGGCTACAATTTTGGAATGAGACAAGGTAATGGCGGAGGCATCGACACGGTCCAGTTACCACCATGGGCAAAGGGAGATCCGAAGATATTCATTGCCAAGCACCGAGAGGCTCTGGAGAGTCCTTATGTGAGCAAATACTTACATCAGTGGATCGACCTTATCTTTGGCTGCAAACAGCGCGGAGAAGCTGCTATCGAGAGTGTGAACGTGTTCCACCATCTGTCGTACCACGGTGCCAAGGACGTCGACAACATCGTTGATCCGATTGAACGGGTTGCTACAATTGGTATCATTCACAACTTCGGACAGACTCCGCATCAAGTCTTCTCTAAACCTCACCAAGGCCGCGAAGACACTCGAAACAAAGCTAGGCGTCTTGATACGTCTGCTGAAGCACTCACTCGTCTCCCGTTCCCTCTTCTCGAGTCCCAGGAACGGGTTGCCCATCTCATGTACTCAGCCAAGCTCGATCGTCTACTCTGCGCTACGGCATTCCGCCTCAACCTCGCTCCTCACTACGACAAGTTCCTAGAGTGGGGCTTTGCAGACAATAGCATCCGCTTCCAATTCAACGATAGCAGCCGCAAGCCCGCTGGACTGTTTGAAAATCTCCATGTGGGCCAGATATCAGCCTGTATCTTCGCCTCGTCTCAACTCCTCATTACCGCTGGCGAGGACTGTGTCATTTCTGCGCATACCGTCATAACCTCCCCTTCAAAGCCCGTTGACTTAACTCCGCGCGCTTCTCTCTTTGGGCACAAAAAACCCGTCAACGTCCTCGCAGTCTCTAAATCCTTCTCTACTCTACTCTCCGCTTCCCAAGACGGGACAGTCATCCTCTGGGATCTCAACCGTCTGGAGTTCGTTCGCAAACTTCCCAACACGAGTAGTCGCGGTCCTGTAGAATGCGCGCGCATCAACGATGTGACCGGCGATGTCATGCTCTGCCGCGGGCAGAAAGTCACGCTCTACACCCTCAACGGCGATTTCCTCCTCGAGCAAAACGTCTGCGAAGCACACGATGACTATATCGCCTCTTGCGCATGGTACGAAGGCACAGGCAACGAATGGGTAGAACATTCTCTATGTTTCACCGGCCAGAGAGGCGGTATCGTAAATGTCTGGCGTAAAGGCATATCTCGAGCTGGTAAATGGCGGTTAGAGCACGTCAAGAGACTTGAGCATGGCGATAAACGTGGCGCGAGGGGTGAGACGGCTGTGGGGAGTTTGAGTGTGCCGGGTGGAGGAAAGGGGAGTGCGAGGAGTAGATCTAGGAGCTCGGTTAGTGGAAATACGGACGTGGCGATTACGTGTGTGAAACCGATGGCGCAGTGTGTGTATACGGGGGATGAGGAGGGGAGAGTTGTGAGCATTCCTTCTTATGTCTGGATTGTGGAGAAGGAAGCTAATACGTGTTGCAGTATGAATGGGATCTCGTGCAAAGAGAACGCTGAACAGGCGAAATCAAAGATGATGGGTGTTGGCGAAGTGGTGTGAGAGACGCCAAGTGGATAGAGAGTGTGTGCATAGTCATCAGACGAAGGAGTCAACTTCACGACGAATGATAAAAGCAAGTAGGGCGAGCAGCGGAGGACAGAACAGCGACGATCTTATGAATGACGGAGCAAGCGTGCGTGCGTGTGTGCGTGTTAGAACTGGTCTTGTAGCATTTGGATGGCGTTTTTCGTTCTATTTCTTGCAGATACGGCGTGGGAGACTTGTGCATAGAGGAGTAGGAATGGGAAAGCGTTTCGCATTGAAGAGATGAATGTTCGGGAGGCGAAAATGTGTGAAGTTAAGATCGGACAGACATGATGCATGGAATGACAAAAAAGAAAAGTTTAGATTTCCGAAGTGATGCCAGCGCTCAGATCTGGATTCCTTTCTTTTTTCTGGCTTGTAAATCATTGATATCGACTTCCAACGATCAATCAGAGAAACCCTCCTCTTACAATCACACATCCCATGTACAACTTTTCGACGCCCCGCCAAGAGCTCATCTGGTACGTACCAAACAGCTCCCAGCTCAACTGTGATCGACACGGCATAATAATTCCGAAGAGCTTTCACCGAACTCAATCCCTCCCCTCTCCTCCCCCAAGCCGAAATAAAGAAATGATGCGCATACCTTAATATGCATCTCAGAGGAACGGCACGATAAACCCGAAATCCCTTCCCTACAAATCACCCAGCCAATACTTCTTCGTGGTGTAAGAGTAAGTTATGTAGTGTGACGGTACTTGTGCTGTTTTGGGGTGGGACAGTGAACTGCCGGGTTTATCATCTTGGTCGGGGGGGGTTGTAGGGTCTCGCTTAGCTAGCTATTTGAGGTTGAGGATGAGGTTACACTTTTGGGAGAGGGGGAATGCGAGTGTGGGGTATGGGGCATATCGATATAGCTGCTACAGCTCCCCTGTCTACCTACTACTCGATCGTGGCGTCGCGCCCTGTCCTCCCCGCAAGAGTTCCATAACGTTTCATCTTGTTTGAATGTTCTTTTTCGATCTGAACTGATCTGATTCTATTTATCTTTGTGTCTCGAGAGACATTTCCCGAGGTCTCATTCACTGTGTTCAACATGGCACTCGGAGTGCTCAACGGGAAGGGTGAATCACCGCCGGGGACGGTTGTGCTGTATGAGCAGGATTTGGATATTGCGTTTTCGGCTTTTAAGCATGGGCATGGGAAGGTTGGTCTACATTTTTGAGAGAGAAAATTTAAGGGTTGTTGAGTACTACGGAATGGTAATATTTGGGTATGCAGGATTCCAACATCGTTCTCGCACCTCAACCGTCGAACAGTCCTAATGATCCGCTCGTACGTCCCATTTTCCCCCTCCCTAATCTTCAACTCGCCCTTTCTTTTCTTTCCCTCAACTAACCTCAAATACTTACTATCTCTCCCAACCATGAACAGAACTGGCCCCTCCACAAGAAAAATCTCACCTACTTCACCGTCTTCCTAAACTCCATCCTGCTCGCTTCCATACCCGCACCGTCCATCGCACCTGCGACGTTTCTGCTAGCGAATAATTTGGGGAGACCGCTGGAGGATATTGCGAAGTTGTCGGGGTATCAGTTATTGCTTTGTGGGTGTTTTGGGTGAGTGGCTTAGCTTCGATTCATTTGTGCTGGAACCTTGTGCTTGATTTTGGATCTTGAAGAATGGATTACGAGTCAAGGTTTGAGGAGGGGGAGAGATGGACTGACGTTGAGATAGACCCATCGTCTCTGCACTTGCTCACAAATATGGCAAGAGACCTCAGTTCCTGCTCGCGTCGTTAATGGGTGTCATTGGGACGGTGATCTGTATTGCGAGTGGTCAAAACTACAATGTTTTGTTAGCAGGGAGAATTATCCAGGGGTTTGGATCGACGGCGTATGAGAGTTTGTCAATTGCTGTTATTGGAGATTTGTGAGTCTTCATTTTTGAGTTCTTACCCCGCAATCCCAAGTATAGATTTGACTCTACTTGTCCTAAAATTGGCCAGCACAAGCTAATCATTACACATCTCAAGATTCTTCGTCCACCAACGCTCTCTCCGCACCGGCCTCACCATCCTAACCCTAACATGCCTCGTCTCCCTCGTCGCCATCATCGGCGGTCCGATCACCGAAAATCTCGGCTGGCGATACCTCTTCATCATTTACTTACCTTTTTCTGTTGTCGGAGCTATATCTGCATTCTTCTTTCTGCCGGAGACGCAATATCGGCGGCATGTTGAGACTGCTGATGTTGTGCCTGAAGAAGGTTTGGTAGGGAAGGTAACGCAGGAAGAGGTTGTGATGAAGGAAGAATCTGCTTCGGGCAACAGATCTGCGAAGCAGAAAAGGGAACATAGCCATGTTGGATCAAGAAGGGACAAGAGGGGAGGGGGATGCTCGAAGCAGCCGTCTACAGAGAAGAAGAAGACTTTTGTGCAGGAACTGGCGTTATTTTCTGGTGTATACACCGAAACGGGGCTATTCAAGTTATTCCTTGCGCCGTTTGCGACGCTATTGAATCCTTCTGTTCTTTGGGTATGTTTACTCTCTAAGTCATTAAGCGAAAGAGCTACTGACACAAAATTTAGTCGATTTTGGTTGGAGGTGTTTGTATCGTAGGTCATCTAAGAAATTTCTTCACATCAAGGCGGGAGGATTTTTAAGCTGATTAACTATTTCTTTAGGCGTTCTACGTCTGTCTGTCGTATATCCTCGCGCAAATCTTCTCGGTCCCTCCATACAACCTCAACGCAGCACAGAACGGGTATTTCTACGTCGGTGGTAAGCTCATCCTTCTCTATCTCAACGTCAATCCCATTGATATTCCAATTGTCGAATCAACTGACAACCAAGCCACAGCCCTCATCGGCGGTCTTCTCAGTGGCATCCTCGGCTCCATGCTCGGCGACCTCATCACTACCAAACTAACGAAATGGAACAACGGGATTTACGAGCCAGAATTTCGCATCCCAGTGCTTATTCTCTCAGCATTGCTGTATGGCATAGGCTGGTTCGTGTTCATGTGGAGGCTTGATCATCCGACACCGCATGGATATTATCTTGCTGCGTTTTGTCATGGGTGTTTATGTGCGGCTGTTACCATTGGGAGTACAGCAACGAGTTTGTATATCCTGTAAGTATTGCGCAATTTGTCTCCCTTTGAGAGGATTTTCCCTGCTTTCATCTACTTAACCTTCCCTCCTTTTTTTTCCTTTGATAACTTTGATGGTCTAACACGATTTATCTGCACCTAGAGATTCCTTCCGCACCTCCGCGACAGAAATATTCATCGTATCCATGACTGTCAAGAACCTCCTCTTCTACGGCTTCTCCAACTTCATGAACGATTGGACAGCTGAGGATGGGCCTAGCCATGTCTTGAAAACGTATGGGATTGTGACGATGTGTATCATGGCGACCAGTATAGTCTTCTGTGAGTCTGACTTGTCTTTTTTATTCTGGAGCTTCTCGGAATGGGAGTCAAGAAAGCGACAGGGTTGAAATGAAGTTACGGCGAATGCTAATCAGACCTTTCAGATGTGTTCGGCAAGATTATTCGGAGGTTTATCGCCAGAGTTGGAATTATGGAGAAGTTGGCCAAGGCCTATATGTGATAGGGTTGTTTCTTCTTCATGGAATGAATGCGGCTTGGCGCATTCACGGTATGGCGTTGCTGGTCTTTGAACTCTGAACGGAAAAGATGTTTTGAGACTAATCGTTTTTGACCAAGTGTTTAGAAGATCGCGAATTTATCTCTCAAATTCTTCCTTGGTTTACTTAACTTCGATCTGTCAATTCCTCCTTTGTTTTGGATCAGGGGCACCGTACAAGCGAGGGCGGAAGTAAACAAAGCTTTTGAAGGCAAGACGACGCGGTAAGATTCCGGTCTTCAATCTGAATTTCATATAGCATCACTGGAATATTCCAGCTGTGAGGTGGGCTGCTCTATTCTTGCGACCGCTGGTGTCGACAACCCTGTGAGGTGGCCGCCGGGACAAACTACCAAGGTCATGTTTATTGATTCGGAGCTTCGAGACCATACCATCAGCCTCTATAGCACCATTGCGACTCTTGCTACAAATAGCTTTCTGCTGTTACAAAGAGCAACATGAATACCTTGAGTCCACCTGCGTGCCGACCCTTTGCCGTTGACGTCCCGAGCACCCGCTGAGCCCTCCAGCAACGCCCGCCCCACCACTTCTGGCACTTTGCTGTACAAAAGCATATTTTGAGGATACGAGTCCGTTCGAGTGCATTTCCTGTCCGTCAAAATGGATAAATTCATCCGGGTGGCTTGACTTGTTATGGCAACATCCCGTTTTGCGAACGTGGAAATGTGAGCAAACTTGCTCAAGTAGTGCGAGGATACGCTTGGCAGATGCACCATTTTTATATTTTGTCTAAGCGCCGGTGACGACCTAGTCCTATGACATCGAAACCAGCTTAGGATAATAGCGGTTATGAGGAATTGTTTAATTTGTTTTTGGAAGTCAGGAGCTTGTTTGAGCTTGTTTTGGTTGACGTGCTGAAGCCCTGGATGTCGGGATCGAGACGATGGATGTGTGAGCGTATGCCATTCGTGGACATCTGGATATTTCCCGTGTTTACTACAGGGTCTGACCTACCGAGATCTTGGCTGTACTTCGAAGCATTCCTTTGGATTAGCTCAAGAAGCCATTTTTGCCTTACCGTGGAGCATAGTTATTTGAATCGTACACTCCGACACTCAGGCTTGAAGCTTTATGATCAATAAACCAGAATATTCGGTCATCATCGAGCAGGCTTCAAATGGTGAACATGCAACTGAAAGTGTGTATCGTTGGAGCAGGTCCTGCTGGATTTGCGCTTGCAGCAGACCTCGAAAGTCGAGGAACCAGTGTCTTGATATACTCCCACCCAACACATCCACGACACGCCAAAAATGTCCTTGCGAAAGGACACCTCAGATCAACGGGTGCAATCAAAGGCATTACCAAACTTCGGATCACATTTGATATGCAAGAAGTCGTCGAGTTCTCGAGAATCATGATTCTCACTGTTCCTTCCACGGGACAAATGACCATCCTCACAGAGCTGAAGAATTTCGATCTTCGTCAACACACTATCATCGCCGTACCAGGCAACCTCTTCTCTCTTATTGCCGCAGCAGAAATGAAGATTGGTAATATACTCGAAACGAATATATCGCCATACTCATGTCGAATGAACGAAGGCGAATTGACAGTCTTCGGGAAGAAAGGCTCAATCTCCATCGCCTCTCTCCAACCCAACGTCAGCCCGGCATTCAAGTCGAAAATACAACGAATATTCCCCCAACGCCTGCAATGGTGTCACAATATCGTGGAAGTCTCTCTCTCAAACATCAACGGTGTCTTTCACCCCCTCATGATCCTGATGAACGCCGGCCGCATTGAAAGCGATGGCTCCTTCCTCCTCTACAGCGAGGGTCTCACCCGCTCTGTGTCAAACTCCATTTTGGCAGTCGACAAAGTACGTCTAGAAATCGGCGCTGCATTTGGCTTCCAATTAGATACTGTGCTCAATACTTCGAATAAATGTTATGGTGCTGCGTTTACAGATCTGGTTGACTTGGCGCAGAACTCGGAACCGCATAGGAAGTTGTTGGCGCCGGAGGACATTGACAATAGAAATGTTTCTGAGGATGTACCTGATCTGTTGGTTTGCTGGCATGGTTTGGCCGAGAAGCTGGGAATTGATGCGAGATCTGTTGAGGCAGTTGTGAGTTTGGCGGGAATGGCGACGGGTGTGGATTATATGCAGTCAGGGAGAAATCTGGGGAATCTGCATCTGGAAGGGTTGTCGAGGGTTGAGTTACTTGAAAAATTTAGTGTTAGAAAGGTGAAGCAGACAAGAGCAGTTTGAATACCACGAACAATAATGAAAGATACATTGAGTTTTATTCGGGCTCTTCACAGCATCCATGTACGTTCAGGTCTTCACTGGTTGTGTCATGAAGCGCTTGAGCATCACTGGAAGTAAATTTGATAGCATTATTCCGAAAGTATGTATTTGAAGCAGATACAAACTTCCATTGGCTACAAGTTCACCCTGATCAATCTTAATGAACGAACTCTCGCGCCATAAATCCCAAGAACCCAAGGTAATGGAGCGAGAGTCAGTGCAGCAAAACCCAGTATACTATTTCCCCAACCCCATCCAAGTCCATCATACATGGTCAGTCCAGCAAGTGGAATTAGTGCTCCTGCAGTACCTCGCAAAACTGCATTAGCACCAATGACACTTGCCGCATATTCCTCGAACGCATCAATCAAGTAAGTTTGAATGCTGACAAATATCAGAATCGATCCGAATCCTGTGATACCCGTCCCAATCTGCGGAACGATCCAATGGAGATGCTTCTCCGCGGTCCACCCGTAGAGAAACAAACCCAAAGGAAACGTAAGAGCTCCGGGGATGGTTATTAGCAGCGAGAGACGATCTTCAGGCGTGTTCGCTTTCCCCGCTGACGTGCGTTTCTTCAGTGCTCTGTCGCTCAACCGGCCAACATAGGCCAGGCCTACGATGGTACCAACTCCTCCAGCCAGAAAGACAAGTCCTGTGGCCGAGGTTGAAAATCCATATTCTTCTTTAAAGACGAAAGAATATGTTGCAAAGAGAAGGTAAAGAGTTCCATAGAGAACCGCGACGTATGTGCACATGATGGTGACGATTGGGAAGCAAGTGAGCAGTTTCAGAGGACGGAAGATGCTGGTCTTGAAATGCTCGCTTTTTGTGAGCTTTGCAGCTAATTTAGATTTGTAAATCGGATTTCCTGTAGCTTTCCTGAGTTTGGTGGCCTTTCGTTCGAGCAAGACGGGAGGATAGGTTTCTCGCAGGACAATGAAGGCTAGAATTGTCACAGCACCGATCTAGTCATGGTCATAAACAATTTGGTGAGCATAGCTATACACTTTGGTGACTTACTACGATCGAAATACTCCAAAACACCCATCTCCATCCGAGTGTCTGGGCCACATACCCTCCAATAACGGGCCCGACCATCGGCCCAAGAATAGTTCCAACAGACCAAATGGATACAGCCTTCCCTCTCTTCTGTCTTGGCATGATGTCCGCGATCGTCCCTGAGCCGATCGTGATAGTAGCAACTCCCACAAATCCCGACAAAAAGCGAGCAACCAAAAGCGTCCCGGGATTCTGTGAGAGCGCACACATGATAGTGAAAGTCAAAAGCAAAATATTTGTTACGTGATAGACGACTGTACGGCCGTAAAGCTCACTCAATGGTGGTAAAATGAGCGACCCGACGGCAAAGCCAAGAACGAAAATTGAGACAACAAAGGTGGCGAAGGATTTGGATGTGGTGTTGAACTCGATCGTGATGAGCTCGACGCCTGGCGCCAGCATTGAGGAGACAAGAGGTCTGCTGGGATTTGAGCTTGGCAATAGGATACTTGATGGTTTATTTACTCACACGATGAAGCTGATGACGGAGATCGTGCATATGTTTACCCATTTCTTGCTTGAAGACCAGTTCATTGGATTCGCCATGTCCTGATCTTCCGGTTCATCCCACCATACAGTGATCTCAGCACTCCCATTGGCAGAGACGCCATTCGTGAGATCGAGAGTCGGTGTCGATGAGTTTTCAGAACATAACGTGCCTGTAATGCCTTTCTCCTCGCTGGACATATCTCGTTCAGAACTCTCGATGCTGTTCACAGGGCTGCTGCCACATATCCCCGAAACTTCCATCTCTCAATTTTAGATGTTTTGCTGTTAAAACGAGTTAGTCTATTTCATATTGAGTCCATGTTGTGGTAGCATACTCAGCGCCGGGCCAGCAGAATTGAATGCTTCAGGCGTGATCCTAGCTGAAGAATGTTGCCTCTTTAAGTGAGGGCAGGTTGGAAACACAACGAAGTGGAAGGATTTTTGTTCTACATTGGTAAATTACATAATGGCGTCAAAACTGTGTGGGTAGTAGCTAGTTCCAAAGGGATATTAGTTGCCTAAATGTGCTCTTCTTGGTGCATGAATCGCGGATAATTGCGTACCTTTGGGGTGATCTAGGTGCTTGCATCGGAGATTCTGAGCGGGCGCCCGGAGCCACGAATAAGAAATATAACAGATCATTAGATGTTTGCTCGCAAATCTGATTTATTTTGGTTCGTTCACCATGTTTTATCCCAGCACATGCAAAAATTAAAGCTTTGTCGATTTTTATTTTTGGGCTCGGAGAGACCTCATTGTCTAGTGGGGTATCAACCTTTGACAGCAACAGTAACTAACAACTCCAGATCCATCTTTATTCCATCTTCCGTGGTAACTTTCGCCCATTCCACTTTCATCTCTTCCCTTGCCTTGGGTCTTAGATCTAAGGGAATTCCTCCATACGTCGCACCAGACGAACTGGTATCCAGCCACTCAATCATAGCAGCGCCATCCTTTGCCGTCTTGACAATCGTATTCACCACGATCTTCCTTTCCCCAAATCCAGCTTGATCAAGAAGTCCTTCCAAATCTTGCTGTTTAATAAACGTCGGTCCTCCTTGCTCTGGATATTGCCGATACGGTTCTCTTGACAGAACATCCTCCTTGATTTTCTCATGAATAGCGACAAAGTCTCCCGAGCCACCCGATATCCCAAGTCGACCCCCCGACTTCAAAACTCGAGCAAACTCTCGAACAGCTTTCGGTTGATCTTGCACCCAGTGGAAAGTTGAATTTACAAACACAACATCAAAGCTTTCGGAAGTGAAACGTGACAAGTCTTCGGCTTTTCCAACTTCAAACGACAGATGTGAGGTCTTGAATTCCTGGGCGAGAGCGATTCGTTCTTGAGATGGATCAACACCAACTACAATCCCCGAATCGCCGACAAGTTTGGAGAGATGTGCTGTGAGGTTGCCTGTTCCGCAGCCGACGTCGAGGATTTTTTGTCCCCTAACGCTTCCAAGTCGCTCGAGGAGGAAGAGCCCAGCGTTAAACTGCGTGTTGTTGACTGCCGTATAACCTTTCGCTAATTCTTTGGTGTCTGCGAAAGCCATGTTGCGTGTTTTGTGATGCTCGGTTTGGAATCTGGATATTTCCTGCTGGTCTTGCTCGAGAGCTGTCGTCAGTTAAATGTCAGATGTACCTTTAAGAACTTTATTTTTAAATACTCTCGGGACCAATATCTTAAGGATTTTCGTTCTTGAGATGAGCGCACTAGCCCTGTTCTGGTAGTTCTTTTGTTAGGTGCTTGCACTAAAGTTAAGGCGACGAGCATTTTTGAGCACATTTGTGCTTGTTTCTGCCAAGCCTTAGCCGATGCATCTGCCGTTGGGTAAACACCGCTCGCGCTCGCGGGAATGCATGCAGCGCGCAGCAATGGCGTCACGCAAGGGTCCATCAAGCTGACTGCGAGCCGTCACCAGACTCGCACATATTCGGAGGCGTGAAGTAAATTGGAAGTCAATAGACTGGGGTATATGCAGGAGGCCCGATGGGAAAGTCACGTACTTGAGAATCAGAACCGAGAACAGGCTCATAATTTGCTCAGCAGATATTCATTGAAATTAAAACTTCTCAGTCTATTGGCCAAGAGAGACTTGCCGGCGGCTATCGAAGACCTAAATAGCTAATAATGATACGTAGTAACTAGTCCGATCTTCATATGGCTCATCTCCCCCAAAATGACGATACCTAAATAAAAGCAATCAAATCACATGACATGACACCTTCGTTTAGGTCCTCGAATATCTTCTTGTGACAACCGTTTCCACTGGAAGAATCCGTACAGCAGTCGGTTTGAGAACGAATTATGCTGGGTCTGGTCAGCTCTGGAACTGAACTGGTACTTGCGACTCCGAACGGACTCGTTCGGCACGTATTTCGGCAAGATTTGAATCGTGACGACGAAAAACGTTGCTTAGCCGAGCCAATATAAACATATCAGATAGAAGAAATGCTACTTTGAAATCACGCGAAAGTCTCACCTAAAGTAAGTTAAGTTTAACGAGAATAAATCAGAACTGGCCGTGGTTTAATGTAGATCTGCGATATTATCCCACCGATTAAATCATCTGTTTGAGAATCCACTGACGTTACATCAAAAGTCGATCTGAAGCCACCGTCAACGCAGAGCCGCAATTTTTTTTTGGGTATCGTTCCGTGCATTCTTCTGAGCTGAAATATTTTCCGTCGTTCAATCCCGAACCTGTGCTTTTCGTAAACATCCTAGACCTGAATGCCAGCTGCACCTTCCCGTCAACCCCCATGCCACAATACGTTCTCCTTGCGTCGAGCTGTTCCTTGCCATATTCTCCACGATAGCCTTAGTCTACACCGAATAGGTTCTTCTATCAACTGAAAAACGTGCTCCTCTGTACTCATCCAATTCCTCCATCATTATGGTCAGATATTGAAAGCGAACGGTATTGATGGTTGTGGGGTTGTACCTTACTTCAATCATTTGTTAAATAAATTTGATTGCTCTTGTCGCGCTCTAAGTTGCTCTTAGTTGGAGTCACACTGGAAAAAAGAGCCGCTAGAAATCAATAATTGAGTTGGAACATACGTCTGGTTAGAGTGTAACCAGACCAGAATTACAAAGTTGCTCTTTACCCCAACGGAGATACTGCGGCACCTAGATAGAATCCATACAAAAAGAGACTAGAACAAAAGATCCAACGCCCCAACCACAAACCAACTAACCATAAGATACTGCATGTTTAGTCTCACCTCCTGGGTATTTTTCGTCGCTTCGTTATAATCTCCAACGCCAGGTAATGGCACTCGAGCCTTCTGTTTCCAAAAGTCTCCCACGTGTTTTCTGGCAGCCACCAAAACAAGCAAATTAACTCCCGCGATACCCTGGAGAGCACCCGCCCCAGGAGTTCCAAAGGTCAGATAGACGGAGCTGAGGACTGAGACTAGTAGCTGCATTTTTTGGTCAGTCTGCTTGTACCGACTTCGACGAAGTTGTTAGGGGTCATACAGCAATTGTACCGCTTGCTTGAGTTGTTCTCGTCTTATGTAATTGTTGTTCAGCAGTATTGGAGTACTTTGCTGCTTTCTTGCTCATGTCCTCGTATCCTTGGAGATTACTGATAGAGGTCGCTGCAAGGTACAGATTGTAGATGCCGAACGCGGCTTGAGAGGCATGGACGAGTGTGAGGGTTGCCGACTTCATGATGACGAGCTTCTAGGCGAATTTGGGGAAGTGCGAGAGGAAAAATATGAAGAGCGAGATATTGTTGTTGTTAATAAGTTGTAAAGTCGTGCAGAAGAGGAATCGGGCTTCGATTTGATGTTTGAGCGTGATGGCGAAAACGATGACGTAGTTGGCGTCAGCTAGGGGAGCAACTGCGACAAGCGAGGTTCCCTCAACATGATGTTTACGCGTCTCGGCGTAAAGAACTACCTTAACGTTCGAACATCTCTGTCCAACCGAGCCGAGTCCAACTATCGCATCTGAGACCAAAGCCCAATGTGTCATCAAAACTAAATGTCCAGTCTTGGGAGCACCACGTGATTCCATACCCCGCCCCCTTTTTTAAGCACTCGCTTACGCTGTTTTGATCCCTCAATCAAGCGCATCTCAACCATGAGCCAAGGCCATGACCAGTTCTATCAAAACATCGAACGGTCGATCGATGCTCCATCCTGCATGGCTATTACAATAGCGTCTTACTATTGCACTCGTCTTTGAGACTCTATTGTCAGTAGCACACTCCATCTGTTCAAGCGCTACCCTTCGATACAGGGAAGCAATGCATTGCTTGACATGCGAATGTGTACTCTGGATCCATATGATCACATCCGTGGTGATTCATCTTTATCGTTGTAGTGGTCTGGCGAGGGGTTCTGATGACTCTACAGTTCAAAATCTGCATGCGCTGGGAGAAGACTAGCGAAGCCAAGCAAAGGTTATGTTGTCAGAAAAGATAGTGATACTTCCGAGTTCCTGTCGTGAAGTAAAGATGTGAAAGAATAACCAAACGATAAACAAAAGAAATCATTTTTTGCTGTTTGGAACTATCAAGCTTTGGTCATTTCTAGTCCTTCTGAAACTCGAGCGCTTCGATCTGATGTTCTTCTAAACTTGAGCAGTGACTAAACAAGGCAGTACCTAGGACCAGGAACAGGCGTTTATTAAATTATGAGGTACCATTCTGATTCGGCACAAATCATCAAAGCACCAGTTCTAGTGGAAAGAGCCAAACCGGGCCCTCGAAACACCCGTTTACTTACATCACGTGCTGTCACAACCCTGCCTATGCGGCCAATGGACACAGCGCATTGACATCCAGGGGCTTCCCTACACCCAATATTCGAAAAATCCACCTTGATGCATAACAACACACGCCCCAATCGCATGCCAGGATATATATCGATTATCTAGATTACGCAGAAAGCTTCTTTGCCTTCGGAGCAACCGGAAGCATCCACAACATTCGGTTCCAGTTGCAAATGTTTCATTATTCCGCCGAAGAAGAAGGGTTGACGTGATGAACTTGATCATATTCGATGGTCGGCACCCATGATACAAATTGTGTATGATCTTACGCTGGCCTAAATTGGAAGCCAAGAATCATCGTGAAGTCGCATTCAGGAAGTGATTGAGAAGAAGAGGTTTTGCGAAGGCCGGACAGCAGCCATGCACCTGGGCGGAGTTCATGAGCTAGCCAGTGGCGTTCTAGGAAGATGGCGAGTATTGGAAGTCGAATCTCACGCTCATGGATATAGCAATCTCGAGGATACCCCGTCCATGTTCTCCAGCCAGCTACGGTCGACAGTTCATTCATTTCTTTGACTGCCACCTCGCACACGTCAATGATGCTTGGCCAATTTGTCTCTGCCCTCGCCTTCACTGGTGCAGTCGTTTCCGCAGCTCCAACTCTGTCAGCTTGGAGCAACAGTTCGTCTTCGAAAAACTCCTCCACATCATTGCCGACTGTTGACTTGGGATACGCTCTCCATCAAGCTACAATCAACGTTAGTCCTGTTCGTACCCCCAAAAAGAAATGTAAAACTAACAAGTGGACAGGAAACCGGAAGTTATTACAACTTCTCCAACATCTGATTTGGAGCAGCTCCTATTGGCGACCTTCGCTTCAAGGCATCAATTCCTCCCAAAACCATCAACCGTACCCTCGATGATGGCCAGCAAGGATCTATATGTGCTGAAGCCGTTCCATATTGACCGCAAATTGCCTCCTGCTTCCTTGGTGGTTCCGGTGCAGCAACACTTGCCTACGTCAGCTCTCAAGTTGATGCAGTTGCATCGGCATTAACGATCGATTCGCTTGCCGCGCCGGATCCAAGACAGTCAGAAGATTGTTTATTCCTGGATGTCATCGTCCCCGAGTCCATCTATACCAGTAACAAGTCCGCGCCTGTACTTGTTTGGGTTTATGGTGGTGGCTATGTCTATGGAGACAAGACCTCGACTGGCAATCCCGCCACTTTGATCGCGCAAAGTCAAGTCGATGAGGGCGAAGGTGTGGTTTACGTTGCGATGAACTATAGACTTGGTCTTTTCGGCTGGCTGTCTGGCTCGACATTCTCGGAACAAGATGGCGTTCCCAACGCAGCGCTGTACGACCAACGCCTCGCTTTCGAATGGGTCCAGAAGAACATCCATCTTTTCGGCGGAGACCCAACTCGAGTCACCGTGATGGGCGAATCAGCCGGTGCTGGATCTATCATGCACCAAGTCACGGCGCATGGCGGTTCCAATGGCTCATCTCCATTCTCCCAAGCGATCATGCAAAGTCCAGGCTTCCCACCCGTTCCAGGAGATACCCAGCAAGTCGCAACTTACAAGTCCGTCATCAGTCAAGCCCAATCTCTCATCTCTACTGATATTACCGATGTTGCTTCCCTTCGTGAGCTTGATTTTGACACTCTTGCTGGTCTGAATAGCATCGTAGTCGCACGCTCAGCTCCTTACGGCACGTTTACATTCGGCCCTGTCGTCGACGGGACATTCGTCCCCAAGCTCCCCATCGTTCTTCTCTCAGAGGGAAAATTCGATACAGAACTGAATGTGATGGTCTCACATAACTCAGAAGAAGGCGTTCAGTCTACTTCACCTTTCTTGACGACGGATGCAGCAGTAGCCAAGAACTTGAGAGAGGTATTCCCAACAGCTAACAACGAGACAATCGCCTACATCCTCGACACCCTCTACCCAGCTGTCTATGACGGAACATACCCTCACACCTCTCTCTTCGGACGTGCTTCGCTCATCACCGCGGATATTTCCTTCACCTGCAGCACCCGGTTCCTCGACGTTGCATTCCAAAACGAGACATACCCTTACTACTTCACTGTTCCGCCCGGATTCCACGGTGGGGATATTGCCTACACATTCTTCAACGGCGATACCACGACATTGAATGATGGTCTTCCTGTGCAACTTGCCATTGCAACTGCCATGCAGAGATACATCACGAATTTCGCCATGAGCACTACGGGCAATCCTAATGGAAGGGGACTTCCGTTCTTCCCGCAACACCAGAGCAACTCTACCACGATGGTGATTGGACTCGAAGGGATTGGAGGAGTAGTTGTCGATACCACTGCTAACGAGAGATGTGCGTGGCTGATACAAGGGCTGTACGTTGACAATGTCCTGTCGAAGTAAGTCATCTCGCACACAAGTAACGGAATGATGAGCAAAGATCTGTACATAAGGGAAAGGATCATGATAAAATCACGACTGTAAATCATTCAATGTAAATACTGAAAAACATTGTCTTGAAATCATTCAATGTCGTTTACTAATAAATCGTTACTTTGCCGTTACAACCATCGCGCCTAAACACTTCACATAAATATAAGGCAAGTTAACTTCTAAACCCACTCCCAGCCCTCGGACTCAAAACTCTATCTGCTAAAAAGTCAGATAAGCTCCGCTCCGGAACTGCCTTCCACAAGAGGTTCTCGAAGCCGTCAAACATGCAGCAAGCGGGCCGTCCACGTAGACCCTCACTATGCAGAGAGAAATGGGCGTCGATGGCCAGGATATCCGAAACGGCCGACCTTTGTTAAGCAAGGGGAACGATGATGAGGCCATTTGTGGAGACTTCTGGAGACCCTGCAGCAGGAGGTGCTGCCGGCACGGGCATGTAATGCTGGACCGGGAGATGCGGGTTTTGCGGGTGTGGTTTCACAATTCTGCGCTGATGGGGATATCGAGATTTGAGGAAGTCAACGGAAGTATGAGAGTCGGTTGTAACGCTGGCGATGTAAGAGTAAAAGAGAAGTGAGGGACATTGGCCCTGAAAGTAGAAGTATTCAATAATTTGTGGCGTGTAGCCATAATAATGAGAAACCCCTCGATTGCTCGCTACCTTTATCATGATATGAAACTTATTTACACCTGTACCAAAGGGAACTCCCGACCTGTCTAGGTATCATATCCATCCCAAAGTATATACATAAAGGCATTATCAAGCAGGTTATCTGCTCTCTTCTCATACACATCAAATCATGCACCCATATCACATCATATCCAATGGTGAGCCGTGGGTCCTTTGAGGGACTGGTGAGACTTTCTCCTGCTCTGGCTCAATGCAATCCCTATTTCAGGCCATACATCTCTCCTTCCATCTGTCTTCGGGCCAAGTTGGCTCTGGAATAGTTCCTGTTGTGATGTGGGAAGTGGTGGGTGCACTTCACTGTAGACTTCCGTTCGCACCGTCTTACGTATCTCCTGCGGCGAACCTGGCCACTCCTCCAGAGGTCCTTGAGACTGTCGTTCGATGTCCCAGCTTGGCGCCTTCTGTAATCTTTCCTCACTGATCCTGGATTCCAGTTTTGATCTCGTGTGTCCACTGCCATGCGTACCGTTTAGCGCCTCGATGGTAACTTCATGTCCACTTTTGCTCAAGTTGCTCAGATTCATATCTTCAATGTTGCCTCTACTTCCACTGCGGACATAGCCCTTGCGACTAGAAAATGCAGAAATATTCTTCGAGTGTCCGTATGTGCCGTGGGCAGTAGTTGTCCCCCATAGTTTCTTACGTGATAGGCAAGCGCTGAATAGTGGCCGGAGAGTCGCCAAATTTGCTGCTGTGATCGCCAGACCAGGCTCGATAGCCGACCAGATGACGACGTCTGTTGACGAGAAGAGGAAATCATCGGCGTTGTCAACAAGTATTTTGATATACGGGATGCGAATGACGACTGCTATACAAGCACTGTTGATTTATTAGCTCGATATTCTGCAATAGAAGGTTCTTGAGCTTACACAATTCCCATTGAGAGAATTATTGACACTGTAAGTTTCGTTCGAGGATTCATTTGCAGCTGAGAAACAATGACGACGGGAAGTGCTGCGAGAATGATGTCTGCGAGCGCATTCAACCCTGAGTGTGCATATGTCATTGCCCCAACCAGCTCCGGTGAGAGGCAAGACCCTGGCTTTAAACTGAATTGATTCCAAAAATAATCCACTGGCGAGCACTGGAAGACCAGAAATAGGAAATATCCAATGCTGAAGATTATCACTCCTGCTGTTGTCACATAGAGGATGATGCGATGTGATTTCTTCACTGCGATGCGCAGGAGGAATACCGCGATGCTCATCTTAAGAATGCAAGTCGTAAGAACATAAGCCAATTCGGTCGAAAACCAGTACTTGCAAATGTTAGAGCAAAAAAAAACTATGAGAAGCCGATCAACACTTACCATCATCGCAGGAGTTAGATTCTGAGGGCTGACCGTCATGATGTCGATAAGATGCATCCCCATAGAGTTTGATATGCCTTGCAACGCAAAAACTGCTGTCATGGTGAACAGAATCTGTTTTACATTAACATCCACTTCCGACAACACACACCTGTCGACTAACCAAAGAAAAGATAGCCAGCCAATCTTCAAGACCAAATTTCTTGGCGACAACTCCTCGCACATAACATCTCAGCAGTGCCGTCATCCATGTCAGCGCCAGGAAAACAGCCGCGACAGCATAAACTTCGGGAGCTCGATTTGAAGCCATCTTAAGGGTTTGCGGGGAAGTGAGCGATGTAAGGAGCCGGAGCGATAACAATTCCAAGCATATTCAATGAAAAGCGAGTCCAAGCATATCAGCGACCGGAATACCAAACATAAACGAAGACCCCAGATGCATCTAAAAGTGCGCAGACCTTCGAGATGTATGAAAATTGTGAGAAGAATCCGCAGTGGCGACTAGCTCTCCCAAGTTTCACGATTGGGTGGCAGGTGGAGCATTTGGTTCCTTCAATGCATTGGTGGGCCCATCACAAATCGCAGCTCCGAGCGCTTGTGGGTTCTCTCGGTAGGTTTCCCAAGACCCAGCGACTGACCAACGAAATCCTCAAGAGGCCATTTCGGATTTCGGTCGTCTAGGATTGGAGCGTCCAGTCTCAACGAGGCGAAATAATTGTTATCTTCTTCCCAAAGTGGGCTGAGGCCGACTGTACCGGGGAGTATTTGTGCACCTGATAAAAGTGCTCCATCGAATTGTATCTCCTCTCCATGATCTGTGGTGATAAGCCGGATGAGCCATCCGCATTGGTGAGGTGTATCCGAGAGCTCCAGTATCTCCGTTGGAAAGTAAGACAAATCCTCAGGGAGGGTTCATCGCGCATGATACCTTCCCCGCCCATTCAACCTCAATCAGTCATACATCCAGCCTCACATTAAGGAGACATGTTATATGATTATGTCATGATGGTGGCACTTTTCTCTTCACTATCTCCGAGTATTGCAAGTCTCTGACCGGTTCTGGGATAGAGACAATATCCTACCTGCTTCCGGTTCTGAGAGGGTAAGTCGCCGAATCGGCTGGAGTAAATTTAAAAAATATTCCAACTCGAATCTGCGGCAAAGGTTGCTCCCTTATGCTCGTTCTGTGTTCAATCGAATATCTGGTACTTGTGCCCACCTTCTCCTCTCGCTGAGCAAAGCATTTGAAAGCACCCAGAGCAAGATACCTTGTTACCTAGGGAAATGTGGACCTTGTCAGTGATCAGACTTTGTCTGGTTGCATCTTCGGCCAAAAAGTCATACACTCCTATCCAACAGGCATGGCCATTGACTTGAGGCTTTGTACCAAGCAACATCCCAGATTCCAGACGTGTTTATGAGTAGCGGTGGACAAGTAGCCAACATCTTTTTCGTGACGCAAGGCCCTTTTCGGCGATAATTCTCCGTGATATACTGCAGGGTAGCCTGGACCTGGGGGCCAATGGGTACCGAGATTGGCCACGATTGAAAGCTAGGTTGGCACGGGCACCTAACTTGGCAGGAAGATCCACCAGATGTAGGGTAATTCGGGAACGTGGTAACGGTGACAGTTGTGGCTTGTTCTTCTAAGGGACGGCTCGCGAGTTGTGCCTCTAGTGCTCACGGAGTCAGCAGTATATATCGATGAAGCTGCTAGTATACGTCGATAGCAACTGGGGCATACAATTGCAATATGTTAGCCAGTTCACTGACGTTTCTGTTGCTTCCGAGCCGTTTGCAGACATGTTAAAAGTTCACATGATGAGGCCAGGCTGAGTGAATTTTTCCAACTTCAAAGATGGTCGCAGGTGGATTTTGTGCAGGAATTGGTGCTTTTTGTCGGGTCCATCAGACCAAACTTTTTTTTCTTTTTCTTTAAGAAGCCAGGTTCGACAAATTGAGCTGGGGACATCTTCCAAGTTCAAGGCCGATGTCGCGTCCGCGCAATGCATGCGATCGATAAATCGTTTGACTGAAACCGTCGGAAAGACTCAGAGTCATTATGAAGGAGAAGTACCTACATGACTCACTGTAACAGTATTCAGAGCCGGTCAAGACGAAATTCTAGGATAGAAATAATCTATTCTCAAATGTAAGGAAATAGAGATTGAATCGGACTGAAGCTGAAACGTGTATACTGATGGAAAAGGGAGTCCTGCGTGAGCTGCGTTCGACACACCGGTGACAAATGGGCGGTATATTATTCATGTCTCGTATCACGAGCTATTCGTATATGCTCTTCTAACTTGACGACCACGAATATAATATTACTTTATCTCATAAATCAGACCCTCCTTTAGTAGTAATTCGTGCCACGCCTTATATATCCAGCTTTTAGTGTCTTAGTAAGTAAGTTAGTGTAAATTAGAGTAAATTGAAGTAAATAGGCTAATTAGATACTAAGGATAGGGCGAGCCTACGAATTCCTACCGGAGGGTCTAAGGGAAAATAGTAGTATTTTAGTAGTTTACGCTATACTTTTAGTAAGGAACAGCTAATATCGAACTACCTACTACGACGCGGTACTTCTACCTATTAATTATAACTGATTATAATTATAAAAAGTGTATTTAAAAGCTCTTTTTAACCTCTATTGTTTATACTAGGCTTTATTTGTTATATATAGCCTAAATCACGTAATATTCCGACTTAAACACGATGCCCGCTCATAGCGCTTCCGGTATAAGTAGCCCCTCTTTACTACTATCTTTACCCCTATTACGTGAAGGATAACCGCTACTTATAAGGCCTTATATCTCTAGCGAGCTTTCGAATCTCTTATCGAGTCTATTTAATATCTCTAGTGAGCTTTTAAACCTTCTATCGATTCCTTTACCTTATATCTCTAGTAAGCTTTTAAACCTCTTATTAAGTCTATTTAATATCTCTAGTGAGCTTTCTTTCCTACTATTAACCCTACCCCGCTTATTCTACTACGATTCTGATAATAGCTCTAGTAGAGACTCTACTGATAGCTCTAATAGAGGTTCTAGTAGCGAATCTAATAGCGACTCTCAGGGAGACTCTAATAGTAACTCTGATTCTGCTAATATTATATAAGGAGAATTAGAGAATATATAATATCAGCGAGCTCTAGGTAGGATAAGACTTTTAAAAGGATCCGTAGTAAAGCAGGTTTTTAAGGTTCTTAGGCACTATAAATAGTCTCTTAGGAAGTTCCTTATTGCTTTTATTATAAAAGACGATTATACTTATAAGATACACTTATAATATATCTATATAATTAAGTAGCGTCGGAAGATACTTTAATATACTTTAGATAATATTAGGCCGGCGTTTAGTTCTGTTCCTCTTAATTTACTACGCTCGGAATTTAAGGCCTTACATTAGACTTAGTACTTTAGGCGTTTTAATATCTAAGGGATAGATAAAAAGATAGATATAGAGTAGGGTTTCTTAAGTATAAATAAAGTAACACCTATCTAGTCTGCCTTACTTCAGTTATTACTTTAAAATAAGCGTACTTCGTAGAACGCGTATAATTAAAGCTGAACCGCTTTATTAAGGTCTTTTTAAGGCACTACTATTATAATAACTAGTATACTCTCCTTTACATAGTCTAAGAAGTAGTCTAACTATATATAGTCCTACTTAGACTTATACTTTCTTAGATCTAGTATAAAATATCAAGTAATTAAGGTCTTATTAGGTCTAGGTATATACTATTTGTACTAGACTAGAAATACTATAATAAAAGAACTCGCGGCCCTTGCTAAAGTATATAATTAAACTCTCTTAACTTTTATATTCTCTTATAATTATAAGCTCCTATCTACTATTAGCTTATTTACTTCAATTTACTCTCTAGGTAATAGTACGAGCTTACTACGCTCTTTATTCTTAGTTATCCAGTTCTCACGTCCTACTATATCCTATCCTCTTATTAGCTTACTTACTTTAATTTACTTTTTAAGCGAGAGTATAAGCTTACTATCCTTATTCTTAGTTACCTAGTTCTTAGTTCTTACTATATCCTATCTTTCTATTAGCTTATTTACTTTAATCTACTTCTTAAGTAAAGGTGTAGATATACCTCTACTATTTAGCTAATTAATTAGCTATTATATCTTACCTTTCTACTAGCTCACTTACTTCTATTTACTTTAACTTACTTTTCGTTTATTAATTCTCTTTACTTAGACTATAAGACTAATATATACTACAGACTTATCTCCCTCCGCTTAGTTATAACCCCTAAAGTATTATTATCTATAATAATATTAACTTTTAAGATAATAAGCGGGATAAGGTCCTTAGTCACGTTAAGACTTAAGAGGCTATAACTATAGCTATAATTATTATTTACCTAGAGATACTAATTATAAGTCTAATATAATTAATATATAACCCTACGGTTCCTCTCGCCTAGAAAGATATTATATTTTCCCCTAGGATCAGTAGTCTTAATTATCCTTTACCCCTTAATATAGTCTTACCTTTACTACCTGACTTAGTATATTATTAATCTCTATCACAGTCTATTAGGGAGTGTATTACCCGGTTCTTAATTATAGATACTATCTAAGATCTCTATCCTACTATAGTATAAATAATATTTTAAGATAAGATAAGCTTATTTCCTTTTATACTAAAGCTCGATCTCCTTCTAATCCGTAAGATAGAATACTACTAGTTTAGAGCTATATTCGAAAATAAGAGGACTCTTACTAGTACTATAGGAGTTTATAATAATATCTTCTAGCGATAGTTATACTTAGATCTAGATAAGGATTTTAAGTCTTAGCTATAGCTACTCTATAGAGATTAGCTTACTATATATCATATTTACTTAGTCAAGGATAAATAATAGTACGTAGAGAAGACGTATAATCACTGTAATTAGTATCTTAGTATTAGTGTATAGTTCTATATCTAATATAACCTTAGGTTGTTATTAATATGTATACACTAGATAATAGCGCCTAAAACTAGTAGAGAGGAGTATACTATTCTCAGAGATATAATATCTTAGGGCTATACTATAATAGCTAGGGATAGTCCGAAGTACTATATTCTAGACGCACTTCTCCCCTATAGCTTTAAAGCTTATATACTAGCTATTCTTTATATATTATTATTAAAAGATTATTATAGTAAATATACTAAGACTAACTTTAGCTATCGTAAGGCTTATAATAATATCCTTTCTAGCCTTATACCTAATATATTTCTAGTGTATATCAAGTCTATTTAGCTTTAAGCTTTCACTAGATTAGTATAGGATAGTAAATAGCTTAATAGTACTAAGTATAGAGACCCGGGGTTTATAACTATATATTAATACCTTTAGGAAATTAAACTGTTCCTTATAGTTAAGTAAGAAGTTAAGTATAGCGATATTAGTATACTTTATTATTATATAGACCCCTTAATTATTAATTTTCTTAGTACCTATTAAACTAACTATATATACGAGATACTCTACTACTAATAGCTACTTAAAGATAATATTTATATACCGGAGCTTTAGCGTATTATACTTATATCTAGCTTAGTTAATTAGGAAGGCCGCAGAACTAGCTTTAAGCCTACTAACCTCTACCTTAAGTATCTAAATAAAGTAATTAAGATTAAAATAAAGTATTACCGGAATTCTACTTATAATACTAATATTACTTTTAATCGTATTTATACTACTAATACTACTATTTATTATATACAAGTAATATTAGAGCGTTAATTTAGAGAGAATATACTAGGGGATTATATGTCTACCGATGCTTCTAATAATATTTTTAATAAAGTAATAAGACTTATAATAGATAGTCTCTCTTAACTAAAGGTAGGGACCTTACTAAATAGCTTATTTAAGTTAGAGGATATCCGTATAGTTAGCATAGGTCTATTAGTTGATTAAGTCGAGTATTTCAATCGCGTTTATACTTCTTAAGTGCAGAATAAAGTAGTAATATACCTCGATAGTACTAC